ACACATTGTACGTGTCCTGGGGCAAGACGTTAAAGGCTAACACACACACACACATTGTACGTGTCCTGGGCAAGACGTTAAAGGCCTCACACACACACACATACACATTGTACGTGTCCTGGACAAGACGTTAAAGGCCTCACACACACTGTACGTGTCCTGGGCAAGACGTTAAGGCCCTAACACACACACACACACACATTGACCGTGTCCTGGGCAAGACGTTAAAGGCCTAACACACACACACACACACATTGTACGTGTCCTGGGCAAGACGTTAAAGGCCTAACACACACACACACACACACACACACACACACTGTACTTGTCTGGGCAAGAGGTTAAAAGGCCCTATCACACACACACACACACACCTAAGCCTCAGCACAGATTACCACAACCAGCTGACTATGGTGAGTAGAAATGTGTTTATTTTTCTGAGTGTCCTTCACCACTCTGTGTTAAACTCCACCACCATCTGCAACACCAGCTACACCACCAGCTCCACCACCACCTTAGCTCCACCACCACCACACCTTAGCTTCACCACCACCACCACCTTGGCTTCACCACCACCACCACCTTAGCTTCACCACCACCCACCTTAGCTTCACCACCACCACACCTTGGCTCCACACCACCACACCTTAGCTTCACCCACCACCTGCCAAGCTCCACCACCACCACCTTAGCTCCACCACCACACCTTAGCTTCACCACCACCACCACACCTTAGCTTCACCACTATCACCTTAGCTTCACCACCAGCTCCACACCTTAGCTTCACGTTAACAATAAATCTTGTTCATCTGATTTGTGGCTTAACTTCCCGACATAAGAGAGACTCACTCGACCATTGTGTCAGACAGCTGGCTGGGTTAGTAAATAATACCACTAGGTTAGGTTAAGTACGTTGGGAGTTAGTTTGGGTTGGGTTAAGTACGTTAGAGGTTAGTTTAGGTTGGGTTAAGTACGTTAGAGGTTAGTTTGGAGTTGGGTTAAGTACGTTGAGGTTAGTTTTGGGTTGGGTTAAGTACGTTGGAGGTTAGTTTGGTTGGGTTAAGTATGTTAGAGGTTAGTTTAGGTTGGGTTAGTATGTTAAAGGTTGGTTTAGGTTGGGTTAAGTGTTAGGTTGGTTTAGGTTAGGTTAAGTACGTTAGAGGTTAGTTTGGTTGGGTTAAGTATGTTGGGGTTAGTTTGGTTGGGTTAAGTTCGTTAGAGGTTAGTTTGGGTTAGGTTAAATAAGTTAGGTTTGCTAGAGGTTAGTTTAGATGGGTTAGGTTAGGCTAGTTTTGGTTCTATTTCATTCAACTAAAGTTTTTGAGTTGCGTTATCTGAGGTAAACAACCAGAAACGTGTTGATACCTGTACAGTACACAGCAAGGACCATCATATATTAACACGCAAACAATCATCAGGTCCCACCGAGATTCGAACTCAGTTCTGGATTCAAAGCCCAGGGTGCTAGCCATTACACCATGGGACCAGCTGATTTAATCTGACATTATCTATGATAGGTCACTCGAGAGGATGGCCGCCCTAACCAGTGGTGCCAGATGATTCTCAACCTTACGTAACCAGTGGTGCCAGATGATTCTCAACCTTACGTAACCAGTGGTGCCAGATGATTCTCAACCTTACGTAACCAGTGGTGCCAGATGATTCTCAACCACGTAACCCAGTGGTGCCAGATGATTCTCAACCTTACGTAACCAGTGGTGCAGATGATTCTCAACCTTACGTAACCAGTGGTGCCAGATGATTCTCAACCCGTATGGTGCGATGATTCTCAACCTTACGTAACCAATGGTGCCAGATGATTCTCAACCATACGTCAATGGTGCCAGATGATTCTCAACCTTACGTAACCAGTGGTGCCAGATGATTCTCAACCCCGTAACCAGTGGTGCCGGATGATTCTCAACCTTACGTAACCAGTGGTGCCAGATGATTCTCAACCTACGTAACCAATGGTGAGATGATTCTCAACCTTACGTACAATGGTGCCAGATGATTCTCAACCTTACGTAACCAGTGGTGCCAGATGATTCTCAACCTTACGTAACCAGTGGTGCCGAGATGATTCTCAACCTTACGTAACCAGTGGTGCCAGATGATTCTCAACCTTACGTAACCAGTGGTGCCAGATGATTCTCAACCTTCACGTAACCAGTGGTGCCAGATGATTCTCAACCGCCGTAACCAGTGGTGCCAGATGATTCTCAACCTAACGCAACCAGTGGTGCCAGATGATTCTCAGCATACCTAACCGAGTGGTGCCAGATGATTCTCAACCTTACGTAACCAGTGGTGCCAGATGATTCTCAACCGTAACCAATGGTGCCAGATGATTCTCAACCTGTAACCAGTGGTGCCAGATGATTCTCAACCTTAGTAACCAGTGGTGCCAGATGATTCTCAACCTTACGTAACCAGTGGTGCCAGATGATTCTCAACCTTCACGTAACCAGTGGTGCCAGATGATTCTCAACCTAACGCAACAGTGGTGCCAGATGATTCTCAACCTTACCCTAACCAGTGGTGCCAGATGATTCTCAACCTTACGTAACCGGTGAGTGCGATGATTCAAACCTTACGTAACCAGTGGTGCAATGATTCTCAGCCTTGTCCAGTGGTGCCAGATGATTCTCAACCTTACGTAACCAGTGGTGCCAGATGATTCTCAACCTCACGTAACCAATGGTGCGATGATTCTCAACCTTACGTAACCAGTGGTGCCAATGATTCTCAACCTTCGTAACCAGTGGTGCCAGATGATTCTCAACCTTACGTGACCAGTGGTGCCAGATGATTCTCAACCTTACGTAACCAGTGGTGCCAGATGATTCTCAACCTAACGTAACCAGTGGTGCCAGATGATTCTCAACCTTACGTAACCAGTGGTGCCAGATGATTCTCAACCTTACGTAACCAGTGGTGCCAGATGATTCTCAACCTTACGTAACCAGTGGTGCCAGATGATTCTCAACCTAACGTAACCAGTGGTGCCAGATGATTCTCAACCTTACGTAACCAGTGGTGCCAGATGATTCTCAACCTAACGTAACCAGTGGTGCCAGATGATTCTCAACCTTACGTAACCAGTGGTGCCAGATGATTCTCAACCTAACGTAACCAGTGGTGCCAGATGAGCCATAACCTAAAGGGTGTATGTTGAATGGTTATATACTGTATATATTTCCAGGTGGCATCGAGAGGCACCGCAGACACTGGCCTGACTGCTGCACCAACAACAAGAACATAGTCAGCAGCAGCGCAGGCCCCTCACCATGCCGCAGACTCACCCTCACCAGCAGCAGACTCACCCTCACCAGCAGCAGACTCACCCTCACCACCAGCAGACTCACCCTCACCACCAGCAGACTCACCCTCACCAGCAGACTCACCCTCACCAGCAGACTCGCTACTCCATGTAAACAACAGGCTCTAGGGCGTGTTGGTCGAGCCACTTGTGATGAATTTATAATTTATCTTTTGTTTACACTTGTCTCTCAGCGTTCCCTCCTCTCAACCAATCACAGTTAACGTAGAGAACAATGTTACCACCTAGCATCACTATTGGCTCGTGATAACCTTTGTATACCCCCGGAGTGATGACAGAGTGAAAGAGAGAGTGAGAAAGAGTGAGAGAATTTGTGTGAAAGTGTGAAAATTAGTACCACATAGTTTTGGCTCTTTATCTTATTATCTTATTTATCTTTACTTATCATGGTTTCCTCCTCTCTCCCTCTCCTTCCTCCTCCTCCCTCCCTCCTCCCTCCTCCTCCTCCCTCCCTCCTCCCTCCCTCCCCCTCCTTCCTCTGTGTGTCTTTAAACAGATCCGACTGAGCAGTTACCGACTACTGGAGCCCCTCACATCTTCCCTGATGCTGATGTACACGGTGAGTTATCTCTCTCTCTCTCTCTCTCTCTCTCTCTCTCTCTCTCTTCTCTCATCTATTTTCATATACTAGCTATATCTATGTTCTATCTGACTCTTTATACATCTAAATTTTCCTTTCATTTCTAACTGTATCTATCTATATCAAATTAACTATATCAAATTATCTATATCGAATTATTTATATCTAATTATCTATATCTAATTATCTATATCTAATTATCTATATCTAATTATTTATATTAATTATCTATCTAATTTAATCTGTTTGTGTATAAGTATCTATCTTGGCTAGTTATTGACACTACTAGTTGCAGGAAGAAGGATAAAGTAACTCGCCACCTTTCTCAACTCAACACACTGTACTGAGGCAGATTATTTGTAGTAGTAATTATTAGCGTTGACCTTAAGTGATAAGAAATTAACATAACACCATCTAACCTAACCTAACCTTACCTTACTACCTAACCTAACCTAACCTAACCTAACCTAACCCAAGCCTAACCTAACTAACCTAACCTGACCTAACCTAACCTAACTAGCCAACCTAACCTAGCCTAACCTAACACCTAACCTAACCTACTACCACCTAACCTAACCCAAACCTACCTAACCTAACTCCTGACCTAACCTAACCTAACTAACCTAACCTAACCTGACCTGACCTAACCTAACCTAACCTAACCTAACCTAACCTACCTAACCTAACCTTCCCCCATCGTGGTCCGTTATTCAGGCCAGGAGTACTCAATGACCACGGACCTACACATACCGTACATACACCTGATGATGAAAGACGTTAATGATGTCGGTAACAACTATGAGCTGATCGATGGTCCTTTTGGCTTTGGTTACGGGATTGATATTAACGCCGAGAAACAACAGGTGAGTGGCGGTGTTTGTACAGTAATTATGATGATGTATACTGTAAAATTTAACCTTGATTCACTCTCACTTACTCTCCATACCCTCTCCTACTCTTCTCTTCCCTCTCCCTCACCCACTCAACAGTGTCAAAGCATGACGACCACTACTGATGATGGAGACTGTGCCTACGACCCGATCAAATGTAACAATGGTGTCAGCTTCAGTATCTGGGAGAGGATCATCGCTACCCTAGACGAGTTCTTTGGCTCCCACAAGATGGAGGACTTCCCGAAGAAGTACATCATCTCTACTGGTAAGTTTTAGTGGATCAGTTATATAAGGCTGTTTTAGCCACTCTACTACACTGGTTAGCTTCACTGGGCGGTTTATTGCTCTTAATGAAGCTCAGAATAACCCTCCCACCTACAGTATAACCCTCCCACCTACAGTATAACCCTCCCACCTACAGTATAACCCTCCCACCTACACAGAGAGTATAACCCAGTATACCCAACAGGTGGAGACATGATGGGTCACCCTGGTATAGCGTTATATCACCATGCGTTTGTTTGGTTTATGTGTTTGAGTACTGTTTTAATATACCACAGGTGAGATTCATGACTCACGCTTTGTAATCTTCCTTTACAGTTGCTGATTAATGACAGGATTGTGGCTTACAGTACAGAAGGTATTAGTGTAACCGCTCTGCCGCCCCTCGACCCACCTGAGCTGATGATAGGCTGCCACAAGACCTCAACCGATACCACCTACCGCCACTACCACACGACCCAGCTAGATGAGTTCGCTTGGTGGAATAGACGTCTGGTTGATGAGGATGTTATCTACTTCCTCGGTGGCTATGGTGGGTTGTGGGTGTGGGTAGGAGAGAGAAAGTGGAAGAGAGGAGACAGGGTAGAATAGAGAAAGAGAGAGAGAAAGAGTTAAGAAAGAAAAAAGATAGAGAGAAAGGGTGTAAGAGAGAGTGGCAGAGAGAGAAAGATACTTTCGTAATTTATCTCCCTATCTCAGGACATTAATCACCCTATCTTCTTCTCCTGCCGCGGCCACAGAGGGAGAGAGCGAGAACATAGACCCAGATGAGTTCGCCACCATGCTGAACAGGACCCACCTAAACGACCCTGTACAGTTGGCAGTGGCGGCCTCGGTGCTGGAAGAAATGACGAGGGCGACTAGTGACGACTCCTTCAACGCCTCCACCGCTACTGACGAAGGTGGGATAGATAAGCAGGAGGGGTGTAAGGAAGGGAGGAAGGAAGGGAGGGAAAATAGGAAAGGAGAATATTATTATTATTATTATTATTATTATTATTATTATTATTATTATTATTATTATTATTATTATTATTATTATTATTTACACACAGAACGAAAGGCGAAGATCGAATCGTTTAATATAACGTTAGAGAGCGTCAAGAAGATGACTGACCCCAAGTTCGTCCCTCGCTGTATACTGGAGAAAGACCTCGAGAGATCCATGGTGAGTCTCTCTCTCTCTCTCTACCTGTATGTGAGTGTGTGTCTAGCCCCTCTCTCCCTCTGCATGTGTGTTTCTCTGTGGTAAATAACAATACTATAATAACCTACTACAGGATTATTTCCACCGTGTTCCTGACAGACGATCATCAAGGTGATAAACAACTTGATGGACGAGAGTAAGAAAGAGGACTGGTTGTTGTATGAGGAGGAGCACGGGAAAGACGTCTTCCTCTTGTGTCAGTACATGAGAGGCTACCTTCACGCCGTCTACCAGGGTCTACTGTGTAACAACACCCAAAGTGGTCACACCGTGGAGCTGTCTCAAATGTGTAAGTGTAGTGGTGTACTGTGGTGGTAGTGTGGTGGTGGTGTGGTAGGGTGGTGGTGTAGTAGTTGTGGTGTAGTGTGGTGTGTGGGTAGTGGTGGTGGTGGTGTGTAGTGTGGGTGGTGTGGTGGTGTGGTAGTGGTGGTGGTGGTGTGGTAGGTAGTGTGGTGGTGGTAGTGGTGTGGTAGGGTGGTAGTGTGGTAGTGTGGTGGTCCTTTAGAAGCACCTGTATTACTGTCTGATGTTCTTGTTCTCCTGTTCTTAATTTATATTTTTGTTCTCCTGATCTTAATTGATGTTCTTGTTCTGTTCTTACCTGATGTTCTCCTGTTCTTAATTGGTGTTCTGATTCTGTGTTGTTCTACAGGTATTAAGGTTGTGAAGCGGACGATAGATATTGGCTACAGTACCAAGGATAGATTTACCATTCCGGGATGTTCTGGTTTAGGGAAAGTACTAGGTATGTGTTCTGTTCTTGTTCTTTAACCCTCTGATAACTTGTTCTTTAATCCTCTGATAACTTGTTCTTTAACCTCTGATAACATGTTCTTTAACCTCTTATAACTTGTTCTTTTGTTCTCTATCTCTGGTAAATATGTCAGTCTGTTCACCATTAACCAAGAGTGTTCGTCTGTCCACAGTTCCGGTAAATCTGTTCTCTGATCCACGATGTAATCACCGAACCGCTAACTTCAGGTGTACGGCGTATAAGGGCATCCACACCATGCAGGCCTCACCTATCAGACTTAACACTGGGTGAGTGTGTCTCTCTCTCTCTCTCTCTCTCACTCATAAACCTCTCCCATACCGCTCCCTGTCTCTCACACACACCTCTCCCTCACAGTGCCTTCAATACCAAAGTGGACAATATCCTGGACTCACTCATCACAGAACTGGACGTTAACACCGATCAAATATTATTACCCAACGGAGATCTCGACCCAAAGTCCCCGAGGTGCGACCCTGACCCCGCCAAGCTGACCACTCACCCAATAATAGTCACCCATCGTCACTTCGACCCTCAGGTCCAGTTCAGGAAGCCACTGTTTCACGCCGGGGAAGTCAGAACCACGGTCAGTCGCCCTTTGATGTTTCTATATAACTTACGTGTTGTGATTATTATTTTAGGGGTTATATATGTTTGTGTGGTTGTTTGATTGTTGTTGTAATGTTTTTTTTTTGTTGTGTAGTTTTTCCATCAGCCACACACCACCACTACCAACCACCACCCACCCATCACCACTATCAACAACTACCAACTACAATCACCACCAACCCCCCCAACTAACCACCACTACCAACCCCCTACCAACCACCCATCACCACCACTAACCTAGCTAACGTCCACAGATCGGAACCCGTATCTGTGTTTGGTGGAACCCGGCGCTGGGGCAACACGGGGCGTGGGACCGGTATGGGTGTCGTGTGTGGGAGGCCAAGCCGGAGTATACCAAGTGTGCCTGTCAACACCTCGGCAAGTATGTCATCATTGCCGAGAAGCTAGAACCCATGGTAAGTACGTCGTCGGTTTCAAGGTTACGTTGTCGGTGTCGGTGTTAAGGGTACGTTGTCGGTGTCGGTTTCAAGGGTACGTTGTCGGTGTCGGTTTCAAGGGTACGTTGTCGGTGTCGGTTTCAAGGGTACGTTGTCGGTTTCAGGGGTACGTTGTCGGTTTCAGGGGTACGTTGTTGGCTTCAGGTGCTTTTACGGTACAGTTGAGGGTACACTTCACTACGGAGACGTCAGTTTTAATGATTTATTCAAGAGATTTTATTCAGCCCAGAGGCCATCCCGTACACAAGGACTTGATATATTGATTTTTCCCACAGGATGTTCTCTGACAAGTCGTTCCCTCTTTCCCTTCATTATATTTTTTTTCCCAGGATGTTTGTTTTCTCAAGTAACAAATCCTCATTTTTTCCCAGGATGTTGTTGGACTTATTTATTTATCAAATGTGTTTTTATCCCAGGAGGTGCCAGAAGAGCCCATGTGGTTAACGATAGTGAGGTACATCTTATACGGCGTCTCAGCTCTGTGTCTCATTCTCTACATCATCGTGGTTGGCATCTCCGGGTGAGTAACATGTGACATTTTTTAACTTGTCGAGTAGTGTAGTGTGTGTGGATGACCCCTTACGTTGGGTCACCTGAAGATTAGACATCCTAACGCTACCTGGAAATTAGGATGTGTAGTCTTCTGGTGAAATAAGCTGGGGTGTGTAGTCTTCTGGTGAAATAAGCTGGGGTGTGTAGTCTTTAGGTGAAATAAGCTGGGGTGTGTAGTCTTCAGGTGAAATAAGCTGAGTGTTTAATCTTCAGGTGATCTCTTATGTCATTCTCATGTGCTGTCAACCTGTCCCTAGTTACCGACTAGTTATAAACTGAAGGACCTCCCCCAACCCTGACCTCCTCCTACCCTGACCTCCTCCTACAGGGACCTGAAGGAGAAATTCCACTTGATGGGGATGACCTTGGCTGCAATGTTGTTGGCGGCGAGTGTCTTCATGGTGCTGAGTGACCTTCATGGGGTGAGAGAAGGACGTCACACCTGCGCCTTCTTCGGGATAGCCATTCACTTCCTGTACCTGTGTGCCAGCATCTGGGTCGGTGCTATTGGTCACGCGACCTTCAAGTGTATCACCTCAGGTATGACTCCAGTGTGTGTGGGGTGGGGGGTGAGAGTATGGGGAGATGTAGGGTGTGAGAGGGTGTGTGGGGTGTGGGAGAGTGTGTAGGGTGTGAGAGGGTGTGTGGGGTGTGGGAGAGTGTGTAGGGTGTGAGAGGGTGTGTGGGGTGTGGGAGAGTGTGTAGGGTGTGTAGGGTGTGTGTGTGTGGGAGAGAAAGCTGGAGAATTAACCTGGGTATCCTGTGTAGTTCGGATGCCATGAACGGTCACTTGTGTATCAGCGATCATTATCACTGTCTGAACATCTCACTTTGTTATGTCGGGAGCCTCAGCCTACCAGTGTAAGTCTATTTATCTGTACCATGAATTCACAAAGATCTGTACATTGAAATTCCACTCGTAACTGTTACTGTGAAAATTAACTAGACAACGCGTACTGGGGTGTTACAGTCCTTTTAGAAGCCACGCTCTTACTGTTGTGTTCTTCACTGTGCGACCCTGTAAAGTACTGTGAGTTTAGGTGTTCCTTTCATCACATGACTGACGGCTTTAAGAACTCTAACGTGATGGTTAACGATAGCAAGTATTATCTTCGGTTGTAGATCATATGAGTTTGGGTTCTAATAGACTCTAACCTAACCTAACCATACCATTGAGACTGGGCCCCATTTGGAGTAAAAAACCTACGATCTGGGCGCCAATCCTAATGTTTGCTTTAGGTTAGAGTCATGACACAATCCTCTCCTTCAGGTATTGTCGGGGGTAGTCTGCGCCCCTACCTGTACCTGTGTGTGGGCCTGACACTCATATCGGTGGGGTGCGTCTTGACCTTCCTCCTGAAACACATGGGCAACGATCCCCGCTGCTTCATCTCGTGGGACAACGAACCCGAGTATCTCTTCTTCTGCCCCCTCGGTGCCGCCTGCTGCGTCGGTCTCTTCTGCGCCATCGTTATCTTCTTCAACCTGCGCACTGCCGCTCTTAGGTGGGTCTTTCTGCACTGGTGACTGTCGGGTATGTCTGATAGGTACCAACCTAAACTAACTTTACCACTAGGATATGGGCTCAGGTCTAGTGGGCCTTAGTGGCTACACAGATGTAGGGGAATTTATAATAAAACCTTCCAGTTGCTGTTAACAAATAACCTCACTTTTATTGACCTAACAATGCCGGTAATACTAAGCGTTATAACCAGCTGCCACTGTTACAGGAACAACCCGACCATGACAGACTACCGCACCTTCAGCCTGGGAGCCTCATTCTTCACCATCTACTTCTCCACGACGTGGGTTCTCGGCTTCTTGACCTACTTCCGCCTCGATCTTGACTTTAGCTTTTATACATTTTTCCAAATCTTGAACGGCTTGATGGTAAGAATTGTGGAGACGAATGATTATCTTCTCAACCTTGTGTCCAGCCACCATCATTAAGACTGGTTTAGTGTAGTCATGGTCATACCAAACACCATCACGCTAAATTATATATACAGTACAGCTGCACTTAGACAATATAAGAAGAATAATTGTTCTATTATCCATATTGTGTATAAGTGTTTAGCTTTAATTCGGTTGGGTTACATCAGATCACAGGCAAGATTTTGAACTGGATTGATAACTGGTTCGAAGACTAACAACAAAGAGTCTGAGTGGAATAAATTGTCACAGGAGTACCAGAAGGCTGAGGCTGTGTCCTTATGTACTAAAATATCAACTCTTTCTTGCCTTAACATATTGTAGTTTTCTGTGGTTGTTTTCAGTTTACTTAGGAAGATTTTTGTTTTGTTACCAACTTAGCCACAATGATCCATGTATGGCAGCCGGTTAATGTGTGTTGATAATGACTGTGCAATTTGCAAGCGTACACGTCACTAGAAATATATCGTTGAAATGAGTTATGAGTATTTTTGTTGTTAATTCACACCACCGTATAGAAGAAATAATGTTTATTTATGTTGCAAGCTAACACCACCATAAAAGTAATACAGTGTTGTGTTGTTAGCTCACACCACCACAGAAGTAATGCAGTGTTATTGTGTTGTGTTGCAGGGAGTGGTGTTGATGTGTTGCATAGGCGTGGGGTCGTCGAAGTTCAGGATGGTGTTCGCGGGTCAGGCCAAGAAGAGGGTAACGTATATCTGACTTCATTTACAGACATTGGACTGGACAAAACCCCCACCAGGTTATTTCTTACTGGACAAAATCCCTTCAAACTTCCCACTGGACACAATTCTACTGGACAAAGACCTATAATATGACAGAAAGTCCCAGACAGTTTCCCAATGTACTGTACACAACTTCATTATCTAAATAATTATTTCGTCACTGACGTAATGATTGATATAAAAGTACAGTAATGGAATTAATATAGAGTAATAAACTTTATTTAACCTTCAAATTCTGAAAGTAATATCGTTGTGAAAAGTAGACGAGAGAAGTCAAAATATTACATTTTCAAATACAAACTAAATAATGTTTCCTTATTATACTCTGACAGTTGGTAGACAATAAGGTAATAAACGAATATAAAGACAATTGATAAACGGATGGATAACATATATATATATATATATATATATATATATATATATATATATATATATATATATATATATATATATATATATATATATATATATATATATATATATATATATATATATATATATATATATTTCATTCGCCCAATAAAGCACGCGGACATCTACATACAATCAACACCTCAACCCGCCAGGATTCGAACCCATGGCCCACGAGCCCATGACTGTGATCGGAGAACGCTACCTAGTATCCTGGTGGTCCAGAGGTAGCCTTCCCCGGTCACAGCCGTGGGCCGTGGATTCGAATCCTGGCGGGTTGAGGTGTTGATTGTACATATATATATATGTATATATATATATATATATTTATATATATAAGTTATTTATATTATTTAAATACGGTTGTTATTATTACGACAGAGGGAGATGTTCCTGAACTACACTAATAAGAAAGGAGGCGATGATGAGAACGACGACACCAAGAAGCTGGGTTCACCAGCCGACCAGACCCCACCCACCCGCCCAGTCACGCCATCCTTTGTCAGTATCCCTGTACTGTGTTATCTTTGTTATATAGATCATGTACTGTTATATGCAGTCACAAGCTAAGGTACCCGACATCGCCCAGCTTATTAATGAAACAATATCCTTACCGTGGACCCACAACCAAAAATGTAGTGGTGGGGGAAGTTGGCCTTTCGTAGAGGGACTGGAGATAGTGCCTGGCCATTAGAACGTAAGAACATAAGAATGGAGGAAACTGCAGTGGGCCTATTGGCCCATACTGGGCAGTCCCGTTTACACCCAACCCCTGTTGCTCATATAAGCATCCAACCTATGTTTGAAGCTATCCAGCGTATTCGAGTTAATGATGATATTTGGTAACTTGTTCCATTCATCCACTACTCTGTTTCCAAACCAGTGTTTACCTATTTCACGCCTAAATCTAAATTTGTCTAATTTAAAACCATTGTTACGAGTTCGCTCCTGGTTGGATAGTTTGAGTACCTTTGTAATATCTCCTTTGTTTAGCCCTGCCTTCCACTTATACACCTCTATCAGGTCGCCCCTCACTCTACGTCTCTCGAGGGAGTGCAAATTAAGATGCTTTAACCTGTCTCTATACTCAAGGTTCCTAATGCCCGGGATTAGTCTTGTCATTCTCCTCTGAATTCTTTCCAAGGATTCTATATCCATTCTATAATACGGTGACCAGAACTGAACTGTGTAATCCAGGTGTGGTCTCACAAGAGCAAGATACAGTTTTAGGATGACCTAGCTAGTCTTGTAACTAACACTCCTTTGTATGAACCCAAGTACTTTATTAGCCTTGTTACGAGCAAAAACACATTGTTTACTTGGCTTAAGGTTACTACTTATCATTACTCCTAAATCTCTCTCGCAGTCGGATTTCTCTATGGCATCGTTGTTCATCTGATATCTGGTTTCCCTGTTTACATCTCCTATACTGAGTACTTTACATTTGTCCACGTTTAATTTCATCTGCCATTTTTCAGACCATTCGAAAAATTTGTTTAGATCTTCCTGTAGTTTTGTGGCGTCCTCGTCAGATTTAATAACATCCTATTTTAGTGTCATCAGCAAATTTGCTTATGTTGCTGTCTATGCCGATATCTATGTCGTTTATGTATATAATAAATAATAATGGTCCAAGTACTGAGCCTTGGGGAACTCCACTTGTGACGTTGCTCCATTCCCTAGGCCACGTGCACCTCCCTTCCAAATTTCAGCTTTCTATCTTCAAAACTGTGGAAATGCATAAGGAACATACACAGAATGTCTTTCATATACAAGTACAGGTTTATATTGTAGATGTGTGGTGTATGTTCAGTTCACACCCACACACACACGTCAATGCACTACTGTTCGTTGAATTAGTGTTGTATTGAAGATTAAGGTAAAATATCTATTCCTTGTGTGTTTTTAGATTATAGGGTCTCGCTAGTTACTGTAGTTTATGGGAAATTAACAACACACGTTAGTAGTACTTTGGGAAATTAGTGAAACTATTGAGATAAATATATATAGAATTTCTTAATTGAACTCTGGGTTTTAAAGATTAGTCTAAGAGAAATTTGTGGATAGAATTCACTGAAAAGCTTCTTAAGTTTATTTCTAAGGGTGAAACTGAGTAGGCCAACTCTAGGTCAGGACACTCGACTAAGTAGTGCCCTTTGAGTTGCTTATACACCCCAATTAGGTCCTTCCCCGCCTGTCTGTAATATAAGCTAGGCATGTGTCCTTGAGTCCGGCAGGTTGTGAGCACTGTAACATGAACAAATGTAAATTTGTATTATTTAAATTTTGTAGGTAGATATACCGGTACCACAGTATGATTCCAAATTATTTCTGTAATTTGTATTTTCTAATGTTAGTTTTTTACAGTTATGGATTAATAATAATAATAATACAAAATTAATCATGTGTTATTTCCAGGTGGCGGGAAGACCAGTTTCAGGCGGCTCGATGTTCAGCGACTGAAGGACTCCTGAAACTGGAAGACAATGATGGACGCTGAAGAGCTTTAAGGACGTTAAAGGACTATAAGCAAGTTGAAGGAGTCTTCTAAACGCCAAATTTGAACTCGTCCTACGTTCACCATCACGAGCTTTTATTTACTCACCAGTCAATACAGGTTAAAGTAAGATTATATTGGCAAAGCCAAAGTTTGTGGCCACCAAGTACAGTACAGTAAACTCGGTTAACAAATTTTGGCCAACATTTCATCAAGACAACACTGAAACTAATTATTCACCATTTCAGCAAAATTATGATATTTTGTTTAACATTAAATAAACTTTCGGGTCAATTTCTCAGTAATAGGAGGCACTGAGGGTCACTATCCCTTCACAAAGTTTGGGTTTCTGTCCACCAAGGCAAATTTTTAACAAGTTGCTCATTAATAACATAATCACCAAGACAAAGATTGAATAATATTTTCATCAAATAAGAGAGCGTTTGAGTCACTCTCTACTAACATGGGCACTCTTAGCCATCAAGACAAATTTAAAATCCCCCTTTCATCAACAAATTAAATTTGGTTGAAGTTAAAAATTGTCATTTCATCTATTAATTATGTATGTCATTGTTGTCCCCTGGAGTTTGATACATTTATCTCAAAATTTTGACTATAATGAACAGTGATCATAAAATTAGTGTGACGAAGGTATATGCCTGACCTTAGCATAATTATAATATTGATTACTTGTATGTTGATTTATTTATCTTTAATTTACTTAATTAACATTGCTTTCATTCTCCTTAAATCGTCGATATCCTTTTAATTGGACATAAATCGCAATGGGGCTCGACACAAACCATTGTTATTTAGGCCTATCTCCCTAAATACAGTATACACAAGAAAAATCCTTTGTTATTATTCTTGTATGCAACCGTCACATTCATCTGTAATGTTTTTTTATTTTTTTTTTTTTATTACTCGAGAGCCCATAACAACTACAACTGATTAATACAACAGTTAGAACAGTGGACGATAACTCTGAAATTCTTAAGGTATACCCTCAAAAGGTCATAACTGCACTTTCTTTAAAAACAACATTTACTGTAGGCGGTCCACTGATTGACATTTGAAACAGCTACAACTCCTCTCATAAGAAACAGACTCAGGTGATCGAAATTCTACTTTATATTTTTGAAGATCGTGGTACAGGGGGGGGGGGGTTGTTCCATTGTCTGCACATGTTTGTTAACAGGTGAACTGCGCCGCGCGGTCTAAGTGTATTCAGTCTCGTCAACAAAAAACAAAAAATTACACCATGAAGCTTCAACAAAGTTACTTTCATTGGTACCAATTATCAAAATAAGTACTTTCTGCTTAATACAGTGGAGGTTCCGCCCCGGCTAGAAAGTTAAGTAAGGTTAAATAGTATTCTTTGGTTGGTTAGGTCAGGTTCTGTTTACTGTACGTAGTATAATTTGTTTTACTTACTGTCGTCCAAAGAACATCTATGGGTAAATTTTTACTTAAGTGCTGCGAGCAATTTCGCCAGCAAAAGCATTTTTTTCCTGCATGAATTTTGCTGCTTTTTTTATTGGAGATAGTTTTTTTCTGGGTGAAAAAAACAACCCCCACCCCAAGTGGTTATATAATGTTGCCTGTATTCAACTTATCCTTATTTAACCTAACGTAACATATTCCCCTATTGGGGAACCTATTTTTTCAGAGTTGGGTCATGTATTATATATCATGGTAATGTGATTCAGACACCCGAGCACTACACACTCCCCATGGCTCGCCGACGGTATTATGGTATACATTATAAAAAAGAAACACTTCCCCAAAAGAGAACACAGCCACTAGCAATTAACAACAAAAATTATGGTGGAAAAGCTGTGTTCTTGCTAGAATCGTTGGCAGCGTTAATCCACATGTTAACCCATCTATGGAGAAAAAAATAATGAAATCAAACGGTGTGTTCTGGCGTTAGCCATCTGCTCCTGATTACTAAGAAGTGTAATGGACGTTTCTGTAACCTAAGAAAGAATTAGAATTCTTATACATATATAATTTAGTAGCAATGTACTGTAATTTAAATCATGAATTCAATACTTTCTGAAACCCAGCTTTGGAGCATAAAGTAATAATTTTACTAAATATACTGTCTGGTACTCTAGGACCAGTGCCGGATTTACAAAGGGGCCATTGGGCCATGCCCCTGGGCCCCAAAGATACAAGGGCCCGGGAAAAATTTTCATGTACAGGTATTACAAAATTTTAATATTTCAGCATAATCTTGTGTACAAAAATATAGTGACCCTGTGACCCCTGTAAGCTCACCCTTATACTTTGATATCTGTATCATTATGAAAAATTCAAGTTATACAAATATTGAAATGTAAACGAACGCTGAATGTCTTACTTAATCTAAGTGTCATAGATTACAAGTTGCTCCAACAGTTCAATGAAGAGTGTCAGTATTGGTAAAACGTGTATTCACCACTTTAAAATTCTTGGCTGTGATCTGCTCAGTCTTGAAGAACATTTGAAAACACTCTTAACAAAGGTTATGGGAGACCTTTATATTTATCAAAAACCATCAATGAAGACCTGATAGATATTATTGGTGACATTATGCCCTTGTAGATAATGCATGAGATTAAAGATGCCAAATATTTTTTATTTTCAATGGACTCTGCACCTGATATCACCCATGTAGATCAGCTGACCCTCGTTGTTAGGTATGTGAACAGTAAGGGACCTGTTGAGAGATTCATAAAGTATATCGCTCTTCACTCAATACAGGAGAAAGCTTGGCTAAACGTATACAGGTACTTGAATTTTTTTGCCTCTCAAGGCATTAACATCGAAAATTGTCGTGGTCAGTCATACGCTAATGCAGCCAATATGAGTGGGAGGTACGTGGGTTTACAGGCATTGATCAGCAGAGAATGCAAGTACTGTATGCTGAATGTGTCCCCTGTGCTGCACATTCACTCATACTGGTTGGAGAGGCAGCAGCTGCCTGTTGTATTGAAGTTGTTAATCTCTTCTCCTTTGTAAATGAGCTCTTCACTTTCTTTTCTGCATCCACAAGCAGATGGAAAATGTTGACAGATAAAGTGGTTCCACTGGGCCTGAGTGTAGTAAAGCAACACTCCGATACATGCTGGTCAGCCAGACATGATGCAGTCATTGCAGTCCTGAGAGGCTACAATGCTGTCAAGTAATGTCTTTCAACAGTAGAAGCCAGATCTCAGAAACCTGACACAACGGCCATAGCTGGCAGCCTTGTCAAAAAGATGAAAAAGTTAGAATTTACCCAACTTTTTTTTGTTTCTGGGGAACTGTTTTAGAATGGTTTCAAGCAACTAACATTAGTTTGCAGAAAGCGGGTATAACTCTACCACTGTGAAGCTCTACAAATTCTTCAAGCATTTTGTTTAAGAGGAGAGATTCAAGTTTGAAGAGGATGAAGCAAGAGGAAAGACAATGAGGAGAGAAGGAGTGAAGCTGAGGCGATAGAGTTTTGCAAATGGAACATCAGAAAGTAATCCCAGATCATTGAGGGAGAAATTCAGGCAACAGTTCTTCTTCATTGTGGACATCCTTGTCAGTGCTCTTCAAAGGTCACAGGTTTATGAAGAGCTGTACAACAATTTTGGTTTTGTATCAGATTTAGCTAACCTGTCAAGTGCTGATATACGGTAAGCAAAGCAGCAACCAATTTGGTGGAAGCTTATCCTAAAGACATTGAAGAGTCACTCAGTTATACTGGATTCCTTCCAGATCCAGATATTTGCCTTGATGAATCTGACAAGGATCATAACCAAGAGCTGTTCATGTTATCTTTCATTCAGCCTATGTTAGATATTCTCGTTAATGTGAACATTCTACTCAAAATATATCTTTGCGCTGTGCAAAAATTGTGCAGGTGAAAGGTCATTCTCAAAACTTTAACGAATAAAAAATTACCTGAGAAACTCTATCTGCCAAGACAGACTGAACAAGTTGAGCATATTGTCAACTGAACATGAGCTGTTGGACTCCTTGGACACAAAGTATTTTTAGAAATTTTTGCATAGCCAAAGTTAGGAAGATGAACATTTAATTGTGCGTAAAATATATAAACAATAATTTGTAAATTGTTGCCTTAATACTTTAGTGGAAATAAAATCAAATAATTAAAAAGTGTAAGTGGTGTTAAAATTAAAAAAAATAAATTATAAAACTCAACCCTGACCTGAGTCATGGACTAAGTTGAGTACCAACCTGCCAGGTAGACTTTTTGTTTGGGTGGGGGCTTCCACAGTCGATGGCCCCCAAGCCCTGCCAAATCTAAATCTGGCACTGTCTAGGACAGTGATTTCATCAGCTTTAACAAATCTAACCCGGACTGTATTTTTTAGTGCGCTACAACCCATTGCTGTAAAATTCTGAAATTTCCAAATACAGTACTTGGGACATTGTCTTGATAATGTAGTGAAAATCTTGTAGTAGTAATGATCTAGTTCCTGTCAGTAATCATGTATCTGCTCCATAACTTATTGATATGACCAAATAATTATAATGTTGCTTACTTTCCTGACCTTTTGTAAAAGGTCATGATTGTACTGTTCACCAGTATTTGTACAGTATATGGTAAATATTTGTTTGATGGCTGTGGCTCCTTTTTGTTATGAGAATTCAACTGCCAAATTACTGTTGAAACCTAACCTAACCTAACCTCTATTAACCAAGTATTACTAATTAAGTTATCCTAACCAACCAAACCTAACCTAAAATCTTGCTGCAGGCATTAAACGAATATTAACCTTGTGTACCTTGTGAGGCCCTCTTGACCATGTCACTTGTTATATAGAAACAAACAAATTGCTTGTACAACACACTCAAGTGTTCCTCATAGCAGTTCACCTTACCTCCTTCTCAGCTTAGGATTGATTAAAAATATTATATAAAATATTGCAGCCAGATAATATCACACTTGACTTGTGTACTGTGCCTCCAGTGTAGTGTGTTTCACTCTAGAGTGCTGACATTTGTAATCATATATTTTAGGAGTTATGCAGATTTCTTTATTAATTTTCAAAGTATATCGAGTGTTGAGGCTTGAACTGTATACATTACTGTACAGTATAATAGATTACAGTATATAAAACGAACATATGAAAACCATTTATTTTGCTAAAGAGTTAAGTGTTGCAAAATATAATAAACCGGTAGTATATACATGGCTGTTATATAATAAATATAAGTGTGAGTTGGTTGTATGTTTATTACTTCCTGGTTGTTAAAAAAAATAATGTGATATACTACTGTCCTCGCTGCCTCTGCCATACAACCTCTCCCCTCCTTCACACACACACACACACACCACCTTCTTAAACCTAATTAAGATGGAGGGAAAGGACAAGCTACGAGAAAGGTAACAAAAGAAAAGCACCCTCACACGGTACTGTAGTTTGCCCTATCTGTCTGTTAATGTGCTAAATATCTCAGTGAAACTTAGTAGGTAAAGTGTGTGTTGGTTAAGACAGGTGTAGCTAGATGTTGGAGATTGAAGGTCAACAGTTGTGAACTTTGGTTCACATAGGTGGCCAGGCAGAGGGAATGCAGTCAGTGGCATGTGTAGGATCCCACCAAGTGCTATGTTGAAGCCCAGTACAGTTCTTGATTCCACAGTGCCGGTAGACTGTTCCATAGGTCTACTACCCTCTGTGTGAAAAAGTATTGCCTTATATTTATTCTGCAGGATAATTTAGCTTGTAGTTGTTACGTCCTCTTTGTGTTGGGTGACATCACAAAGAAATGTTCCGGGTTCATTTCCATCTCTTTCAGGATCTTGAATGTTTCAATGAGATCTGTCCTATTGTGCTTTGTTAAAAGATGGAGGGGAGAATTGGGAAATTAATAGGATACAATAATAGGAGTAATAGAAAGTTTTTAGAGAAACTAAAAAAAACTATTTAGAAAAATTTTAAGTTAATAAGGAATATAGAAGGTTACAGAAAATAAGAGGGATTTAGGGAAAATAGGAAAAGAATTTGAGAAATGAAAGACTAAGAAAGAGGAGGATAAAGTTATGACAAATATAGAAAGAAGATAAGTCATAAAAATATAACACAAAGGAGGTGTTGATGGTAATGTGGACATGTCTCACCACTGTTACCGGTATGTGACCTTTACTACCACACATGACAGGTTACCTCTGGCTTCCTCTTGTACTAACACTGGACAATTAAAGTCCATAACAAAGGACAGATTAACCGCCCCAATGGCTAGTAAGCTGATAAGTCGTGATGTGATAAAATAAAATAACAAGCTGAAGAAAAAAAAGTGATTCGTCATTAGAAGGATAACAACCATGTACACAAGAACATCGTGAAGAAAACCAAATAACAGTACAAATAAAATGAATTATCATGCCACAGTCCAAGGTGTGTCAGTCCAAGGTGTGTCAGTCCAAGGTGTGTCACAGTCCAAGGTGTCACAGTCCAAGGTGTCACAGTCCTATCTACCCATCTTCTGTGGCACCCTAGAAGTACTGCACCTGTCACTGTCTTACCCCAAAAGTGCCCCTGTCAGTCTGCCTGCCTCTTGTGGTACCTCACAAGTGTCCCTCATTATCCTCTCCTTCCCCAGTGGTTATCATAGCTGTCCTTTTCACATAATTATTACTGACTGGATGAAAATATTTAGGTACACTGCAATTGTATACTGTAGTTGTCTTTATTTTCTAATATATTTTCATCTACTGTGTAATGAGACACCAAAATTTATTACTTCTCTTTATTAACCCTTATAATATATTCAAATTTATATGCCTATAACCTTTATGCGGTTGGTATATACTTTTAAAGCGTATTATATCACATTTGTAAATGCCAATGATATATATCATATTTAGACAAATATTGAATGACTGAATTCATTCACATTCATATGGGCCCAAAAATTTAGTGTCATACCAAATGTGACCTTTGTGACCTTCATTGTATAAAAAAATATACTTGGTTTTAGTGATCTATCTTCCCAACTCAGGTAAAGTTTTGTAATAGGGAACACTTTAAAAGATAACAATTGGAATGGCACTACTGTAGTATTTTTGGCAGCCACACATATTACAGTAATGTCTCACCTTACACCAAAACAACAGAGTACTGTATCATACTACTGTACAGTACCATTGAACCCCTCTACTAAACCCTTATAGCAGGCAGGGGCAACCCACGGCCAGTATGCAGTTCATCACCTAAGAGTAACTAACTGCGAGAATGTAACAGTGAAGTAAGTATAAATAGTCACCAATATAAACATTTTAACTTGTGAGTTTAAGGGCCAAGCTCGGCACAGTCTATTTGATTCCCCTTGTTGAGATTCCTGGATCCACTCCCACTTTGGGTTAGGTAGGATATAAATTTCGGTGGGTTGACCCACAGAAAAATACCTAAATCGTAATGCTGCCCATGAACGAGGAAAGGTTGCCCATGCCTGCCTTATAGCATTACAGTATCTGTTTAAAACTAAAGTTCTCTTACTTTTATTCATATGATCACAATCTTCCCTCAAAGCTATTGTAAAACCTACACCTACAGTAATATAGTGAAAAGCTTCAGTAATTACTCATTAGCACTTTAGAGTTTACCTATCACAGGGTAATTACTGACTGTCATTGGACAAGACACCAATGACATAGATTGCCAAGCATTCCTTCAAGCTTTAATATTAATATAAACCTGGTCAAGGAAAACAACATTTAATATTCTAAGAGACTTAATAAAATGGGACATTAATTTCAATTTGAGAAAAAAGGCTGCTGAAATGCCATGTATGGTCAGGACTGTTGTATGGGTCAGAAGAGTGAACACTTTCAGTTAACACCAGAAAGAGGTTAGAGGTCTTTGAAATGTGGTATTTTAGGCAAATGATAAAATAAGTTACACTGACAGGAAAACATATGAAGTACTAAGATTGGAAGAAATTTCAAGAGAATACTTGAAATTTATAGAAAAAGTTGAACGGGCTGCAGTACTTTGGTCATATAATCAGGGATGAGGGGATAAAAGTAGAAATATTAATGGGCATAGTTAAAGGTTGGAGGACCAGGGGAAGGCAGAGACTGGTATAGATGAATGATATTCAAAACTGGGTCCCCAGAGAGATACAAAATCTCAAAGGATTGGTAAAAACATTTAGAGTGGAGGACTGTGGTCGCCAACTCTCAGATATGAGACAGGTACTTTGGGTGATTGATTGCTTGGTAATCTTATCCCTACAACTCATAGTAACTTTATCACTGGTACAACAACACCCCTGAACATTATGGTTCAGGTATGGTCACTGCTGCATGTATACATACCACGTCTTACTTCAAGTTCAATTTATAAAATTTGTAGTAACCAAAGGTAAGTTTTAGAAAGTGAACTTCAAAGAACCCATAAATCAAAGTTCTGGTAAAAATATAGCCAGGGAATTAGAGCCATTGCAAGAGAAATGGCACTATAGTCATGAATACTGTATACAGTACAGTACAGTATACAGTATCCACAATTATTTCTTCTTCTTTTACGTCATATAATTTTTCCATTCTGGATTCTTTAAGCATCTTACATTTATCTAATTCAGCCTACATGAAAGCTAAACCATAACAATATTGAATGAAATACAAAGCTGGGACAGGATATATATACCAAGCATCATTTCTTTGTAGTGGTAAATAAAAGCATAATTTTGTCTTATTATTCTCCGGTGGTTCCTGTATGATTTACAAGCGATGAAGATCCTAAAGTACATGGTGGTTTAAGCAAAGCCACATTGTTTCCCTATGGGCTACAGTACTCTCGTCCAGACAAGTCAGCTGGTGCCATCGGCAGTTCCAGCCTCTTAATTTCTGTCTGTGCCTCCTGGCTGATGGGCAAGCCCCAACGATGGTAGTGAAGAATTAAATCTGAACCTACACTACGACTCAAAATTTTGTAAACGTAATCATACTGATGACTAGTTCTGGATGCCAAAGTGTTAGCTTCATTCAATGGCAGAGAACGAGTAGTGCGATTTAACCGTCTGAACATTTCCCATCCTGACTGGGGGAATGCATGTTTGATTTCCATGAGAAATACGAGCTTCTGCCAGCAATCGGCCTCTATAAAAGTTAACCCTTTGTCCACTGCTGCTGCTGTCTTCATGTACTGATTTTCCTTCTTCAGGCGATCTTCACCCTTCAGCTTTTCTTGAATATACAAAGAGAACAAATTAACGGTTGTCTCACTTCCATAAGCATATGACCACCATTTTCCCTGCTGATAGTTGTGACCTAATTCATGCCAAGTGACCCAGTCATGTGGTGTAGATGGACAGCACAGGTCATAACAATACCTATCGAACATAGCTGGGAAGCCAGCATGTGCACTCCCAGCTTTTATTTGGACATCATCAACCAGCCACTGCTTGCCTCGTGGGGGAGGGTCAGTTTCGTCAAAGCCAGAGAGGAACTCTAATTTGCTCATCACATCATCATATCGCAGCAGTAACCCCTGAGGATCAGTGATGTTCCTTGCAGTAATTGTAGGAACCACTACTACTACTTTATGTGTTTCCAAAATTGAGAATGGTGCATCTAACTGCTTCATATTCTGCCACTGTAAAGCATTATTCTGTCCCAAAATATATCGTGGAGCTCTGACAACATTCCTCACTTCAACTGTTATATTGAAATGATCACCTTCATCAAACATGAAGATCAAGTTGCCCCCAAACTGGCAACGCATGCTATTCACACCAGGCTCCACATCAAACTCTTCTGTCACAAGTGGAAAGCGATTGAAATTCCTTCCCGATACATTGGCTGACGATGGCTCTAGACAGTCACACTGGGCACCAACACGCACTGTGATCTGTGATGCTCTTTCAAGTGAAAGTGTTTCAGGCAGGATCACATGGAAAACATCACCAGCAGCAACATAAAAATCAGTGGCCTTCCAGTTTTCAGGTAGAGTCATACGGAGATTCTCACGGTGTCCTAAACTGGTGATGTCCAAGGGAATGTTGGCATTGATCCTGGGTGTGGTGGGAGCTACACGGCCGGGGAAGTCTTCCACATCACGGGTATGGGGTATTGGTTCTGACAAAGGACTCAGCTTGTTGATAAATCCTCGGGCAACTTCCTGTTTGTACTTGTTATGGTCCTGAGCAGAAAATGGATATATTTTGCGATTTGATGCAGATTTAAGACCAGATAATGTCCACCATCTCTGATTTTCACCACCATGTTTTGGGTACATAATAATATTTGTTCGGGGCTGTTCCCAAGGCACATCCAAGACAAATGACTCAAATGAAAACACTCCGTTTGAATCGAGGGACCAGAAATGAGAGTTGGAGCTACAGGAAGCGAGTTTGATGGTGTGCGAGTTCCAATCAGGTGCGAGACAGAAGGAAAGGTTGCCTCCCCACTGCCACTGGCCATCTTTCACAAACCACTGCTGCCTCTTGCTGCCCTCATATGGTGCCAAGCCCACCACAGCATCATCAGGACCTGTACCACTCAGCACTGTCACAAATGTGTGGGTGCTCTGGCTGATCAAATAGTCTGCAGCCTCTGTTTTAGTGGGGAAATTGTTATTAGCCATTTTTTCATAAATTTTTTAGAAACATGTTGTTAGCAGTTAAACCTTCTGACTTATCATTGATATATATATATATATATATATATATATATATATATATATATATATATATATATATATATATATATATATATATATATATATATATATATATATATATATATATATATATATATATACAGTATATTTTATTTTTATTTATTTATTTATTTTTTTTATGAAATAGTATACAGAACAGCACAGTATAAGTCTCGATAACAGACTAAATGATGAAGTTATTTATCACTAATGAGAGGTTTTCCTTCAGATGAACTTCAAATTTTTCCAGGAGCCAGGAGGGCAATTAAAATTTAATAATATGCAAGAAATTCATCACTAAACCTCAGCTTTTATGTGATCTGTAGAGTTAACTGTAGGTCAGGTCAGGGTCAACAGGTGGAGTGTGCAGATAACATGGCTGGGGAGAAGGACCACTTATCCTGGCACTTACTTTAACCCTGGGCACCTCATCCCTTACATCCTTAACCCTCTTATCTTCTCACTGATAAAGTAATGTACTATACATATATCCATTTGATTATGCATGTCTAAGGTTCTCCAGTCTACCTGTATTTTGAGATCTTAATAGTTTTTATATGACATTCTAGCTCTAATATTATAGTCTAGTAACAAAATAAATTAAAATATTCGGATTGAGAAAAAAGAAAACAGAATTAGTGGGACAAAAAAGTAATTTCAGAGCTAATTTCAGTGGACCAAACAATTTATGCACTGTACTTATGTGGGTTTGATTACAGGCTTCCCATGAGCACTCCACGTGTGTGAGAAACCCAGTAAAACTAGGAAGCTTAAGATAAGATTTCTCCTGTAATTGCAGCCCTGATGAGCAAACTCCTCAGAGGTGAGAGCTGTAAGTCCAAGCAGTCATGCCACTGTGCATCATGCCTCCCACAACCCAAGCAAACTATAAATGTGCCTCAGTCACCTTGCACTAGTCTCATAAGGATCCATGTTTTGGCAGCTTAGTGCTTTATTCATTTATTTAGAGTAAGAATGTTTACAAATGCTTAATGACATGGTTGGTAGTTAACTGGTGGGCAAGCAAATAGTGTGTTTGAAATACACTGCACTGTACAGTACGAGTGTTCCACATGTATAGCCCATCTTCATTTTTCTCTGGTGTGGGATCAGGCTTAAGCTGTGAGGATTCTTAGGTTCCTTTGAAAGCTTTATAATTGGGATGTCAGGAAGTTTTCATTTGGTAGTATTAAACCTCTAATACAGTAAACCCTTGTTATATGTGGGGGTTAGGTTCCAAGGAATGGCGCGAATAGGCAAAACCGCGAATAGCAATGTATACTACCTTAGTGCACTACTGTATACCTATACCAAACAACCGACCAGCTGTGGTAGCACTCATCCCCTCCTTTAACTTGTCTAATAATTCAACTTTCTTTGTCAAGGTCATCACTGACTTCTGCCTTTAATGTTTCACTCCACTAGCATCATTAGCACTGACACTGGGCAGCCTTTTAGGGTCTATTTTCACACAGAAACACTAAAGTTTTGAGAGTACAACATGAGATGCTGTGTGGGGTGACTCGTTGCGCTGTGGGAAAAGGCGCCCAAGCTAGCAACCATCTGCTTACCGCGAATCATCGCAATGGCGAATCACAAACCCACGAATGGCAAGGGTCTACTGTACTGCCTTAAGGTAAATCAGATCTGCCATGATGAACAATTCTCTCAACCTTCCTTTAAACCTGCTGCCATAATGAACACCTTTTCTCACTTCCTTAGGACCTGCTGCCATCATGTTAAAGGACCTATTGCCATGCTTTTTTCACTTGCTGCCTGATTGGATATTTCTAATCTGCCTGCTTGACCATTCCATTCCTGTTTGCCTCCATGTTTTACCTCCTGTCAACCTGTCTACACTCCCTGCTTGCTTGACACTCCTACTTGTCCTACTCTACAGACCAATTAATCACAAACTAGAATAATGTATTATGATTTAATTGTGTATAAAAATTAATACATGTAAGTGCAAGAGAACAGTTGTACAATATTCTATGTTATTATATACAACTTACAAATGGGTTTACTGTATGTACTTTGACTTTGCATAAAATGTTAATCGTCTATTTCCTTGGTAATAGGTTCCTAATAATTGCACTACTTAAACAGATGTTTTTATATGAATTAATTGTTTTATAAGAAGGTCTCAAACATCCTGAGTATTTATAATTCCAATTCCACCAAAATCTGAGTCAAGACTTGATGAATATGAACAAAAAGATTGTTTCACTCACCTTGGGGGTGGCGGTCATTGGAGCATTGAGTCTCATGTTGACATACATGGGCTATGGCTTCTGGCAAGCAGTGGCTTGTGTTGTGTTCAGTGGTCCCCAGGCATGACTTGAGGCTGGACAGCGTCCACCACTGCTGGTTGCTGTAATTGTGCTTAGGATACATGATAACACGGGTTCTTGGCTTCTCCCACGGCACGTCAAGAGCATGTGATCCCACAACCATCCTATCAGCAGCATCCAGTGTCCAAACAACCCGGGAGGTAGCAGAAGGGGCCAATCCTACGCTACCCTTATCGTCTGGCACCAGGCAGTAGGAGCGATTGCTTCCCCACTGCCACTGTCCCTCATGGACAAACCACTGCTGCCTGGCTCTGCCTGTACACTTGGCCATGGCCAGGACAGCATCAGCAGGTCCAGTGCCTCTAACCACTGTCAAGCAAGTATGGCTACTTTGGTTCACAAGATATTCGGGCTCATCCTTTCCAGCCATTTCTGCCAAGCCACCTGCAATACAGCATATCCTCCATTAACATCATAACTAAATTCATCACAGTTACTATTTAATGCCTGAAATAAGTTTCTAAATGTTCACACCACAATATTACTTGAATATTGTACTGTTTAAACTAATACAGTGAAACAGCACTTTCATAAAAGATATTAACACAGGGGTACATCAAACGGTAATACTAGAGGAGAGTGGTCCGTACGACACAGGTTTATACAAGTTTTTATACAGTCCGACTAATTACCCAAATGTAGCCGGAATGAAGTCAAATAATGGTCCTAGATGAATAAATCGGACTGCCAATCACTTCTCGACTAGTATTTGGTGTCAGAAAGTCACAAAAAATTGGTAAACTTAATTTAATCCGAGTTACTAGATCGCGTGCATGTACCGACGGAGCGAGGAATTACCCAAATGTAGCCGCAATGAAGTCAAATGATGGTCGTACAAGTGTAATTCGGGCTGTGAATCACTTCTCGATTATTATTTGGTGTCATAAAGTAAAAAAAAATTGGTAAACTTAATTTAATCTGAGTTGTGTTGTGTTAGGTTAGGTTAGGTTTGGTTAGATTAGATTAGGTACATGCACTTGATCTATTAACTCAATTAAATTAAGTTTACCAATTTTTTGTGACTTCGTGACACCAAATACTAGTCGAGGTTAGGTTAGATTAGGTACATGCACTTGATCTATTAACTCAGATTAAATTAAGTTTACCAATTTTTTGTGACTTTCTGACACCAAATACTAGTCGAGAAGTGATTGGCAGTCCGATTTATTCATCTAGGACCATTATTTGACTTCATTGCGGCTACATTTGGGTAATTAGTCGGACCCGTGTTCATATTTTCCCACTTGAGGAGCCTTCTCTGTTCACTTTATACACCATACAAGGTTCGCTTCATAGATTCTTTAATTTCTTAATAAATTGATAAAAATTGACCTACCGACCTTAACCTAAAATACAGCAGTAGTTATTTTCTATTCTTCTAAAATAATATAACTTCTGGTACATTATATACAGAAGTACAAAGACCTTTAACCATTCTACAAATGAAAGGTAAATATTTCAGAGTTGCCGTGCACGGATATTACAATGGAAAATGGGTTTTTATAGTGAATTTCATCCCGTTTAATACTAATTTTACTCTAATTTCCGTCAGAAATAAGTTGTTGAGATAAGACACCCTCAATTAGCAACAATACTGGTTGCACAAAGTGTGAAATACTTTTTACTATACAAAAATGCCTGAGAATAAAACTGCATTAAAGAAAAAATATTGTAATTATCTCTGTCATGCACTGTTGGGAAGTACTGGTCATGCACCGGCTCCTGAATGTACCTAAACCTGCTCTAGTGTTGGTCAAATCTGGTCTTGAAAGAGCTCACACTCGGTGCCGTCACAACACTCTCTGGTAGATTGTTCCAAGAATTCACAGCTCTTACTGTTTGACTCATTCCTCAACATGTGGTAGAGCACCAAAGCTCATGAGATGGCCTTGGACCTGCTTTCAACCTTCCCCTGTAGTTCCTTCTTCAAACTTTACTTTCCTCTCTCATCTCCTTTTATCTTCAGAGCCTATAATGCTCCCTTCTCTCCATCTACAGCAGCAGGAAGGAGGGTAGTGTACCTCAAGAAGCTTTAGTCTTCATTTCCTCACAGTATGGCATCTCATCACCTGGGGAGGGAATGAAGTATAAAAATAATATTTGATGTTAGAAGATAATTTATTTTTATTATTTTAATTCTCTTAATTATAGATAATCTCATAGTTCATATTCGGAATTTAAACAATTTAGTTTTATGTTTGTAATCAGCTTAATTTAAGGCACATAATAGAAACAGCAGTCAGTGAGCTACTCCCATAATAGGTGGGTGGCATAACTTAATGTTAAATATATACCACGAACAAAACCGCACGAGAGACTCAAAAAATTTCAGACAAGAGAAATAAGTGTAAACTACGTAATAAAAATTACTTTGGGATAATTATATTAGAGTAAGCAGATTTAGGTTAGGTATACTTTATCCGTTTATAAAACTATTGGATAGGTTTAGTGATTTTGTTTTTGGTACATAATATAACATTAGCTAACTCAGCTGATTGTGAGTTGTGACGTCATGAGTGCAGCGCCACATGTAGGTACACCACACACCCAGGACGATTGACGTTAGTGTGTGCATCTCATAATCATCATAGGGTATTGGCAAGACGACCAAGATGCTGCGGAACATTATAACGAAGACAATTTTGTGTGACAGTTCACAAACAAGGTGGTGGAGCCTCACCTCGGTAGCTCATCTACACAAGACTGTGCTTCATGACTTCCATGTAGGCAAGGAAGGTAAGATGGTTGAATTTGCTGGTTACTCCATGCCCGTACAGTATGGCAAGGTTGGCATAGCAACGTCTCACAAGGAGGTGCGCACTCACTGTGGTCTGTTCGACGTGTCTCACATGCTGCAGTCTAAGATCCACGGCCAAGACCGCATCAAATTTATTGAGAAGCTGATAGTTGGGGACATAGAAGGTCTGGCAGACAACACTGGCACGTTGTCTCTCTTCACCAACCCTCAGGGCGGCATCATCGACGACCTCATCTGCAGCAAGACTGACCTGGGCTACCTGTATGTGGTGAGCAACGCCGGGTGTAAGGAGAAGGACTTGGCTCACCTCAAGGAACACTTGTCCTCCTTCAGAGCAGCTGGAGGTGACGCTCAGCTGGAGGTCATCGAGGATCATGGTCTGGTGGCCGTCCAGGGTCCACAAGCTGCACATATATTACAGGTAACTATGAAAGGCAAAGCTTTGCTACCTTTATGGCGGCTTAATCTCTCGGAATACTATTTAGCGGTTCTTGTGCACCTAAACCCCGATAACCACTTGTGTACTGGGTCCCCTCTGAGCTGTATAAAATCATCTGGCATTAGCCCAATATATGGTATTTTAGTTTCGGTCATCTGGGGAATCTTAAGAATATAGCTTAGGTTAGATATAGTTCCTGGTTTCTGTGGCTAGGTTGGTTAGGTTAGGTTAGATCAAAATCATTCATAACACGGCAAAAACCATTGTAAAAAACATAGGGACGACCGAAACTATAATTTTACCAAATAAAATAGGCAGTGTATATTTTGCTGTGAAGAATTATTTCCCTATACATGTTGTGCATGATATCTAGGCAAGACTGAAGTTTTTGCCCTCGTGTTGGTGGTACATGACATGACGAGAAATGGCTTGGGTTTGTGTTTTCCATCCCTTTCAAATATTGAATGTCTTTGAGATCTGTACTATTATGGCTTGTTTGAAGGGATGTTTGTCCTAATTGCTGTGTTCCTCCATTTTTTTAGGGATGTTAAGTCTTTCTGGAAGTAGGCTTTCCAAGCCTGTACAGTACAGTACCTGTATACTGAATTCCAGATTGGGACGTATGTGAGGCATACAGTTGAAGGAGCATTTTCCTGTCTTGGTATTTGAAGGTATGCTTTATAATTCATAGATCTTAGTTAGCTTCTTTTTTCTTTTATTTTTTTACTGCTGTTTTTACTGCTGCTCCCACTTGTTGTGCTGCCTTCGGTGACTGATCTATCACAATGCCGAGATGTTTTTCCTTATCAACAGTATCTAGGAAAGTGTTTTTAGAATAGTTGTGCAAAATCTTACTTTTTGTAATGTTATAAAGCACTTGCCAGACTTGACCATTTGTAGATCACAAACAAAGTGGGTCCAAGGATAGATCCATGGGGTCCGACTAATTACCCAAATGAAGCCAAATATAGCCAGAATGAAATCAAATAATGGTCCTAGATGAATAAATCGGACTGCCAATCACTTCTCGACTAAGAACATAAGAATGCAGGAAACTGCAGCGGGCCTATTGGCCCATACTGGGCAGTCCCGTTTACACCCAACCCCTATTGCTCATATAAGCATCCAACCTATGTTTGAAGCTATTCAGCGTATTCGAGTTAATGATGATATTTGGTAACTTGTTCCATTCATCCACTACTCTGTTTCCAAACCAGTGTTTACCTATTTCACGCCTATATTACCATATCTTTCTCATTATGTTATTCACTGTCCAAAAATTCGATAACTGAATGGCTTTCAAGTAACCCTAAACAATTTGGATAAAAATGGATAACTGTACAATTAAAGACAAAAGTCGTGTTGCGGTTTTGTCCGAAGATTAAATATAACTTGTGAAACAAGGCAGAGCGCACCAAAAGTGTAGCCCTTCGGCATATGTTTTCACCAAATTTCACGACACGACTTTTGTCTTTCATTGTACACATCCAGTGTAAAAAGCATGGGGTTCAAACCAGTTACGGTAGTTAAAGTGGCTTAGATAAACCTAGAAATTTTTAATTCTTAAACCTATGAAAATAGTTATTTTTCTTCAAAGAAACAGTTGGGTGGTAAAGTATATAGCAGGGTTAAACCCCTTGTAAAAGCACATGAAACGAACCAACAAACATGATCTAATTGATCGGTTGTTTGTTTCATGAACTCGGATAATATTAAATCCCTGAGCCTCTGTCCTGACTGTAAACGGATAGATCCACTATTCCTGAGGTAAACAACTTACTGTACAAGACACATCAAGGGTAATTTGCATGTCCTTTAGTATTGGGTGTAGGAAAATGTTGATGGATCTCAGCCACGACTATGAGTTCATGTGGTATGGTGTAAGGTGTTCTAAACCATTATATTACAGTTGTATTATGAACAACTGTAGTTCAATTGGAGGAAGAATAGTTGGAACTTTGTTAACGGTTATCCAATATTAACGCTTTATTTTGTAGCCCATAACAGAGGGAAACCTGGGAGACCTATACTTCATGAACACACGGGAGATGCGTGTGGCTGGCATCCCATGTCGAGTAACAAGATGTGGCTACACTGGAGAAGATGGTGTCGAGATCTCCGTTCCAAATAATAAGGTTTGTTGATAATGTGATTGTGTTCTCCCCAGTGACAAAGTTTCTTGATAGGCAGTGGTTACACCTAAGTCAGTGGGGCCAAACAGCAGGTTATTCTTGGATTTAGGGTTCTGTCAACACTTCTCTGGTTGACACTATAGTTTCTTCATAACTTGTATTACAGTAATATGATAATGCAGGGTTGGAATTTTTTTTTTTTTTTAACCCAAACATTTTTAATGCTATTGTGTTGGTTTTAAAAAGTTTTAAGTATTTTTAGCCCCTTTCATAACTTTTTGATATGGTATTAATCATAAACATTACATTCAGGATGATTTAGCCATCATTTATTATCTTTTCCATCTCGAAAAATCACCGTAAAAAGGACAAATTTGAGACACAAGCTTTTATCAGTCATCCAGTCCCCTACTACCTGCTTAAAGGCAAAAACTAAGTTTAAATTCATCTTAATGCATGGGAAAACTATTCTACTTTTATAGTTGAAACTTATAAAGAATTTGTCTAAGTACAGTTGGAGAGAGAGAGAGAGAGAGCTGGACCCTCATAAGATGTGATTTGAATACTAAAATCAAGGGCTCAGACCACAACCATAAACAGAAGCAGTAATACTAGACAGTGGCAACTTGGCTCCCTTATAATCAGGATATGGGGTGTGAGCAACCCTGTAAGAGAGCTTTTAATCACCACGTTCACAAGTGTATACCAATAATAGTTCACATACAGTCAGGGCTGTGGAGTCGAAGACAAAACCTTCGACTCCGACTCCTCAAATTTTTATGCTTCCGACTCCGACTCCGACTCCTTGGCCTATTTGTAACAACTATTTCTACCATCCTAATTGTAATTTATGGGTTTTCGAGGTCATTTCTTGGTGCTTGTGTATTATTCTGGATGTACTTAAATAGTTAGGCACATTAAATTTTAGTTCAGAGAGAAAAAGTATTTTTGGCCAAAAATCCTTTAAGGCTTTAGACTTACAATTTTTGTCATTTCGGCCAAAAAATGGATTTTGTTCAAAATTTCAGTATAGGTACTCCTGAATGTGCTGCTTAAGGATCTGTTAACCAAAATTTGATATCTTGATTATAACTTGTTCAAATGGCTTTTAGAAAATGTTCAAATGATTTTTAGAATATTTTAATTACTTTTGCAATGCTAATTACTCGCCACTTATGGGTTTTCGAGGTCATTTCTTGGTGCTTGTGTATTATTCTGGATGTACTTAAATAGTTAGGCACATTAAATTTTAGTTCAGAGAGAAAACGTATTTTTGGCCAAAAATCCTTTAAGGCTTTAGACTTACAATTTTGTCATTTCGGCCAAAAAATGGATTTTGTTCAAAATTTCAGTATAGGTACTCCTGAATGTGCTGCTTAAGGATCTGTTAACCAAAATTTGATATCTTGATTATAACTTGTTCAAATGGCTTTTAGAAAATGTTCAAATGATTTTTAGAATATTTTAATTACTTTTGCAATGCTAATTACTCGCCACTTATGGGTTTTCGAGGTCATTTCTTGGTGCTTGTGTATTATTCTGGATGTACTTAAATAGTTAGACACTATTAAATGCAGTAAACGCATTCTATGAGAACAGCAGGACAACAGTAAGAGTAAATGAGAAAGAAAAAGTGAAACATTTGAAATAAATGTGGGTGTTAGACAGGGATGTGTTATGTCCCCATGGTGGTTCAGTACATGTACTGTATGCAGGGCTGTGGAGTCGGAGTCGAGGAGTCGGAGGAAATTTCGGCTTGTGGAGTCGGAGTCGGTAAAATTGTCCAGACTCCGACTCCGACTGAAGCTATTCTGTTCCTAAGAACAAATATATGAACTCAGGCATATTCATTGCAGTGATTCCACTGATCCCACTAATTTTCTTAAATTATTAAAAGAATTTATTTCCATTTTATAAGCATTATTATGAATTTATTGTAGCAGGCACAGTATAGCACTATAATTTTGGACGATAGTCTCTTCTTTACCATTTGAAATTTTGAATTATATCAAATTTTGTTTCGTTGAAAACTGCACAGAGGCTCTCAGCTACAAAACAATTAGCTACAACCTGTTTTTGGTGAGATTAAGGCAAATTTAATTTAATAACTTAATCATGTAAGGTTTATCCATTTTCCTTAATAAGGTATTCATTTCTTTAATGTACATAAATATATAACTTTACTTTAAAAGGAATTGTAGGATCATCATTTAGATCCACATCAGATTATGAGCTTAAACAAAATTCATATGCTGAGATCGAACTTTTAGATATACATGTAAATGGTGTTTTCTAGTTAATATCTTGAATTCTTAATAAATTTATTTTTCTTTTGATTGAAACTTTGAAAGTCAAGCCTATCATCTTTTTGTAGTTCTTAAATATCGTCCAGATCATTAATAAAGCTGTAGCAGTATAGCCACGGTGTTTTACTTTTTACCTATGCAGGTTACAACATACAAATTACAATTAGGATGGTAGAAATAGTTGTTACAAATAGGCCAAGGAGTCGGAGTCGGAAGCATAAAAATTTGAGGAGTCGGAGTTGGAGTCGGAGTCGAAGGTTTTGTCTTCGACTCCACAGCCCTGGCACAAAGTATGCAAAGTATCAGGGTGAGGCTTCGTCAGCTGACTTAGTGGCTGCAGATTCCTTCCCTGAAATTGCCAATCAAATCATTCAAGAGGGAGGTTATACCCTGGATCAGATCTTTAACTGTGACGAGACCGGGTTGTTTTGGAAAAAATCCCCTAAAGCAACATTTATCTCTAAGAAAGAAACACAGGCAAAAGGTGTGAAAATGGCAAAGGATCGCTTTAGTGTCCTCCTAATCTGTAATGCTTCAGGTGACTGTCCCATGAAGCCTCTGGTGATCTACAAATATAAAAGACCAAGAGCTTACAAGGGATGTGATATGTCCAAACTGAATGTCTACTGGGAAAAGACAAATAAAGGCTACATGTCTACGGAGTTATCAAAGAAGTGGTTTGATGATTGTTTTGTTAAGGATGCCAAAGAATACTGCCGGAAGAAGAATGTAACCTTCAAAGTGGTGCTCTTTCTTGACAATGCCCCCAGTCATGCACGACTTCTAGTAGGACATCACCCTAGCGTTGAGGTTGTGTTTCTTCCACCAAATACAACCTCCAAAATACAGCCACTAGACCAAGAAATCATAGCAAATGTAAAGTTGCTGTACTACAAATATGTCCATGACAAGATGAGGAAGGAAACTGATAAGCAAGAAGAAGTGAAGGAAATTGCTGAAACTGTGAGCAGTAGCGAGGAGGAGGTGGAGGGTCCACCCCTCGCCGCCTCTGCTACTCCGCCTGGCTCACACACCACCTCCATTACTCCGCCTGCCTCACTCACAGCCTCCGCCTCCACTCCTCCTCCTGGCGTACCTTCAACCTCCACAGTGACTGTTACTGCCTTCTGGAAAAATTATAACATTCGCCAGGCAGTCAATTTCTTTGTAAAAGCCTGGGGAAATACTACGAAAGCAACCGTTAGGCATGCCTGGTTGGCAATCCTGCCACAACTCAAGTCTGCCGAGATGAAGAGACAGCAGCCAGCAGAGCTAATGAACCAAGTGTTGGAAACCGTCCGCAGTATCCCAGCCCCAGGATTTCAAGAAGTGACTCGGGAAGATTTAGAAGAAATTATGCAAGAAGGTAACACAAATGACGTCGAGGATCTCCTGGAGGATGAAGAAGGTGGTGAGAGTGGTTATACAGCGAGTGATGCAGGGGAGACCGAGCAGAGGAAAGTGACGACACAGAAGCTGTCACTCTTATTGGGTGTCTTTACCAGCCTTCAAGAGATGATCCAAGACATTGAGAGTGAATCAGGTGAAAGGGAGCAAGTGATTGGAGTTATAGAATCTATTTCGAGGAAATACCAGACGCAGTACAACGAGCGAGTGAATGCCCGGCAGCAGTCACTCATCACTCGCTTTCTTTCACAACGCCAGCCAGCCGAGGAAGACCAACAGAGAGAGGTTGAAGTTGATGATGACATTGGGGAAATGCCTGAAGATTTTGACTTTGCGGGGTTTGATGAAGTGTTAGCGGAAGTGGGTGAACCGGGTGCCAGAGGCCAGCACGGAGATGGAGGTTCAACGCAGTAGCTTCCATGCCCAGCCACTGAACAATAAACACACCAAGCACCTCAAAAACTCCCCCAAGCTACAGGTAAGTGTTATATTACTCAAATTCTTTATTCTGATGATTGAATAACAAATTTTTTTATTTCAGCTAACAAAAAGTGTTAGGCAGGGCTTCAAAGGGGAACAAATGGGTGAAATTCTTGGGGCGGCGGCACCAATAAACCCTTTTTACATGTATTTCAATGTCACACAAATAACGTTTTCGCTAATAACAGCATTTTTCAGGCACCTATTAGACGTCATTGGCAAGAGCCTACTGTAATCTCCTGAATGTACTGATTAAGGAACTGTTGTCCGCATTTTGTTATCTGTATTATTACTTGTCCAAATGTGTATATTTAGATTGGTTGGTATTGAAGTTTATGTTACTATATACTTCTGTTTTCTACTCCCATTCAGGCAGTTGAGCTGTGTGAGACACTTGTAGGATTAGGTGTCCACCTGGCAGGTTTGGGTGCTCGAGACTCACTCAGACTGGAAGCAGGACTCTGTCTCTATGGTAATGATATTGATGACACCACAACTCCCATTGAAGGGGGTCTCACATGGACTATTGGAAAGAGGCGCAGACAAACTGCAGATTTTCTTGGAGCAGAGGTGATTCCACTTGTTTTAAGGAAGATTTGCCACCCGATTATCATCTTCCTCCCTTTGTTTATTTTTCAATGTCCTTTCATTATTATCAGACATTTTTGATACAGTATGTTAATGTGAAACATTGTAGACCGGTATAGATGTTAAAGATTCACTCTTTGTACTGCTTATACTAGTTGTGTAAGTTGTTCTACTTTATTCAGTCCTTTCCTTTCATTTTCTACACCTGTCTTGTATCATTCTCTCTGTTATTATTTCCCTTCTCTCTTGAGGTGTGTCTCTTTATACACTACACCTGACATGAAACTGAGAGAGAAGAGTATATATATATATGTATATGTGCAAGTAAATCACTGTAGGTGCGCATGATCTAGGTATAAGCTGATAACCACAAGGAAAGAAGAAAACACGAAGTTCCCAAGTGCTTTCGTGTAATTCACATCTTCAGGGGTGAGTACAGCATATATATATATATATATATATATATATATATATATATATATATATATATATATATATATATATATATATATATATATATATTATATATATATATTATATATATATATATTATATATATATATATATTATATATATATATATTATATATATATATTATATATATATATTATATATATATTATATATATATATTATATATATATTATATATTATATATTATATATATATATATACAGTGGGGTATGCTATAACGAACGTAATTGGTTCCAGAACCTCGTTCGTTATAGCATTCGTTCGTTATAGGATTAATCCGTTCCAGGCCCCCAAATACAACCACCTAACACTGAAAAAATTCTGTGGAAAATCTAAAAAATACGGTACTTTATCTTACCTTAGTGTTATTCAGCATGCAGGTACCCCTAAACACTGGCACATCACTATCACTTCCACTGGGAGTCTTGGCTTTAAGGTCCTCAAACAATTGTCTGGCCTTCTCACAAATTATAGCTTCACTAATGTTACCACCTGCCATTTCTTTCTCCTTTATCCACACTAAGAGTAAATTTTCCATCACTTCAATCACATTACACTTTGCTTTGCTAAGTCTAAAGATTCCCTTAGCCACTTGCACAGTTTTTAACTCCTCTTTATTCTTCAAAATCGTACATATAGTAAATTTAGCCATCCCATATTCATCACTAAGTTTCGCAATGCTTCTCCCATTCTCGCGTTTCTTTATAATTTCTTTCTTAGTTTCAAGGGTTATTAGCTTTCTCACTCGCTTTGGACGACTCATTGTTACAATTGTATACTTGTATAACAAAATAGTTATACAAATAACGCGAATTTCCACATCAAAAGACGAAATTTCAACAATAACAGTGGTGCACTGGCTACACAATGAGACAAAGATGGCGCCTGACGCTCTTGTTGTGGGTCGTGGTTCAACAATATTCATGCGCCAGGCGAAATAGTCCCGTATTCATCCGCGTTCGTTGTAGGAGTTGCGTTCGTTATAGCATTCTCAATTTTAAAGGTAAAACCGTTCGTTATAGGAATATTCGTAGTAGGATCCGTTCGTTACAGCATACCCCACTATATATATATATATATATATATATATATATATATATATATATATATATATATATATATATATATATATATATATATATATATATATATATATATATATATATATATATATATATATATATATATATATATATATATATATATATATATATATATATATATATATATATATATATATATATATATATATATATATATATATATATATATATATATATATATACATACATACATACATACATACATACATACACACACACACACACACAGTGGGGTATGCTATGACGAACGGATCCTACTACGAATATTCCTATAACGAACGGTTTTACCTATAAAATTGAGAATGCTATAACGAACGCAACTCCGACAACGAATGCGGATGAATACGAGACTATTTCGTCTGGTGCATGAATATTGTTGTACCGCGACCCACAACAAGAGCGTCAGGCGCCATCTTTGTCTCATTGTGTAGCCAGTGCACCACTGTTATTGTTGAAATTTCGTCTTTTGATATGGAAATTCGTGTTATTTGTATAACTATTTTGTTATACAAGTATACAATTGTAACAATGAATCGTCCAAAGTGAGTGAGAAAGCTAATAACTCATGAAACTAAGAAAGAAATCTTAAAGAAATGTGAGAATGGAACAAGCATTGCGAAACTTAGTGATGAATATGGGATGGCTAAATCAACTATATGTACGATTTTGAAGAATAAAGAGGAGTTAAAAACTGTGCAAGTGGCTAAGGGAATCTTTAGACTTAGCAAAGCAAGGTGTAATTTGATTGAAGAGATGGAAAATTTACTCTTAGTGTGGATAAAGAAGAAAGAAATGGCAGGTGATAGCATTAGTGAAGCTATAATTTGTGAGAAGGCCAAACAATTGTTTGAGGACCTTAAAGCCAAGACTCCCCGGGGAAGTGTTAGTGCTGTGCCAGTGTTTAGGGGTACCTGCATGCTGAACAACACTAAGGAAAGATAAAGTACCGTATTTTTTACATTTTCCACAGAAAATTTTCAGTGTTAAGCGGAAAATCTCCCATTTCCTGTAGGTGCCTCATAACTGGGGTTCTACTGTATAGTATTTGTAGATTGAAAAATAAGTGTTTCAGGCATTAATAGATTGTAATGCTTGCAAGAGTTCAGAAATGGTTCCTGCTTAGCTATCTCTGAAGAGTTGGGTGTGAACTGTTTCTAAGTAAGCAATAATATAATTTTTAATTCTGGATTTGGGCTAAGTAGAATTTAGCCTACTGGAGATAACAACTGAGGGATTCATTAGCCTATGGAAAACAGCAACTTCACACATAGGATGCAGACTGATTTTTTCAGACCAAAAAGTGTCTTAAATGCCATAAAATACAGAAATTTTTTGTTGTGCCATCATGTATTCATTATAAGTACAGTATTCCATTTATGTAACATTTATTATTAAAGTATGTGATCCTTAGTAAATGCCAGTTTTATCTGTTTAGATAATCTTACGGCAACTGAAGGAGAAGCCAGAACGTCGTCGAGTTGGCCTCACTTGTAGTGGACCTCCCCCTCGCTCTCACTCTCCTGTCCTTGATGCTGACGGTAATCAAATTGGAGAAGTAAGTTTACCTACAAGTTCATTCCGTACTTATAAAGTATAGGTAACTGAGTCATAACCTATGGTGTGTACAGTACACTGATGGCTTACCTTTCTCCTCCTCTTCCAGTAGGAAGCCTACCCATATAGATACGTCTTCTTCCCCAGATAAAAGTCTCTTCCAGTAATATTTTGTATGGCTTTGTTGTAATGATTTAATTTTTCAAGTGCAAACAGTTTTATTCGTTTATAATTTCAATGTATATTTTTTTTTTCAGTTAGGAGGAGGTTTTATGTATAACATATAAGTTGCAAGCAGATTTATTATTTTGATACATTATATACCTGTATTTACATATTCATTGTGAATGAACAATGAACATCCTTGGTTTTGATGAAAAGGCTCACTGGTAACTCGTAAATTAATCAATTCTCAAACACTAATATTGAGGTATTTACCGGGGGTTTTAAACCACCCTGGACTTGGTGCCACGTTACAAGTTAAAGTATGGGCCCTGCCATAAAACATTATTCCAGAATCAGTATTTCATTAAACATGGATTTCACTGTACTCCCCAGTTGGAGGCCATTATAGGTTGCCAGTACACCACACACCTTCCTCTACAGGTCTTAAGAACAATTTGGTCAGTTAGTTACATAGTGCTGTGAACTTATACACAACTGTACAGAAATGAGACAGACTGCTGACAGATAATGACTAATATGATGGGAGGAGAAGTGAAAAGATATGATCATGATGATGATGTGAATATGAAGGAGAATGTATACAAGTAAAACATGTGAGTACTATAGTATGTGTGGGTGTATCACTTGTATTGTTGCTTGGTGTTGCTGGCTCAAGGAAACACAGGCTTGTAGGTGCATTGATCTGTACAGTAGTGCAGTGAGACACCAACTGCTATTACAAGGTAACACATGGACTGGAAACCTAGTGCCACATAATTCATACCCAACCAGCTGTCACTCACACCACCAGAGAGTAGCACTCTTACACACACACATTCATGCCACAAGAGGAGGGCTCACTTATTTGAGATCACTTATATACAGCCTACATAAATACCATACAGTCACCTTGTTAACTTAGCCCTTTCCTCTCATTTTCTTTGCAGGTCTTGTACCATTTTTTCCTATTACAGTACTGTATTAATCATATTGATAATAGATACAGATTTAGCTGTTCTCTCATCCTGCAGGTGACCAGTGGATGCCCAGCACCATCACTGGGAATAAATGTAGCTATGGCTTATGTTCCTGCAGCTTTCGCCAAGGTTGGTACAAAGCTCAGTGTTCAGGTGCGTAAAAAGAATATCCCAGCTACAGTGGCAAAAATGCCTTTCGTCAAGTGCAATTATCATAATAAAAAATAGGCTTATGATTATTTATGCTTCACCCTTAAAAAGTGGTCAACCTTACTGATAACTTGTAGGACTGTAATGTTTTCTTTATGTGGATTTATTTTTTTACAAAGGTGAGAAAAATTACTCATTATTCAATCTGTTTTTTGGGGACCTTTGTCTCATTTCATGTAAATAAAACATGATGCAATTATAGACATAGTAATCACTGAGGTATGAAGCACAGGTTTACTTCTGTTATAAAAAAATAGTGTTTCACATGATGGTGCTTCCATTAAAGTATTCCATTGGTCTTTCAGTTGTTAAACGGTACCATTTTGTTTACCTTGACTCTTTCTATGAAATAGTTTGCTCAAGGTTGGTGTTTATCATTACCCTGTGTTGTCAGGTTAAACAGTGGAATTCAGACAGTTCTTCTTTGTTATTGTTTTAATTGTATGTGTGTAAAGACTATATTGTTAATTAATTTTATGTAAAGATTAATTTATGTCACGTAACCCCCCCACCCCAATCTAGCGTTTTGTTTTGAAACCCATGGTGAAGAATTTTGGTAAAATTCCATGTCGGTGACCGTGAAGCTTGGAGTCAGAACCACCAAAATTAGGCTAATCTCCATGCTTATGTGTACACAACACCATAGATAAAGTTTGGCCAACCTTAACACAGGTTGTTACTCAAAGTCAGAGGTCTTTTTGGGCTGTCTCCCACATAATAATTGGATTTGTAATTAATATCACATTATATTGAGAAATCTTTATTAATGAAACATCAAAGAGGGTCCTCATTATTACCGAATTGACCCATTACAGTAGTCCCTCGGTTTACGAGCACAATCCGTTCCAGCAGGTTGCTCGTTAACTGAAAAACTCGTTAACCAAAACCATTGTTTCAATGGGTTTTTGGGTAATTGGTTCCAGCTCACCGAAAATTGCCTAAATTCAACAACAAAGATAGAAAGTACACTTACTTTGAGGTGTGTATGTAGAAGGCTCCTGAATGATGATGATGATGGGAATTAGAATGGGGGTGGAGGAGAAGGGAGAAGAGAAGGCATTGGGGTGGAAGAGAAGTCACCCCATGGCGCCATTTCACCCATAAAATTTTAGTTCTCTTGGTGTAATTCAAGATTATTTTCCTTAAATCAACACTGCACTGCATTATATATTGTCAATATGTAAAATAAATTTCAAAATGACCAATAATTTGCTTGGAAACAGAAAAAAAAGCGTTTAGTTGAAGAGAGTCTCAAGCAAGATGTTACCTCCACTGAAAAGAGAGAGAGACTAACGCCTGTTTGGTGTGTTGACAGGCTGGATGGAGCGCATAAGAATAGTTTCCTTACCTTCAATTATGTTCAATAATTGTTAAAATGACTAAAAAGGTTAATATTAAACTTTTAAAATTATTGAATAGTATAAACTTCTTAATATTTACTAAAATAGTAAGGAATTTAAGCCCTAAAACCGATTACTGTATTGGCGGACTAATACTACAGCTGGTGGACCGTCAAATGCAAGCGAAAACATGTTGAGGTCGTCTCGTGAAAAACTCGTTAATCGAGGGATTGCTCGTTAGCCGAAGTTAAGAATCTTATGGAAGGTAAATCGTTAACCGAAATCTCGTTAACCGAGGGATCACTGTATATATACTGTATAGTACAGTACAGTATATACTATTAAAAGAGTATAAAGAAGTAAATCCATATTAATCAATATCCGTACACTATTTTTTTAAATTTCTCTACAGCAAACCAAACTCTTACTCCCCAGTTCACCCCTTGGGTTCACTTGTTGCACATCATGTTTATGAATGTTTTGCTGCTTCCGTGCATAAATATGTAATCTCACTGTGAAAACATGCGAGGCAACAGTTTCATGATTTCATGACAGCATTAGGCTTGAGTTTCCTTATTTTGTTCACTCTGCCAAATTCATATTGAGTTATCAAAGTGAAATAAAAAGGTAAACTTTATGGAAATAAGCAGTTGACAGCTTTGTCAACTATCCTCGGTCAAGTTACCTTACTCTTCACCGTTGTTGTTTACCTGCACTATCTCGGCACACAGGAAACTGTATAATTCCACCGCTTACGTGCACCACATACCTACGTTGTCAATATTTGTGCCGAACTGTAAAATTGCATAGTTTATTTATATGCTTATCCAATTGTAAACCTGTATGACAGTTTTACTGAATAATCATCATCATCATCTACAGTACAAACACAAATTTCTTCATCAGCTGAGTAACAACACGGTGCCCACATGTAACGAGACCAGCTCGCCCAATCGGGTTCAATCACTGAGTTGGCCAAACTCTCTCTTATCTATGGCACTGTGTGTACGTTGTCATTTGTAAATGTTGGGAAGCACTTTCACTCAGTAATGTGATCAAGTGTGATTACAGAATAATATGTAAGAGAAGGGTTATATATTCCTCTCTGTGTGGTGTAAATAATCTGTAAATTATTTTCATTGGTCTTTTACTAGAGTTCACCATCAGTAGAGGTTATCAATAGTCACTGATGGATCCAGAGTAGAAGAGCTGATGGTGGGACCTTCCTTACCAGCTCAAAATACTACAAATACTAAAATATATTTTCGTACTATATTTTAATAATAGTTGGTATATTCAAGTGGCATAAAGACTTGATTGAGGTGCTAGTGCAGGGGGACAATCATTATTAGGAATCATCAAACATATTGTATATGACTTTACCCAAATTAGTCATGGGTTTCAGAACATAAGGCAAAGTAAATAACACTTTTTTCTCTGATGTACTGTACATGATATTTAAACCATAAGTAGTGTCATAATTTTTCATAGGCCTATATGAAGATAGATTTTTCTTTATTGTATGTACTGTAGAAATTAGATTTTAATATTTGAAGAGATATTTCAAATGTGCCAAAAAAAATTTGATAAAAGTATACAATAGGGTGGAATAATAGGGCAGTGAGCATTAACAAATTCAGGAATATTCTGAATTATAATTTTGCTGTCCAATTTATAATGTGAATACAGTATTCCACATTAGATACTGTACTCCATTATGGAAAAATAGAAAATAGAAATGTTAGTGCAGTATATAAATCCTATTTATCAGCCTAAACAAAGAACTTTTTAGCAATGAAACCTCAAGAGTACTGTATTGTATAATGCTGATTGGGGTTCTTACTGCTGTATGTAAGAGTGAGTCTCGCACTCACAAGTATTTGTCCACAACCGGAGGCATCTAGTCCTATAGTACAGTATACAGTAGCATTGACTTAAATGCCTTACAAATTTGATAAAATTACCATTAGTGATTGCTGTTCTTGTATCGTATGGTAAGTACTGTACACTAATAAAATTGCAGAACAAATAAATGATGAATTGGGCAGAATTAGCTGATTGTTTCTCAAAATGTTTCTTTAAATTTAGATTATTAAGAATTACTATACAAGATTTTGGAATAGCTAAAACGTTCTTCATTTGGACAAATTTCAAATTAGCAAACACTAAAAAAATTTGTACAGATTATCAGAAATAAATAAATATGAAATAATGAGTTTGATTCTTAAAACACCTTTTAAATTACTTGTAAAATGACACTAAGGTGTCTGAAACACCCAAATTTGCCTGTAAGATGACACCTTGGAGGCGGCTGCGCCCCCAAAGATCCGCCCAAGGGCATTGTCGAGCCCAGGAGCCGTGCAAGGGGCGCCGGTGCTCCCTGGGGCTCCCCAAAAAGTGGTGGCACCCCCAAGGGCTCTCCCAGGGATGGTGGCACCCTCAGGGGCGTCGGTGCTCCTAGGAGTGCTCCCATGGGCAGCGGGGCACCTCCAAGAGGCGGTGGCAGCCCAGGGCCCCTTCCAGAGGTGCCAGTGCCCCCAAAGGCCCTCCTAGGGGCGATGGTGGCTTCAAAGGCCCTCCCAGTGACAGCGGCGCATCCAGGGGCTCTCCCAAGTGCCCTTCCTAGGAGTGGCAGCGCCCGTTACGGGCACCTGCGACCCCAGAGACCCTCCCAACAGCCCTAGTGACCCCAGGGGCCATACAAGAGGTGGCAGAGCCTCCAGGGACAGCAGCACCCACAAGATCTCCCAAGGGCTATCATAGGGGTGGCAGAACCAGTAGGGGCGGCAGATCCCCCAGGGGCCCGTGCAAGGTCGGCTCATTCCCTAGGGGCCCTCCCCATAGAACCCAATAAAACCACATAAGACACAGTAGAACCCCATAGATCTTCTTAGAACCTCATACAACTCCAAGCATCTTGGGTGTGTGAAATGCCCAAATTTGCCTATAAAATGACACCAAGGCTATAGCCTTGGGTGTGTGAAATGCCCAAATTTGCCTGTAAAATGACACCAAGGCTATAGTCTTGGGTGTCTGAAATGCCCAAATTTGCCTATAAAATGACACCAAGGTTATAGTCTTGGGTGTGTCAAACACCCAAATTTGCCTGTAAAATGACACCAAGGTTATAGTCTTGGGTGTGTCAAACACCCAAATTTGCCTGTAAAATGACACCAAGGCTATAGCCTTGGGTGTCTGAAACGCCCAAATTTGCCTGTAAAATGACACCAAGGCTATAGTCTTGGGTGTCTGAAACGCCCAAATTTGCCTATAAAATGACACCAAGGCTAAGTCTTGGGTGTGTGAAATGCCCAAATTTGCCTGTAAAATGACACCAAGGTTATAGTCTTGGGTGTGTCAAACACCCAAATTTGCCTGTAAAATGACACCAAGGCTATAGTCTTGGGTGTCTGAAACGCCCAAATTTGCCTGTAAAATGACACCAAGGTTATAGTCTTGGGTGTGTCAAACACCCAAATTTGCCTATAAAATGACACCAAGGCTATAGTCTTGGGTGTCTGAAACGCCCAAATTTGCCTATAAAATGACACCAAGGTTATAGTCTTGGGTGTGTCAAACACCCAAATTTGCCTGTAAAATGACACCAAGGCTATAGTCTTGGGTGTGTCAAACACCCAAATTTGCCTGTAAAATGACACCAAGGTTATAGTCTTGGGTGTGTGAAATGCCCAAATTTGCCTATAAAATGACACCAAGGCTATAGCCTTGGGTGTGTGAAATGCCCAAATTTGCCTGTAAAATGACACCAAGGCTATAGTCTTGGGTGTCTAAATGGGACTTGTGTCAAACACCCAAATTTGCTGTAAAATAACACTTTGGTTATAGTCTTGGGTGTCTGAAACGCCCAATTTGCTGAATGACACCAAGGCTACAGCCTGGGTGTGTGAAATGCCCAAATTTGGCTATAGCCTTGGGTGTGAAATGCCCAAATTTGCCTGTAAAATGACACCAAGGCTACAGCCTTGGGTGTGTGAAATGCCCAAATTTGCCTGTAAAATGACACCAAGGTTATAGTCTTGGGTGTCTGAAACGCCCAAATTTGCCTATAAAATGACACCAAGGCTATAGTCTTGGGTGTCTGAAACACCCAAATTTGCCTATAAAATGACACCAAGGCTATAGTCTTGGGTGCCTGAAACACCCAAATTTGCCTGTAAAATGACACCAAGGCTATAGTCTTGGGTGTCTGAAACAACCAAATTTGCCTGTAAAATGACACCAAGGCTACAGCCTTGGGTGTGTGAAATGCCCAAATTTGCCTGTAAAATGACACCAAGGTTATAGTCTTGGGTGTCTGAAACGCCCAAATTTGCCTATAAAATGACACCAAGGCTATAGTCTTGGGTGTCTGAAACACCCAAATTTGCCTATAAAATGACACCAAGGCTATAGTCTTGGGTGTGTGAAACACCCAAATTTGCCTATAAAATGGCACCAAGGCTATAGTCTTGGGTGCCTGAAACACCCAAATCTGCCTGAATTACACCATGAACATAGTGCCGCCCCCCACCCCCGGCCAAATATGATGAACTCCATTGACCTGTCTACATCTTTTTATGACGAAACAAACAAAGCAATGCTGCTCGAATGAGCATGCTGGATATGAGATTTAAATATTATTAGTGACATACAGGGACAGCATAAAATAAACCTGCCTCATGAGAAAAGTATGAAAAGTCATGGATAAGTGAAAAATAAAACCTATGCTGTGTTTGCAGTAAATGCATTGTATTACAATGTCAAAAATAAAATCAACTCAATTTGACAACAAAAGTAATCAAAACTAGGGGCTGAAAAAATTCTGAGGGTTGGCTGAAATTGAATTTTTGTTACTAATTGGGGAATCTGTGTTTGAGGCAGTCAGGGCACAGTGGAGGTCATCTTCCACGTGGAGGCGATACACTATGTCTATAAGATGCTCAACAGCGTGGAAAAACCCTCTTCGCAGAGATAGGTAGAAGAGAATGGCAGAAGCACCCAGTTAGCTATTTTGCTGATAATAGGGCAAGGCACATTACCACCGAAAACTGTCAAGCTCTTCTGTTTGAATGTGTCTTTGGCAAATTAATCATTTCAGAGTACCAGTAATTCATCTTGCATTACCTCTGGTATGCTCTCCAGGCAAAGATTGACAGAAAAAGGATTCCACACAATTTTGCCTCATTGTTGTCTAAATCAGGATCATATTTATGAAATTCTATATCCATTGACTTCAGATGCTCAAGAATGTCACTTTTCAGTACAGGAACAAAGCCACACTAATGCTGTGCTAGTATACTACCATACCATTCTAGTTATATTTAAATTGTATTAATAATTAGCATTGTTAGCACATATGGTTTAAGCTCTGGCACTGCTAGGACTTGTGTGGTCACGATCTGACTCTTTCAGCCCAATATGAAGAAATGGTTTATTAATATCTGTAACAAATGGCAGTTGGTATCCCTTTTGCACTACTGCACAAACGTCCCAAATAAATGCACCTGCAAGCCTGTGTTTCCTTGAGCCAGTAACTCCAAGCAATATTAGAACACCATTCTTAGTGAACACACAGAGGTGTTAACTTGGAAGAAGGGCATAGGAATGTATTATGATGATGTTGACACTTCCTAGTCACTGGTCAAACAAACACTTGATGAATCAAGCGTTGGTTTACAACAAGAAGTTGCTTTCAATCATGGTCTACAAACTTTCACATAAATATACTGTGTACAATTGGAGCTGCGGTGATTCCCATTACAAAAGACACATGCATATGTAACTTGTCCAGTCATAGTGAAGCTTATAGGAGATGGTTTAACATAGTACTGTAGAGTTATTAACCTTTGTTACAAATTTCTGAAGATTAGATGAAGCCTTGGCCAAATTGACCAAAAAAGCTTCAAGATGATCACTTTGCCACCAAGGTTGAGATGGTTGGACTTTCTGCAGAGTTTGCATCTTCTTGACTATAGACTTCGGCAGTACCGTATGCGAGTAAGAGGCAAGATGATCAATTACACTGGACAATGAGTTCCTAAATTCTGAAATACTGGGGTAATCCTTACCACATTTGAGTTGAATAGATTCCATCATTTTCATGTGAATCTTTCTTCCAATATGACTGATAGGGATTTTCCCTAAAATGATAATAGCTTAACTAATTATACTCAACAATTAAATTGCCAACCTTCAATCACCATTGGAAGGGTAAAATTTTTGACACAAAATAAAATACAGGAAAATCTTTTATTAAAAACATAATGGCAAAAAATATGAATTTGTTTTCTTTGAGTAAACAGGATAAGTTTTCAATGCCCACCACAAATTAAGCATTTAATAAATAGCAGTTTAAGCAGATTACAGAATGACTACCAAACAAGATTCTTGCTTTGTCTTATTGTTTTCACACGACAGGAGACAGTACAGTACCATTTAATGGTATAACACAATGTTTATATTTTTACTGAAATTGCATTGTACAGTCATGGTCAAAAGTGGAGAGCTAGGGGTGGCCCAAATAACCAGGAGAGCAGGTGTCTGGGCAGGTGAAAAGTAGGTGTCGTATGAACTTAACTTAGCTTTTGGCAGGTAATGTGTCATTAAGGTGTCTGGCTTCTGTGAGGGAGTCCCTGATATGCCAACATAAGAGAAAAGGGGCTTGCTACCACTGGTAACACTAAACTAGGCTGTTATACAGTAGTACCCCGATTTACAAGGTCAATTGAACCCACAGGGTACCGCGGAAAGTGAAAACTGCGTAAAGTGAAAAACAGAACATATGGGATTAATTCCAATAGAGACTGGCCCGACCTCTAAACTCCACTTTTTCCGACACAATACCTATGTTGCAGTAAAAATAACATCTTAATTTTATGATGGTATGCCTGGCACGGTATGTAATGTAAACAAAACATATTTTAACTCTTATTTCATGTAAATAATTTAATTTTAGGCCTGGGAGACCACGACTGACAGGCAAGGAAGGCACGAGATGGGCTACTGAGATAATTTATGATCCGTGTTGGTAAATACAAAAATAAATGTGATTTCCACCCTCATATGCAACATTTCTCTTCATATCAACGTTATTATAAACATATAATTAACGTTGTTTAAAACCCGAACAACAAGTAAACCTAAACTAATAGTGAAAAAAAAAAATACATCCTTCCTTTCCTTCTTTCATGAATTTTCCTACTTTTTTATATCCCCTCCCTTTCTGATGAGGATCTTGCTTCCCATATCACCCCCCCCCCCTCCAAAGTCAAACATCCCCTTTCTCCACCTCACTGTGCAGAAAGGACCCAGCCAGGCGCAGGGGTTAAGTGGTGGAGTGGATGATTACTTTTAACCGTGACTGTACCGTAATTATATAAAGTATACTAGTTGCAAGCATTTGGAAGTTAACTTTTTTGTACACAGAATATTTTCAGAATCATGGGGTCAGTAATTATACACAGTAATTATAAGTAGAATATTATATGGGGCACAACCAAGGCACAGTAACCGATTTTATTTTTGTTGGTTGGAATAATGAGGAACAATCTTCAGAAAGATTAGAGTAAGGTGCAAAAACTGAGCAGAAAACAAATGAATAATCGAACACAAAAATTCAGAAATTGTTGAATGTCAAAATACAGCATTTCGAACTTGGTTAATTCTGATTTTTCGGTAATTCGTGTGATCCAGTAGCGCCCCCCCTCCCCCAAATTAACGAGGGCATAGTGTAGGCAGATAAATATGACTAAAATGCTCAATCTAAAAAAATCTCTCATCGGGTTGGCCCAAAATAACTCATCACAATGTTCTCACGGGTCACTTCTCACGACCCTCTCCCAACAGTCCACAGTTTCATGGTGACTACAGTCTAGATGCAGAGTACTTGACTAGCACAGGATCTATATTATCAAAAGTAAATGATGTCCAGGTTCCAACAATATAAGCTTATTTGATAACATTCACCTTCCTGTTGATGCAACAACTCACAGTACTGTTACCTGGGACATACATAACTTTATAAAGTAGTGGCAGATTCATAATCGAAGATAAACACAAAACAGCTAACACAGCACAAATCACAACAGCAGTATAGCAGTGTATAACAATTTGTCACCACAATAAAAACTCTTCTACCCCTCTACTATAACACACTAAATCTCAAAACCAAGAGATCAATTAAATTCATTGAAAGGATCAGCCATCTATTATTGCCTAACAGTACCATGTCTTTTATTAAATTATGTACAGTGATGCCTTTCAAATTTTTATATCTGAAGTAGAAAACATTTATATAAGTACCTGAGCATTTTATTGTTACCTACAACTCTTGGAAGACAAAATGTAAGTACTGTACTTATGGGAATGAATGTCTTTAGTTACACTCAAATATAACATTCCAAGTTTCAGCAAACTGCTAGAAAATGATAAAGAATGATCTGATTCTTTCAATGTAGAATATTATTCTCTAGCTCAGGTGTTCCCAACCTGTTGCTCATGATCACCACTGTGTTCCCTCACAGTCTACAATGTTTACAACAACTTGTGGTCATGATCACCACTGTGTTACCTCACAGTCTGGCAGTGCTCTTCTACAATGTTTACCTCACAGTCTGGCAGTGCTCTTCTACAATGTTTACAACAATGATCACCACTGTGTTCCCTCACAGTCTGGTTTACCACTGTGTTACCTCACAGTCTGGCAGTGCTCTTCTACAATGTTTACAACAACCTGTGGTCATGATCACCACTGTGTTCCCTCACAGTCTGGCAGTGCTCTTCTACAATGTTTACATTAACTTGTGGTCATGATCACCACTGTGTTCCCTCACAGTCTACAATGTTTACATTAACTTGTAGTCATGATCACCACTGTGTTACCTCACAGTCTGGCAGTGCTCTTCTACAATGTTTACAACAACTGGAGGTCTTGAGCAATATTTTAACCCCTAAATGACGGGGAAATACTGTATTATGATTTTAATGGTTCACTACAAGTAAAGTAAAATGATACAATTTTCTTATGGAAAGGACAAGTTTTGCTCACTGAATATTACAGTGTGGTGAAATCAGATTTCCTGTACACCCAATGACAGTCACAAACAATGGGAGGTGAAGATACTGCACTGCATGTGACTAGGTGTATGTGTGTGGGGGGAGGAGGGCTTTTGACTTGTTATTATTATATTTTCTTATGGTGTACAATTCATTAAAAATAATATAACGTTGTCAACAAAAAAATACAATATATAATTTGTAATTGAACCTGAGAATAAAAGGACAAGGTGCATGGGATGGTATCACTCCCACAAACCCTTTATCCCCTCTCTCTCCCTCCTGTGACTGTTCAAGCCAATAAAAATTTTCACCCCCCAAAAAACAGAAAATTTTTTATAATAAAATAAAATAATGCAAATTAATGTATCAATATTAAAATTATATAATGATTATATAGTAAATTATAAATAATAAATTCTATAATAATGGAGACTGAGACTTAGGAGGAATGTGGATTTGAGTTGTGACAATGCTGCTGGAACCTGTCCATGTACTTCCCAAACACAGGCTCCAAAGGGTTGTATTCCTTTCAGTAATTATAAGAACAGGTCTATGGACATGGGGCAAAACTCGATGATTTTGCAATCCAAATCATCGCCACTACAACGGTCTCCTGCACAGTGTTGATGATGCACTCCTACCTGGAACATGTGGAGAAGCACTTTTAACACTCTTTCCTCCTGGTCTCTAAACACTTCTATGCTGATGACTAGTTCGTTAGTGTCACTATTACTGAAGCTCACACGAGCTGTCTTTTCTGAACTTTCTGTCGGTCAATCTACCAGGTCTATAGTATCACCCTAACTCTGAATTCCATAATATTTTGGGACCAACATGGGATAGGAAAAATTGCCATGAGTCATAATAAATCACTCCTGCAGGAAAAGGTCTATTTTATACTGTATAGCACAGATGATTACTGTCAGAGGGTACAAAAGGCATTCATCATCTGTTTATGTCACCATCATTTAACCCACAAAGTGTGGTGTGTGTGTGTGTCTACAATAGAGGATTTTTATGTTGCTGATGGATGAGCATTGATATTGATGATTCTATTTTTAATGAATTTCTATTATATCATTACCAAAACTAACCAATAAACAGACAGAACAAGAGATGCACAATTTAGCTATATTTTTAGGCAAATACTTAAATTTAAATTAAGCATGCATGGGTGAAATTGAGGGGGCACCACCCATTGCAGACTTGAATTGCGAGCCACGAATAAAAATTTTTATCGGTGAGAATCGTCGACATCCAATGAAATATGGTTAAGTGATCGTAAAAATTGTGGTTCAGATATACGTGAAGGTGACTTTTAAATACTGAGAGATGAAAGTGATGGCGGGGTTGAGAGAAGGTGAAAGTGAAGGTACCGAGACACATACAACGGTCCTCTGGGCAAAAGTATATGATGGCCGACAAGACATAAACTGTGGGTCATTCTTCTACTTCTTGAACATAATGTAACTGGTGAGTACTATACTCACTTCTTACTCAACTAAATTACACTATAGTTTATCATAAAATTAAAGGATATAATGTGTAAGTTCACAGAACCAGGCAGCTCAAAAGTAGAAAGTGTCTTATACAAAAACCTTTACACTGATTCCTTACACCATATCTTTGTTTTCATTACATAGCTGATAAAAACTAATAAATATATATTAATACTGTACAGTATATAATTTCTGACAATTTCAATGATACCAAGTACTTGTGGATTAAGTTAGGAATAAGTGAGGTAACTTTTTTTACCACTGTACTGTACCTGTATTTGTCAAAATATTCATTGTGGTTGTCACCCTTCAGTAGTAACCCCATCGCACTTCATGGGTTAAGGGTTAAGCACTGCCAGACTATCAGGGAGTAGGGAGCAGAGTGGTGCTCACCAGCAACAGGTTGGGAACCCCTGCTCTAAATATTACTTAAACATAAAATCCTTTTTGAGAAATTTACTGAAAAAGAAAAAAATAATTTTATGCCAATCTTATTATAATACATAAGATATTTTAAAATAATAAGTAAGATCCTTTACACTTTCTCCAGTTCTTATGGGTTGATAACCCTTGATAAGAAGTGATACTTGAGGGCCTCTGACATAACACAATGTACACACCAGTCATTAATGTTCCGTTAATTCTGTAGACCAGTTAAGATTTACTTCTTAGTCTTATGGTTTTGGAAACCACTGCAAATTAAATACAGTACAGTACAGTACAGTACAGTACAGGTACTGTGGTGTCCATAAATAATTATTATCAATATTATAAGGCTTAAAACAGCCTAAAGGCTACAACACAGGGAAACTGGTCATACACAATCACGCAACAAACAAGTTAAATTTACCACTACCATGTTGTTACAATCATTTATTTGTACCACCATATGTGGGAGAACCTTCATAGGCTCCTCTTCTGTATGGAGGTGCACCATAAATAGGATCTGAGTTGACAGTCCACATTTTAATCCTTGATGGAGATTGAGAGCCTGAGTAGTTGAGGCGCTTGGCAACAGAATCACCACCTGCAGGAGAACTTGATATAGCTGAAATGAAGAAAAAATACTAAGTGGTGTATAAACAAGTGTGACCAAAATATCCCTAAACTACTGTATATTAAGTAGGACATTTAAAAAGTTGTGAGTTTTATTTACTAGTACAATATTAATAAAACTGAAAAAGACATTACAGATTTTTTCTTTAACCCTTGACTGTGGCTCGTGTCAATAGACAATCTCATTTCCCACCAAGACATTTAAATGCGAATCTTGTTCCCATCCTTTGTTTCAGGTCCAAGAGAATGGACATGTGAACAGCATCCTAAGTAGGCCTTTACCAGGCACAAGAAGTAGAACCTCTACGTCTAGAGGTTCAGGGTGTGATAAGTGGTTTCTTGACCATTTTTGAGTGTTACAGTATTATAATGGAACTGCACTAGACAAGATGTGCAGTAGTGTAAGTAAAGAATTTACTTTGCATATTCCGTTGTTGTGCAAGCTTGTCTATAATTTCATAAGAAAATTAACTACTTTTTTAAGAAGTGAAAAAAAATCTTTTTGGGGGGATAAACTGTACCAAGATCACCCAGTTTTTCCATGGCTGCAATTTAAGGGTAAGACTATTTTTAACTTTCAAACTGTCTTCCATACTATTAGAGGCTATTTATTACCAAACCTAAGGCATGCATTGTGAAGTAACAGCACACAGCAGTACCAACATCTTGATTTCTTGGCATATGACCTCAAAGCTGCTCTTATCACTATATTTCTTCTGTTCTCTTTATCCTCTTTCTCATTCTCTCTACAATTCTCTCAGATGATGTAAGGTGTTTCCAACAGACCTTTACATTTCCTCTTAATTATTCACTGGCATCCTTCTCTCAGGTTTATACCATCTCAGAGTATCAAAGAAAGGAAATACGGTACAGTAGCATTAATGTCCTAAATAAAGAGGGAAGAAGACCTAACAGCTTACAACTGTGCAGTATGATGGGACTCACTCGGAGAAAATGCTGGCATTACTGGTGGTGCTGGGGAGTTAGCAAACACACTCTTTTGTTGTGTCTGCTTGTACCCAGGGCCAAACAGGGCATAATAACCTGAAAAGATAATGTTACATTTTTTAAGTTGTCAACTGGACATACAAAAATGTAATTTGATTTTCAGTGTGTCCTTTACTACAATGATAACACTTACATTAACAGACAGACTTTTTGGTGTTTTTTCTAATGCACATACAATATTTAGTCTCTGAATTGGTGATATACTTACCTATCCATAAGCAGGCAATTATGACAATAAGGCAAGCAGTGCTAACAAGAAACTGGTCGTAGTTAGTGAAGACAGCCACAATAAGACTAAGGATTCCCAAGCCTGCTTTAGGTAAGGCACAGGTTCCATCCCCAACTTGCTCCACCTCTACCTTCACCTAGTTAGGAAGGAGGATATATGTAGATAAATAATTTACACAAGAGAAGTGTAGACATACAGGAAGACCAAACATGAAACAATTTCCTGTGTCCTGGATATGAAGTTATGAATGAATCAATTATATTACATTTTTATATCCATATTTTTATTCTGTAATGGACTAACCTCAACGACATTCTTAGTGAGCGGTGAACTAACAGATACAGTGATGGGTAACTCTGGCAACTCTGACATCCACAGTGAGTCCTTAGAAGAGATAGTCAAGGCCCTCTTCCTGCCATCCACAGAACCCAGAGATGCCTCTATGCTGCCAACTGCACAGGCAAGTACCTGTAATTCAACATGAATTTGTCTAGTATAGCATAACAGTGGTTGGCTTTAAGTAAAAAAAAAGTCCCATATAAATAATTAATTCTCGTGGCTGTAACTCACACTACAGCATCCTTTAGTACAGTATTAACATATTAACTCCCAATAACAAAAAAATAATTCAATTACAGTGGTCCCTCGGTTAACGAGCACAATTCGTTCCAGAAGGTTGCTTGTTAACCTAAACCATTGTTTCAATGGGTTTTTGGGTAATCGGTTCCAGCTCACCGAAAATTACATACAAACGAAAAATAAATGCAATAAAGTACACTTACTTTGAGGTGTGCATGTAGAAGGCTCCTGGTTGATGATGATGGGAATTAGAATGGGGGTGGAGGAGAAGGGAGAAGAGAAGGTATTGGGGTGGAAGAGAAGTCACCCCATGCTGCCATTTCACCCATAAAATTTTAGTTTACTTGGTGTAATTCAAGATTATTTTCTTTAAATCAACACTGCACTGTGCTATATATTATCAATATGTAAAATATATTTCAAAATGACCAATAATTTGACTGGAAACACAGAAAAAAAGCATTTAGTTGAAGAGTCTCAAACAAGATGTTCCTTCCTCTGAACCTGTAAACAAACTGACGCCAAGCTTGGTGTGTTGAGTGGCTGTTTGGCGTGCATAAAACTCGTTTCCTGTACTTCAATTATGTTGAATAATTGTTAAAATGACTAAAAAATTTAATATAAAACTTTTAAAATGATTGAATAGTACAACCTTCTTGATATTTACTAAAATGGTAAGGAATTTAAGCCCTAGAACCGATTACAGTACTGTATTGGCGGACTAATACGACAGCTAGTGAGCAAGCGAAAACATGTTGAGGGGCGCTCGTAAGGAATTCGTTAATCGAGGGAATGCTCGTTAACCGAAGTGAAGAATCTTATGGAAGGTAATTCGTTAACTGAGGCGCTCGTTAACCGAGGGATCACTGTATATATAATAAGTTACATAATACTGTATACATGGAAATACCAATGGAGAGATACAAAAAGACCAAACACCATTTAGTACAGTAAACCCTGTAACTCAGATCCCCGCCATTCTTGGCCTCGGACACTACTTTTCTTTTCCATCAACTAGGACAATATCCAAACTGGGCAGACAAGTTCGGACAACTTTAAATCTCCCCGAAGGTTCTACAAGTTTCTCAAGAGATTTTTTAAGGTTCCAGAGTCACAACGTACATACACACGTGGCAAAGATAGCCTCCCAGGTTGAGTAGTGCAAGATGAAGGCTGTGTAGTGGTTTTGATGTTCCATCCATCATCGGTCTCATTGTAATTTTACATCATCATTAATTTAAAGTTAGTTTTATTTATTGATTATCTTATGTTTTGCCATAAACAATTAATTATTTCTGTATATACTGTAGTATTAAATAATTATTTCTCTTATTTAAATTATAATACATAATTAGTTCTATGATTACAATACACAATGCACTGTTATCCATCCATAATATCTTGAGAATAACACGACACAACCACAGTGCGGGCAAACTACATTTTCATCACTGTATTGACTGTCTTCATTTAATATCTATTTATTAAACCTTTAAAAACTTACTTAATGAAACCAACAGTATTAAAATTATTTAATGCTTCTCTTAGAAGTGAAACATTGAAGACATATTTTATGTTTTTACACTAAAGGTGATGAGGATGCACTTCAGTACAGCATTGATGGTAAGTTCAGATAAATGACCAATAAAATAAAGTAATCAATTCTTAACTTCTTAAGACACCAATTTTCTCACTTCAACATTTATTCCATCATTTTAAAACACCTTTTAACAAATTATACATTTACTAAACACAGAACATTGCCTCAATCCATAATGTCTTGAGAGTAACTGAGTCAGAACACGTGATATGGCCACTGTGTCCACACGGTCAGCTGGTGAATATTCTCAACAACTGTCTATAAAAATTGGCCAGTTAGATTGTATCTATGTGTTGTTCTCTGTGTTGTAATCTCTCAGGGTACTTGATGTGGACTTTCCCTTCCATCTCAGACTATTGCCCGAAGATTCTGGAACTGAGGTCGGACTCGGACTCATCTCCTATCTCAAGACATAATTACCCTCAGGTCTCGGATCCTAGTCGGACTACAGAGTACAGTACTCATAAAATTGGCCTTCTTAGACAGCCGTTTCCCCCAGTTAGTCCGAATTAGTGAGGGTTTACTTTACCTGCCCTTACAGTGAGGCCAAATACACACCAACGACTAAAGCAATAAAATGAAACATCACAAACCTCCAGTTTATTAAGCACGTCAGGTGTTCCTTGCAAGAAGATAGTAACTGATGGGTTTTCATTGGTGAGTTTTACTTCAGAAACATCAGTGACAGGTGATGGATAGAATGGCACAGTGACTGGACCTGAACGCACCTCTCCCTGCTGTCCGCGGCCCACAACAACAGCCTCCACAATTACTGCAGAGTCTGAGGTTGCTATACTGGGCAATGGGCCAACTAGTGTTTCTATCTTGCAGGCATAACCTGTCATAAAGCACAGGGAAAAAAAAAATCATATATCACATTACATCTCTGAGCTCTGGACGCTTCACAAAGCTACATTGCTTTCACTTCTCAAACATCCCCAGCAAATTCATCAGTCTTGGGAATGATAATCTATTCAGCTCTATTAACATTACTCCCACCTACGGTACACAGGCTACAACACAAAGAATTCCATGATTATTTTCAACTCCCAATAAAAACAATGAACAATAAGGACTTTTACAATAATCTAGAAGCCTTCACAACTGTTGATGAAAAACTTAGGTTCATTGAAAGTGGGTCCCATAGGCATGACTGCCCATTAGGAACAGTGTGGATACAGCACACTGTATACTAAGCCTTCGGTACACAAGGAGGCAGCATGGCCAGTACTGCACTTCCCCAAGTTGTAAACTGAGGTACACATTTACTTTACAGCTGGGTGAACCCGGGAATCTAACCACCAACACCTGGAACAGGAGGCGAGCGCTGTATCCACTCAACCGCTGCACTCCTTAGGTTCATTAAGGTCTTGTCAACACAATGTAAGGTTAGTTAAAGGGGATCACACACTATGACAATTGGAATAATGCAGGTGATGGATGTCTGTCAGAGCTGTGTCAGAAAATTTTTGAAGTGTTTCAAGATGCATGAAGATTTAAAGTCATAATGGATTCTTGAAACTTCTTCATCTTTTTATCAATTAACCTTCTTTCTTTCTTTCACCTTTGTATGTTTTGACTCAAAAGAAGCAGTGACAAGGAGCAATACCGCAAGACAATGGTAGAAAGAACTAAAACACCAACTAAAAGTAACCATATATTCCTAAATTCAGTTCTTGAAAAATTCACTCACTCACGGTTGCCAAGTTTCTTCCGCCCACATGAGATATTTCAAACAATTTACCCAATTTACATAAAGTGTGAATTATGAAAAGAATTTCATTTTTTATATTTTTTTTTACACTCTGAAATTAGAATCAGTGAGATTTTACTGCAGATAGGAAAATAAAGGATGAGTTTTTCCTTACATATTCTTCAAACTGCTTCACTTTACAAGAATACATTACCCTTCTCTGACACATAAGTGGCTGTTGCTCCTAATACATTCTTAATATCAACCTCCGGGATGGGCGGGGAATAAGCCACCACACAGGTGAACGGTGGAGAGCTTGTGGGAGGATCAACTGGACTGCAGGAAGATGATGAACTTTCCTCTGCTTCCAGGACAACTACTGCTAATTCGAAGCTTCCTTGCTCACCATTAGTTAAAGCCACCACAGGAGTGACTACAATAATCTGAAACAAAATGAAAACATGTAATCCAATCCTGTTTGTAATTTCCCAATCTCAAAGTACTGTACACACACATCAACCACTGCCACTGTACAGTACAGTATATTATTTTGTTACCATATGGTATAAAGATATGGTGCTAGAGATAACTGGGACACAAATATTATCTTCATTCTATTACCTATCAACTGTTAATGAATATTTACAAAGTACATACAGTACTGTATTTAATAACACATAAGACTTTTTTTGTCTGAAAAATGACAAAAAAATCAGCCTGTGTCCTATACGTTTATTGTTGTCTCCCGTAGGCTAATGACTTCCCCAGGTGCTGCCTCCGGTAGACTAAACTTTACCTAACCCAACTCCAGAATTAAAAGTATGTTATTGCTTACTTTAACACATTATTATTACTTTTAATTAATTAAAAATATATACTGTATATATAAACTGTAAATATAAATGTTGGATTGATAACTACTGTACTGTACTGACGATGATAACCTGAAACAACTAACATCTTTACGGCAGACACCCAACTCTTCAGAGCTAAGTACATTATTTCTGAACTCTTACAAGCATTACTATCTATCAATGTCACACTTGCAACATTTATCTGTAAATCTACAAATACCTGATATAAATGAAGATTTACAGATAACTTTCTTTTCACATTTATGTCTGTTAAAATTACTGGTGGCATTATAGCAAGCTAAACTCGTCACTGTAATCACCAGGCTACCAGGCCAAGCTCTGAGTTATATTATGGTTATTTTTTTGCTTGTAATTACGCGTAGATATATGTAACTTTCTTAATTTTTTTTACTCGGCCCGACGGACTCGTGATTTTTTAATCTGACTCGCTGTAAGGATTTTCCACTCCTACCCAGTACACATACAGAAGCACTTGTACTCTTTATACTATGGGTAAACACTTTACAGTATGGAACGGTTATATCAGTGAAAACAGTTATCAACAACCAGACTTATAACTGATTTTCCAAACACAGTACAGATCAGCAGGGTTATGTCCGAATCTCCGTAGATTCGCTTTTTCCGGATTGGGATCTGACCCAATTAATTGGGTGTATCGAGGCACTTCTGTATTTTCAATACGTGTAAGTTTTTAATTTTGCCGATACCATTAATTAAATCAATAACTCACCTTAGTAATTGGCAAAATGTTAATTTCTGTTGTAGTGGTAAGTGCTGAACTGACTTCAAAAGAAACTGTAGATCGGCCAATCTGGTGAGAGACAGCAACCCCCGAGACAGGATCTAATGTGAGACTGTCCCCACTTGCTGACCATGTGCCTAGTGATCCTTCTACTCCCCTAACATTGGATGACAAACAAATATGGTTGCCAAGGGGTACTGTTACCTGTAGTGAGAGAAAAAGGTTTTAATGTAATGTACAATCATTGTGATTATTCTAACATCCTTATATTAAAAATGTTTATACAGTATATATTACTAAGTGTTGTTTTAACTTTATGAACACTTCTACATGAGACCTTAATTAATTTCTTGTTACTTATGTTCATCTGTCTATAAGACCTAATATATTCAACAAGTTATGTCTGCTTTGTTTTTGTTATCCGGTCACTTCCTACTGTAAACAGTATAAACACACTTTACACGATTCCGTTTTGCATGTTTTCTTAACGAGTCATTACCATTTCCAGACCGGTTAATAATACAGTACACTTTTTTCTTACTCATATTGATTCAATAAACCAATTCTTCTACCTAAAAATGCTTTCCAATTCCAGACAGCTGAATATAATGTAATAGAGTAAAGCCATCTGGCCACACATTTTTCCTTTCCCAAACTGTTAGATAGGGTGGAATCAAAGGCATTTCGTCTTATTAACTCTTCTCCTTTAGTTGATAATCTTTCTTCCCTTTCTCTTCACTGTAATGTTGCTTCACTCTCTCTCTTTTACAGGTACTTTAACGGGCAATGTTAGGTGGATTTGGCATCCTGTGTACTGCCGTTTCTCTGTGGATGTCAGTCACACTATAATAACCCGTTATAGCACATCCTTCTTTCCTCACACAGCCACACTGTGGAATGCTCTGCCTTCTTCTGTGTTTCCTTACTCATACAATGTCTCACTTTAAAAAGCTGGTTTTCCGGCACCTTCGTGGTGTAGATTAATATAGTCCTTTTCTCTTCTATTCTTAACTTCTTTTTACTCTTATTTCCCCCCTCCCAGGCCCTATTGTGGGTCGATGAACTGTGCCCAGGTGAGCTATTCCCCCCTGCCCCCCCCCCCTAAATAAAATACAAATTTCCTTGTCTTACCAGCACAGCAAGTCTTTGTGTCTCTTCAAAGTCCCTCTTTATCTATTAATGAACATGTCCCAAATCTCTTCCCCTTTCTTGCCTATAGTGGTGAGGATTCTTTCAAAGGGATAAATAGTGATCACCAGGTTTACAATGTCATCTGTGTTTCAGATTAAAATATGAAACATTTTGTACTATACAGTACAAACACTAATGTACTGTACTTACATTTAATATTACACCAACAGCATCAGTAACTGTTCACCTCAACTTTGGGCAACACCAATTACAAAATGCATCATTTTGCTGCCAACTGATCACAAGCATTCCTATACAGTACTTTCATCTTGTCATAAAGACACTAATATCCTTAAACCTAATCTTTCTTGATTAAAATACACATAAAACATCAGCACCCAAACTGAATGAAAATACAAATAACTAGTAGAGGATTCTGCATCATGTAGACTGAACTCCAATGAAAACTACATTTGAAGAAGTAAAATTCATCACAATTCTGATGCAAAGGAGAACAATCTAACACGGACTTCTGGCATGTAAAGGGGAAAATGGCTTGTTGACATACCCTGTCTGGAGTGATTGCAGGACCTGCACTGATGCGTAGATAGTCATTAATGAGAGCATTATTTTCATCCCATACATGCAGTACTATCTGGCCAGACCCTCGAACATCAACCAATAATGAGTTGTTGGTGTTCCCATAGCTGACACCAACAAGATCAAATCTGTAAAAATTTATGAAAGATACAAGAATGGAACTGAATACTGTATTCAAATATCTTAGTCAATATATTTACATAATTTTCAAAAATATCAAGCTTAAAAAATTTAGTAATATCATTTCTTTAACACAATGTAGTGCAGCAGAAATATCTACATGCACACATTTAACCACATTCTTGCCATAAAGTTGTTATGCACATACAAACTTTCTTTCATATCACATAAAAATCTTCATCTTACATCTGAAACAAGACTTAAGATGAATTAACTGGTTTAATAAAAACAATAACTACCTTGAAGGTCTGAAGGTTGGCTGGGCATTAGTTGCATGGAAAACTCGGCCTCGATTGTCATGGTATGAGAGAGTAAGCTGTAGTGATGATCCAAGAGGCATCACACTCACAGATTCTCCTGGAGATACACTCATGACTGCTCCTACTTCAGCTTGCATGTAACTAATATCCTTAACCTGGAACAGAAAGCATTTTTCTCAGGTAAAATTCGTCGTCAATACTGATGTTCTCACATTAGTCAGTATTCATTTTTCAAGTTATATAATTTTCTCAATATGTACACAGTGCGGTAATCCACTAAGCAGCCACATCTTCATAATGACATACAGTGGTCCCTCGGTTAACGAGCACAATCCGTTCCAGAAGGTTGCTCGTTAACCGAAACCATTGTTTCAATGGGTTTTTGAGTAATTGGTTCCAGCTCACCGAAAATTGCCTAAATTCAACAAAAAAGGTAGAAAAGTACACTTATTTTGAGGTGTGTATGTTGAAGGCTCCTCGATAATGATGCTGATGTGAATTTGAAGTGGGAGGTGCAGGAGGAGAAGGGAGAAGAGAAGGAAGTGGAGGTGGTGGAGAAGCATTTTACTGCTTCTTGGAAGGTGAGTCACCTTCCATGAAAATGTCAGGAACCTCTGGACTGACAGATTCTCCACCATGAACATCCTCTCTCCTTCTTGAAGTGGAAGGCTGAGGGCTAGCATCTTGTTCCCTCTGCCTTTTGCCTTTTAATGAAAAAAGTGTCAATTGTGGTCTGTGGGGCATCTCTCCCCCTCATCATTAACTTATGTTTAAAGAAGGAGACCATTGTGTCCTCAACATGACACAAAGTTAGTTCAGATTTTTCCACATCTGGGTGCCTTGAAGCCAGTTTCCTGAACTTCTCCCAGTAGTAAATAACATCTTTCAACTCTGAAGTTGACATATGGTCATCACTTTCCTTTTCCTCCTCACCATTGTCAGCCTCTAACATCTCATCCAGTTGCTGCAAGTCTTCAGGAGTAAGTTCCTCCTCATGAGACATCACAAGCTCTTCGACATCATCCTCTTCCACTTCAAGGCCCAATGACTGACCAATGGACACAATCTCCTGGTCCAACTCTGTGTCATCCTGAAATCCCTCAAAATCATGGACTACTGATGGCCACAGTGCTTTCCATGAAGAATTGAGGGATCTAGTGGAGACTTCTTGCCATGATGACACAATCAATTTTACAGCCTCCAGGATGTTGAATTGTCTTTTCCAGAACTGTTTTAGCGTTTGTTCAGGATCAGTGGTAGTTGCCTGATGACGCCTCCTGAACATTTTCTTCATGTACAGCTTCTTAAAGTTGCTGATCACATTCTGGTCCATTGGCTGTATGAGTGCTGTAGTGTTGGGAGGCAAAAACAACACTTTCACAAAGTCAAATTGATACTCCAAAGTTCTGGCAAGTTCAGGGTCATGCCCAGGGGCATTATCCAAGAGGAGAAGAGCCTTTAAAGGGAGTTTATTGGTGGTTAGGTAGCTCTTCACATAAGGGCAAAACACCTCAACAGCCCATTCATTAAAGTGCTGTCTTGTCACCCATGCCTTACGGTTGGACTTCCAATAAACTCCAAGCCGTCCTCTTACCACTTTTTGTTGTTTGAACACCCTGGGGTTCTCAGAGTGGTAGACAAGCATAGGCTTCAGTCAGAAATCCCCTGAAGCATTGGCACAAAGCAATAGAGTGAGACGGTCTTTCATGGGTTTATGCCCAGGTAAAGAGACTTCATCTCTGGTGATGAATGTTCTTTTGGGCATCTTTTTCCAAAACAGCCCAGTTTCGTCCACATTAAACACTTGCTGTGGAAGATAATTTTCTTCATCCACCAGTTCTTTAAACTCCACTAAAAACTTTGCTACTCCTTCCTTATCAGCACTAGCAGCCTCACCATGCCTAACAACACTATATATGTCACTTCTTTTCTTAAATTTATCAAACCAGCCCTTGCTGGCCCTAAAATCTTCAAATTCTGTGACTGAAGAACCAGGTTGATCTGTCTTGAAATGTTTGTAAATCTCCCTGGCTCTTTCACCAAATAAATTCAGTAGAAACTGAATCACCTTTCATCTGTTTTTCCCAAATCCAGATGAGAAGTAACCTCTCTGTTTCTGCTATTAGGGATCTACCTTTAAACACTCTGGTAGATTTGTCTCTCACTTTCACTTCTTTAATTTTTTCTTTCTGTGCAAGAATTGTCGACACAGTTGATGTCGACATGCCATCTTCTTTGCATTGCGCATTTGTTCTAATGCCTTCTTCTCGTTTTTTTTATAATTTCCTGCTTAGTTTGGTTTGAAATCGCTTTTCTTAATCTCTTAGGCCCCATGCTGGATTCAAACAATCTCAACACGTGATATTTCAAGTTTAAACTTGCTGTAAATAAAGAATATTTTCTTTAAAATAACACTGAACTGCACTATATATTGTCAAAATGTAAAATAAATTTCAAAATGACCAATAATTGGCTTGGAAACACAGAAAAAAGCATTTAGTTGAAGAGAGTCTCAAGCAAGATGTTACCCCTACTGAAAAGACAGAGAGACTAACGCCTGTTTGGTGTGTTGACAGGCTGGATGGAGCGCATAAAAATAGTTTCCTTACCTTCAATTATGTTCAAGAATTGTTAAAATTACTAAAAAATTTAATATTAAACTTTTAAAATTATTGAATAGTATAAACTTCTTGATATTTACTAAAATAGTAAGGAATTTAAGCCCTAGAACCGATTACTGTATTGGCGGACTAATATTACAGCTGGTGGACCGCCAAATGCAAGCGAAAACATGTTGAGGTCGGCTCGTAAGAAACTCGTTAATCGAGGGATTGCTCGTTAACCAAAGTTAAGAATCTTATGGAAGGTAACTCGTTAACCGAAATCTTGTTAACCGAGGCGCTCGTTAACCGAGGGACCACTGCATTATTAAATTATTAAATAATTCTAATTATGTAATGACAGTTGCATGAAGACAAACTGTGTCACACTGTAAGATAAGAATTGGTCATTGATATAAAAGAATGGAATAGCATGAGGAGGGCACTGGTGATAAGTTCTTTTAAGAGGTGGCTTAAGGTTATGGCAACCTTTTCTAATTACTTTCGTTTTCTGTCTACCTATAGTAGTGATATTTAATTTAGAAATATATTGTCAATTATTTTCTAGTTTAGTATTGATGTTGTAATACAGTAATGACCCGGTTGTCCTCATTTCACACTGCTTGAGGATCAACCTTCCCCTTCTTAAAGTTACCATTAATCCTTTCAGTATATTGTTTAACTTTTATATCATGACTTTTATATTATCAATCTTTTCTTTTTCCCATTTGTATCATTTTTCCAATTTGCCGTTTCCATTTTTTTCTAATTTCCCTCGTATCTTTTTCTGCTTCTTCTGTTGTTCCATTTTCCTTCTTTCTGTTTTCCTGTATAATATTGAAGAAAGGTTTCACCCGCTTCTCCATAATCTAGTTAGAAAAAGTTACTTGTAATTCTTACCTCCACCAGGACTGCTAAACTTTGTGAGATGCCACATTTCTCCTTGATGGTGACGACAACAGTGGCTTCCCCAGTGATGCCGCCTGACTTAACCATGCCATCAGGACTCACAGTGATCACCCCCTGTTTCTTGCCTTCACCCTCATCACATCTTTCTATCTTATAAGACAGTTGTCCATCACCATCCCTGAAATATAAAACACTAAATCAAATCTGAGGTAACTATTTTTACTTGTGTACAAAGAAATGTATATTCCCTTTGTGTGTTTGCCCTTAGGACAATTATTTCTTTTACCTGTAGTATTGTATATATATGTGTATGCGTGTGTGTGTGTTTACACACACACACGCATACACATACTTTATTAATAGAGCACAGACTTGAGGGTAGACTCACATTTTTAATAAATTTGTTTTTGATTATTTGTGAGAGGATTTTTCAATTATTATTTATTTGTACTGTATGTGATGTGTTGTGTGTGTGTGTGTGTGTGTGTCTACACAAACACACACACATATTTACAATACAGGTAAAGGAAATTACTGTCTCTTAGAACGAATGACTCCCTGTCCCAGCTGCGAAAATTATGGCAGCTTTAAAACCACCCACAGACATTCTTAGGTACATCCAGGGTGTCATCCGCGAATAACCAAGAACTGTGAAGTAAAAATCCACGAACTTGGGGGGCATACTGTAATTTCTTCTTTGGGGTAGGTTATATTTCTTTCCTTGCTTAGTCAAGTTTTGCTTCCACACACTCACAAAAACTCAGCTGAATGTTTGTTATTTCTTAAATAATAAATTTAAAGAAAATGTCACTTCATACACACTTTAAATAAAAATAAATCAATAAATACTGTCTATTTAGAAATTAGGTTTTATTTCCTAAAAGTGAGTTAAATTGGTTAGTTGGCATTTTTCCATGGGTCTTGTGAAAACAAGCAGCATCTGGCATAACTTACCTCCAATCTTTGGTTCAATTTGACCAATACAACTTCTCAAAAGACTGAACAGTATTTAAGGCATTTCTTTTATTTAAAACATGCATACAATAATGACTCCAGTTTTGTATTCAAGAAATAAAACAAATGTTTAGCCGAGTTGGTGCGCATAAAAGTAAAACTTGACACTGAGCTTGTACGCCTTGGGTACCATGGTTGACCTAGGACCCAGGAAACCAGAAAATCCTCAAAACCTGTTCAGTCTTGATCACAAGAATCCTTTATTTGAGGATTTATACCTGTTAAGATTATTTTACTTAATGTTTTTCTCAAATATAAAACCATTATACACAACCACAAACTTAGTAACTGATCCTTATGTTTTTAAATTCCCAGCACAATAAAACCCAAAACAAGAGAACAAAATCACCTGAATTAAAAATCTTTTATTAACTTCTCTTGTTAACAGGACAACATAAACACACACTGACATAACTGTTGTGTTACACAAAAACAATATAAAAGTTTGTAGGTTCCAGGGTGGTAAGAAAATTATAGTATTTATAAGCAGAGGAAAAAATATTGGGTAAGAAATCAAACACCCAGTTCAAAGATTTGTACCACCAGTATGTTATAGCTCAGTCATGTCTCCTTCAACTGGACTTACTTTAACCTTTAATCAGTGGCTAAGGAACTGCCCCGCCCTCCCATATATACAAAAATATAACACAGGTAAAATGTTACTTCCACCGATGACGGCCGCTCTTTAACAGTTAACTAAATGCCCAATAACTACAATTTGAAGCAGTTAATTTTTCCCCAAGGTGTTCCTCACATAGTCAAGTGTCCTCCTAGTTGACTTCACTTTTTTTGGCAGTCAAGGTAGAAGGGACTGGTTTACTAGCCCCATATGTCCTGGGATGGTGAGTTGACCAATGTCATTTACTGTTACACTTCTCCATCTCCTCAACAACTAGGGCCTCACAAAGAGAAGTCTCCTTTTGGATAATTATTCCCTCGATGACTCTAAGATTAAGATAAATTTACGCACGTACACACACATTGTCTCGATAAGGGTGTCAAAATCCTTCGTCTGTTGTGCCATACTGTATTGTCTAACACAATATCATAGATACTTTTTGGAGCGAGTGTACCAAACAGAGGGCCTGGTAACACCTGTAGAATGAAAAAGGTATACCAATCCTTTAGTGCCTTACTGTATAGTTCATGATACAGTTCTACTAAAAATTAAATCTTTGACTACGTAAAATAAAAATTTTCATCAAACCTTTCAATTAAATACTTGACTCTTTATATGCCTTTTGTTTAATATACTGTACCGTACTTGACTGTATAACTTTCAATTATTTGCAACAAATTACATTAAGTAAGAGACTGAATAATATTAATAAGAATAAAACACACCTGTTGGTGGTTATCTTGGCCTCTGCATGTGGGGACAACAGCAGGTGCGATGATCCATCATCTGGATACTTCAGTTTCAATGATTCAAATACCTGAAAAATAATGGAATGATCCTCAACTCCCATTTTATATCAGAGAGAGGAATGAGTGGCCCACTTTATATTATCAGCTGAGGACACTAGGTGTGCCAAATGCAGCTGTTAAAAGATAAGGTAATATAATAAAAACAGCCAGCCAGACGACCAAGCAACCAGCTTAGTATCAGTCTACATTAATCGGTTCTAGGTTTAAATTTCATTATTTTTAAATATCGTTTATAAATATTCAATACCTAAAAGCTTATTCGACTTTTTAGTCATTTAACAATTATTGAACATACTGGCTGCAAAGAGATTAGCTTAACGCGCTGCATCTGCGCTCTCTTAACACAGCAAACAGGCGTCAGTTCTCCTGTTTTCACTGAGTAACATCTGCTTGAGACTCTCTAACTAAAGCTTGTAAGGTCACAATTAATAATATTTGAAATTATTTATATTGACAATATATAGTGCAGTGTTACTTTTTAAGAAAAATATTCTTATTTACAGCTATTTAACTTTGAAAAATGTTATTGTTTGAATCCATAAATAAGATCATGAAAAGTACTAACCAAATAAAGGAACAATAAAAACACGGTATTAATCAACAAAGAAGTCAAGGGCGGTTGTCGGCATCAATCAAATGACACCTTTGCAACAAAGACAAATTTGTCGAAGTGAACGTAGAGATCTACAAGAGTGTTTAAAAGAGCCCTAACTGGTTCTGAGGTTATTTATCTGATTAGGGAAAAAACAGAAAGGTGATTCAGTTTCAGATTTACTTGTGAAAGAGCTAGGAGATTTATAGCTGATGGAAGACAGATCAACTTGGCTCATAGAACAGAATTTGAAGATTTCGCTGAAAAGGTTGGTTCGGTAATTATAAAAGAAGTGATGATGGCGTTATTAGCAGAAGCTAAAGGATAAATATAAGGTACAAAAGTTTTTACCAATTTAATAAACTTACGGAAGAAGAAAATACCATATAAGTGTTCAATGTTGATTTAAATCTGGCTGTTCTGGAAAAGATGTCAAAAGAACATTCATCATCAAGGATGAAGCTTTACCTGGGCATAAACCCATGAAGACCTGCTCACTTATTGTTTGGTGCCAATGTCGTATTTCATCAGTTTGCGTTGTTCATCACTTGAAACCCCAGGAAGTCAAGCAACAGAAAGTGTAAGAACAATGCTTGAGTTTATTGAAGTCCAACCGTATGGGTGACAAGACAGTTCTTTAACAAGGTTAGATGTTTATTCTGCTTCCCTGAGCCACTCAACCACCAATAAACTTTAAAGGCCTTCATGGATAATTGCCTGGTCATGACCTCGACTCTTGCCAGAATTTGAGAGCAATTTGATTTCAGAAAGAGCGGTTTCAAAACATCACATCACTATACAGCTAATGACCAGAATGGGGATCAGCAACTTCAAGAAGTTGCATGAAGAATGTTTAGGAGGTCACCAGGCAACTTCCATTGGACCTTGAACTAACACTGAAACAGTTTGGAAGACACAACGTCCTGAGGCCAAAATTGATTGGAAGCACCATGGCAAGAAGTTCTAATAGATTAATTATGAGCACTGTGGCCATCAGTAGTCCAGCGATTTGAGGGGATTTGAGGATGACACAGAGCTGGGACTAGAGACGAGTCCATTGTCAACATGGTCTTGGAAGGAGGAGAAGGATGTGAAGAGCTTGTGATGTCTCAAGAGAGGAACTTTATCTAATGACTTAAAGGAACTGGATGAGATGTTACGTGGTAGAGGCTGATAGTGGTGAGGAGGAATTGAAAGTGATGACCATATGTCAGCTAAAACAGTTGAAAGATGATTTACCACTGGGAGAGTTCAGGAACTGGCTTGTGCCACCCAGAAGTGGAAACCTGAACCACCTGTTGAGGACTCAGTGTCTCTTAAATGGTGTTGATTTAGTGAGGAGACACACGCCCCACAGACACAATCAGCCACTTTTTCAGCAGCGTGAGGAACAAGATACAGCCCTCAGCCTCCATCATCACAGGAAGGAAGAGGACAACCATGGTGGAGAATCCCAGTCCAGAGGTTCGACATTTTCATGAAGGACTCACCTTCCAAGAAGAAAATGCTTTCTCTCCCACCCACTTCCTTTCTCCCAGCCCCACTTCTAATGCACATCACCATCATCCAGGAGCCTCTACATGTTACGCCAACTCAGCAATCTTCCGTCCATTGGTTAGTTAGGAAATTTCATGCATGGAACCAATTACCCAAAAACCCATTGAAACAATGGTTTCGGTTAACGAACGTTTCGGTTAACGAACGACCTTTTGGAACGGATTGAGTTCGTTAACCGAGGGGCCACTGTATATAATAAAGGAAATACTTTATAACCATATAATTAGACATAAAGGGAGGGTAGGATGTCCAGGAGAAGCTTAAACACAGCAGAATACAGGAAATAAAAGTTGGGTCCCCACAAAGACAAACTCTGGAAGGGTTGGTAAAGAAATCCCACAACCAGATTGAATGGTGGGCTGAGGTCATTATACGGTTTTAACACCAACACTGAAAGCAACTAGATATGTCTATGAAAAGTTCAGTAGAGGCCAAGTTTGTCATACAGAAAAATGAAAGGATAGGAAGCATCTATTAAAAATTTTTGCTGGGTGGATGAAAATTAGGAACTTACTTTGATTTCTAACTTGTCTGTGAGGATAACATTATCTATAATCTGAAAGTGAGGATGGTTGGCTGGCACCCTGGGCTTAACCTTGAGAGTCACTGACACACGTCCTGGTCGCTCTGCCCTCACTCTAACAATACCATTGTTTTCTTTGGTCTCCAACAATCCATTCTGTAAAATCATTAATATGTAAGTCCTTTCATAATCAATATGAATCATCTACATACTGTACATAAGAAATAGAAAGACAGAAAAATAAACAGATTAACATAGAGTAAGTTCTTTCACGACACTTACCTTACGGTATATCCCGATGAATGAAGCAATTTGTTTGTTGTTAATGGACCACTCAAACAGCAATGGTGGAACAGCTGTGGCATAAGCTAGAGGATTCTGATAGTCTTCACTTCCAAGGGCATACAAGGGCATTGTTGTGCCAGTTTCCAGATGAGTCAATGGGGCATGAATACGAATTTTCTCAAGAGGAATCACATTGATAATCACGACATCCTGTGCGAAAAGGTAAAATTCCTGAATGCTTCTGAAAATTCTAAACATAGACATAGAGACTATGAATTGTATGTACATGAAGACAGTTATATTTATGAAGCTCCAAGAGGTTATGGCTAACTAAATATTTTCAGAAGATACATAATGAACAGCTGGCAGTCAATGTTATTAATGTTAGCAGTGCTGAACATGAGTAATTATCAGCACCATTGTTGTGAGTACTGTACAGTAATGGTGGTTTGAGTTGAAATGAAAACATGAAACTGAAAGTTGTAATAATTTTATAAATTAATAAAAGGATTTTGTTTCAGAAAGAATATCTAAACTAAACAATAATGCTTCTAAACAACAGATGGAAAGCCTTTAATAGTAGTTCACCAAGAGGGTTATGCTCATTACTTACCCGAGAATAAGAAATTTTTCGACCAGTTTCTATACTGACACTAACAGCCTGAGCCATCAGCACTGTTGTGCCCAGAGAGAGAGCAGTGACTATCCCTGCATGTGATGTGCTGGCAATAGTTTCATTCACCATGGAATACTCCACAACAGCATCTGGGTAAGGACCACCTTTTGTTTCCACCTGCATATATAATAAAACCAGTTCATTAATTCATTGTATAATACTGTACTAGGTCTTGCATACATAAATTAAGTTCCTACTCATAATCTGTTATCTAAATACTAATAATGAAGAACAATCCCAAATTAATTAATTTTCTAAAATGCAAGTGACCAATTCTTGTTCACAGTTTTGGTTTATTTAATTTTGATAATGTAACTTTACTTCTATGAACATTTCATTAATATATCCATATAAAATATACCCTTATTAATTTAGTGTACTGTACTGTACAGGTATAATCATTGTTTAAAAGTCACTGGAATAATCAGTTATCTGTGCTCCTTAACTTTCTAATATAATACAGTACAGTGTTCTTTATGACTACTGTATAAGTAATGTATTTTTAAAGAAATAATTAGTTTAAAATATCTTCACCTGGTACACAGCACCAATAATGAGAGTGATGTTCCTGGGATGTAACACCAGAGGTGGAAACACTTGAATAGGTTTGGCAGGACTGTAGATAAGGGCTTCCCCTATACCACCATTACCAGCACTGACACGTAGCGTAGTGTCTCCTACGTGACGCCCAGTGACCTCATACACAGCATTACCTTCACTGTTTACTCCCTGATATCTATAATGTTGAAAAGTTACATAAGTATCACATTATTAGATGCACAAAATCACCCTAAATGCAGGTACAGTAATTACTCAATCAGGAGTAATAACATCAGCACAGTACATAGTGATAAGAGGTGTAATTCAAGAAGTTACTTTATAATACACAAAAACATGAATTTCCATCACTGCTGAGACTTGAGGTCCCTAAAGCCCCTAAACCTCAACCTGTTCTGCTGTAGTGTTCCTCTACTACTACAAGGCTCTGTGTGATGTACCGTACCTTCACTTCATAGTACATACTCATTTACAAGTGTAGTTATTATTGTTATATTTATTAATGAACACAAGTTTAACTGTAACACATGTTCTACACCATACAGAATTAGTACTATTTTTTATTTACCAATAAACTTAAGTCAAGACAATGAAATGCACCAACTTTATCTCAGTGACACTCGAGGAATGAGCACTTACCTTGCCGTGATGATATTTGCTTGTGGATGAGGTGTCAGGTGCATGAGGTTGTGGGCAGGCAGTGGATGGCCCAAAGAGTCCTTTGCCAAAACTTCAGCCTCCAATACACCACCCAGTTCTACACGATCAACAATTACCAAATCCAGTGAGGCAATGCTTGCAATCTTGTGGTAAAAAAAAAATATACATATATATATCACAGAGCAGCGGAGTGAAAGAAAGTAATACTGTAGATACATTGAAAAATATATAGAGTATAGAGAGAAAGCAGCAACAAAAGGCACAGGTGGCAATGTACAGCCAATCCAGAAAGTATCGAGACCTCAGGGTTTACGGTACTGTAAGTGTATCTAAAATGTGAGTGAAAGAATTGTTGGGCAGACAGCAAATATAGTTTGCTCATGAAATATGGACATATTGAGAGAACAGTGAAATGAGTGTACAGTATTAGTCTAAGGCAGATGGTAGGTGAAACAGGGAAGACCAAGAAGCAGATAGTTTTAGTTCTGCTACAGGAGAGGAAGGACAAACTCAGGAGAAGACAAATATTTACCCTGATGTGAGATGTGGCAGGATTTTCTGCTTCTAAACAAACGTCTACAAGAGTGACTGTCAATTCTCCATCTGATATTGGCTGAACCTGAAAGAGAAATAAGTAAGTGTATAACATCTTTATTAAAATTTAACAAAAATATGATTAATATTCTGACACTGTTGTTCTAAATTTCACACTTCTTGAACCTGAAGTTTTTAAACTTTCAACTTATTATTCAGTTTATGAATAGGTATTTACAGTATAGTATGTATTGTGATTCCTATAATACATGAGCATACAAATGACAAGCTGTTTCCCATCAGAACATACAGTGTATCACAAACAACGTACAGGAAATAATCTACCAATCTATATATCAACCAAAAAATTATTGTATATGTGAATGTTAAAAATAGTACAAGTTCATATAACATCAATTTGTCCCCACAACCGGGCAGCAATTAAAGGTCAATTTAGGAAACAAATTGTCATTTCCTTAATTATCAAGAAAAAGGTAATATATGGGTACTTACAGTGACTATCCTTTCTTTATCCATGTAGGCCAAGGAAGCAACATCATTTTCTGCTGTCTGAAGCTCAAAGAACCCCGAACCTCCAGCTACTGTTAACTCCAACTGGAAAAAAAAATCAGTAATAGTAATATTTACCCAAAATTAAAAAATTGCCTGATGGCACAAATGTCTCTGCTGAACAGGTAAGTTGTCAAATATGTATGACTCTGACATAAGAGGCAAGACTGATGTTGCTACTTGTGTGTTTCACAACACTCAGACCAGCTTAATTATAGACAGTATATGGAAGGATATTCATCACAGAGAAACCTGACTGCAGGTCACAAGGACCCGTAACCTAACCAATAAGACCAGGGCTTATTAGGACTGGGCCCCTATCCTAATACAGTAGTTAAATTAACACATGGTAGAACAGGGACTCATAACCTGTCAGAGAGAAACCTTACCCTTGCTTCTGCCTACCTTGTTATCCTCATGCTGGTAGAGGACAGCAGATGATGGCTCCAACACAGCATCCTGAACCAGCTTGAGTGGTAGAGAAGCAGAGAGAGAAGGCAAAGGATGCTGTCTTGCTGCTTCAGATACAAACTTGTTAAAACCAGTGAGCATCACACTAACTAACACTTCTCCAACTTCCCCAGTTGGCTTTAGCATCTGCTTGGCTGCAATAAAAATGTAATTCTCAAGTTTTTGTTAAATACACATATGGTCAATGAAAGACATGTGTCCTTTTTTGGAGATAAGAGAGGAGGCAGAAGTATTCCCCTATATTACTGTACTTAGGTTACTTGGAGACAGCTTTAACATTTCTTGAGTGCCTCACCATACAGCACCCTGGCTGAACATGATAGTAAAATAAAGGGAATATAAATAACTGGATATGAATTACTAATTTTTATGTATCTGTTATAATGATTTATATTTACTCATAACTACAGTCAGTAAAATGAAGGAAAATATGAAGATACAAAAAGTGAGAAACAAACAAGTTGAAATACACCATGTAAATGAATTACAGTATTAGAGTAAAACTGAGCAAAATGGCAAGTCAGAAAGTAATATTAAAAATCTAATACAGAAAAACCTAAGAAATCATCGAAGAATTGTAGTAACAGAAGTATGCATTAAGATGATAAGGTATTTCATATATTGTGTATCTTTACAATTTTTTTTTTCTTTTTATGGGGAATAGCCCACCCGGGCACAGGTCATCGACCTACAACAGGGCCTAGGGGGCAAAAAAAATAAAAGTAAAGAGAAATTAAAATTAGAAAAGAAATAGGTTATACAGTATTAACCTACACCACAAAGATGCCCTTACTTTTGATGGGAAGACTGAAGCCCTGTACAGTGGAGACTTGTGTGAGGCTGGAAGGTTCAGCAGGTATACTTGCCAATGTTTCATCTGACAAATTCCACTTTAAAACCAGTGATGATATGTTGTCAAACTTAAGATTCTCCGAGTCAGTTACAATCACTTCCATTGAAAGGGGCTTATAGCAGTGAGCAACAGACTGGAAAAAATATATACATTACACAGAGTAAGAGAGAATGATACACTACGGTAAAACCCTCGAGTACCGGACCGCCTGAGTAGCGACACACGCAATAGTGCCTGCCTTGTGGGTCATTATTGTAGAGCGATGCGGCGTGGACCACGTGGTCTCGCTCACATCACAACAACATCGCCACACTGTACTCAGTCTATGTGTGGCTAGTACTCAGTGCAGAAGTGCCTGTTTTCTCGTGACATATAAATAACACACTGTGAGAACAATACCCAAGTAAGTACAATACATTTGGGTAAGGCCTAACCATGAAGGATGGTGTCAGTCATGGTGGACAATAATGCACAAATTTGGAACTCACTGAAAGCAAATCATAAGTGTGATCCACTTCATCTCCACTAAGTGAAAGTGGGTCCCATACACACCTGCATAATCTTCACTACCTAACACACGTCGCTGCTGCTGTGACCTTGAGATGGCTACGCATGTTGCCGCTGATTAATGTATTGAATCTTTATAAGTTGTGGGAAAATCATTTCAGTACTCTGATGTGACTTAAATAAAGGAAATACTGTATAATATGAAACTATAAAAAGACAATGTGGAGCATGAGTGGACAGTATTTGGTGTGGGAGGTGAACGTATGTATGGGTGAGTAGTGTTCTCCCAGTCTAATGTCAGGGCATACGTGACTTCTTTGCATCTCTGAAACCTTCTAGATTCTAGAACCTTACCTACATCTATAAATACTTTAAATAAACAACTGAATTTCCTGAAAATATCATAAGTATGATTATTTTACTTGAACTTATTCAGTATGAGCATAAATAAGCCAGTCTGTGTTAGTGTAATATGCTGGCTGTTGTGTCTCCCTGCTGATATGGAGGTCTGAGTAACAACGTCACTGTGGCTTAGTTAGTCCGGTACTCAGGGCCCCTTTTATCAACATACATTAATACAAGCTTTTATCTCACTCTAAATGCTCTGAACAAACTGTGTATTGTATTCAACTATTTCCCATTTATCTCATACATTTTCAGTGCTTCACAAAATGCTTTTTTTGTCAATTCTACAATAGATTAACCCTTAAATGGCAATCAACATCAATTAATGTTAGCTGTAGGGACAGTGGCCATCATCAATGGATGTATCTTGTTCCTTGTGTTCCAGTTTTTGCACATAATGTGGGTGGATGGTATAGGGAATCCTTATCCACTGTTTAAGAATTAATAAATACCACAAATAGATTCTTTCTCACCCCCCACCCCCCAAAAAAATCTCACTCAAGTTCATCAATAAATCCACAAAATTATGACGTAATCCCCAGTAATTTCCAACACCGTATTTAGGTCTTCCTCCGTACAATCCTCCAAATGCCCGTAGCAGTTTGACAAATCACCATTAACTTTTAAAACAACATAATTCTTCCAGTCTTTTCTTAGGCTATTTATAAAAGTCATTTTAGTGTACATAATATCCTGCACATTACAAGGTTCATATTTCCTTCCAAAAATAAATTTTTAACTTTATAATACACTCAAATAAATATTCATCTTTCCATTTATAAATTTTGCTAAAGGTTGTCTACATTATAATTGGCTAACTTACCACTCCAATCTCTGCCACAGCTGGACAAGGCGACACAGCAGCTACAGGTCTCTTGATAATGGCTGCCAAACTAATAGCATCTGGCAAGGCACAAACAACACTAAGAGTTGAACTAACCTGAGGGAGAGATCATAATGCAAATGAATGAAATGTCTATGTTTAAATTCACCTACAATGTTCTACCTTAAAAACTAAAAAAAAAATAAATACAACTTTATCATCACTATAAAATGAGATCAAGATTTTCCACATTACTGCACTAAATATTGAATTCCTTTAGCTGCATTCTTCTTGATTAAAATGTGAGACTAAGTTCAAACTGACAAATATTTGACATGGTATGAAGAGATATAATATGAGGTGTTCAGTGGAAGAAGGGCAAATCCACCTTGGTGCATAATCAACCAGCAGTGTGAGATATCGTGACGTCACCCGTGCAGCCAACGAACGGCTGGGTGTGTGTGTGTGTGTGTTTAGGATACACCGTCACCTACCTCAGTTGTCATGTCTTTTCTAACTTTCAGGTGAGACACGAGAGATTTCTCAGCAAATTATTCAATATTATCATTTACTAGGTGGTTACTCTTGAGTGTGAGAAAAGGTCGTGCTCATGTGAGGAAGTGTGTTTAAACATACCCTGAAAGTAAACTAAATCTACCATTTTTTATGCCAGTTACATCAGAACTGTATGGTGGGTTGTGGAGATGCACAAAATATAAGCATCATTAACTTTAACTGTGATTATCTCAAAATGGAAATTTAGCATAATAGTCCTTCTTCCACTGAGCGCCTCATATATGAGGCACATTACAGGCCACAGAAATTCAATAGCAATAATTTTAATCTAATATCCAAATCATCAATGAGATTAATACCATAGATGAGTTAGAACTTACTAACATGTCTTCCACTGTAAGATCTAAGAAAACAATAAGGAGACAGTGTTTGTATTGTTCAGTGTTTCTTTTTATAACAATCTGATACATCAGATCTTTCATCATGATGAAAGATCTGATGTATGACAGACATAAATAAAATCATATAAAAGAACAAACAGCATGTAGACAACTCTATATTGTGGAACACCAGAACCAAAACTGAAACACGTTCAGTTCCTTATGGTCACGGAGATGGACAGAAGGTTCAGAAAAAAAGAGACAAAGACGACAACAACACACGACTCATGTGTAGCGAACAAACATGTATTGGAAGCATTAATGGTCCAATCAGTCAATAAAGACTTACACTTCGGGGATGAGGTAGTGTTGGTACAGGACTGTTGCCAACAGTTAGTGTGAGTGTAAACTCCCCAAGATCGTGGCACACTACTTCAATAGCGTGCACATCAGACTGTTTAACTTCATCCAGAAGCTGCACTCCTACTTTTTCAGGATCATCAACCTGAGCTGAAAGACAAAGCAAAATGAAGTAAACTTTTTGTATCAAATACCAAGAAAAAGTGGAACTTTTTAAACAAAGGTTAAATCGTCTGCAAATAATCTACCTATTTATACCTTAAGGACCGGTCCCATAATAAAACAGGTAGCTTGAAGCACAGTTCCACACAGGAACAGTCCTATTGTTCCCAACTACAATAGCACTTACTAATAGGCAACAATAATCCATATTACAGTTGTTGTTTTTCAGTTTTAATACAAGGCAGTACAGTACAGTACAGTACAGTTCAGTTCAGTACAGTACAGTACATGAGAATCCTTAACACACACTGAGACAAAGTTTTTTGTCTTCAAACTCACTTCTCTGTTCTCCTTCAAGTGTTTTCATCTTAACTTTGTTCTATAAGGTGTGGCATACAAGGCTAGCTAGAGGGTGAGTCATGATACAGATTATTGTAGAGGATGATACAGAGGACAGAGTTATGATACAAGTACTGTAGTTGACTCAGTAAATGATCATGAATAGGAAACTGGCAAGTTTATTATTGTAGTATTTATGGGTGAGTTGTATAACATAAGATGCTCAATTACCCCAAGAGATGATGTGAAAACACCAGATGATGATAACATGCATTAAATGGGAAACATATAAATAACAAAGTAACCAAGTAGCGACAGTTATAAACACACAGCAGTGCCAGGAAGGAGCAGGTGCAGCACCAACCTTTAGCAGTGTGAGTAGAGCGTTTGTTGATCCATGGAAGAGGACCACCCTCAAACAGAACTACCCTTGATGATCCCAAAGCCAAAACTGTCTTCCCAGATGAGGGGTTGGTAGGACGAAGAGGCCTGAAAAGATAACACTGTTAACTCCAAACCTGATTATTAAAATCTTATATTCAAACAACAAAAACAAATTTATTTAATCATCTAAATAACAAATAATGTATACTAAAATCCCTTATTAATAGACTGCCTAGGGTAAATGATTTGTCATTATCATTGAGTCCCTTAATGAGAGGTATACAGTCTGCCAGGTCCTTGTATTAACTCCTGAATACAGTACCACAAAATACAGATACCCTTTGTTTAGCACTAAATTACTTAACATTAATTTGGTTGAGCTATTAAAAAAAAATGACACCCTTCCTCGCTAAACGTTAGGTCAAAGTTTGGTTTCGCAATAGTTTGACTCAGTGAGAAGGGGAAAAAACTGGGGATGAGGTGGACTGGTGCCATTGTTACATGTAATGAAACTATAAAAGTTGTGGAAAATAATTATATTACAGTAACCTAAAGTAGCTTAGAAAGAAGAAACTATAATATAAAACTATAAAGTAAGAAAATGGAAGAACACGGGAGTATATGTGTGTGTGAAGTTAACGTATTTGTGGAGACAGTGGGTCTGTAACTGTGTCGCCAGCCTAGCCTTGCTCCCTCCCCCAATGTGATGTGCTGGCATACACACACACATCACAGTACAGCAGCAGCCACACATCTTTGAGTCAGCTGGGTGACTGCCCGGCTGAACTGTGCCATGTCCAAAGGAAGGTTTCAGTGTGGAAGGAGCTATTTTTGATACATAAAATATGAACTATTGTATTTTATGATATATTATGTATAAATCTTATTGCTTATCTCAGCATTTTTCTTTTAATTTTTGATGTATGCAATTTGAAATGTATTCAAACTCGGCTCACTTTTTCATCTCTAAATCATTTAACTCTGAACCACATCGTACATACATAGAAGTTTGGTGTTAATAAATCAATCACCTAAGTTCAAAACTTTATAACAAACTCTTTAATTAACCAATGTTAAACAAGGGATTCTTGTATTTATTTACATTAAACCTGTACACCATAAAACACAATGATTTTTTTTAAACATAACAAAAGCTGTGTACTGTACTATTTTTATTAAATATTAACAATTGTACAGAAACTCCTGCATTACAATAAGGGAATTTTCTTTTGGTAATCTCCGGGTTTATTAACAAATAAAAATAATTCTGAACACTTGGCAGTATTCACAAAAAACTGGCGGCCCATAAAAAATTTCTGATCCCGTGATGCAGGAAAAATTTCCTGCAACTAAATAATGAAGCATCATCACCTTTTAACTTCCAGAATTATATACTCATACTTAGAAAGATCTCAGGCTGAAAATTAACAAATATTATGTTATCATATTACCTGAATGCAGCGACCATGGTAGATGCTGCCAGTTCCCCTTTAGAGCTTTTGTAAGAGACCTTAACTTCCGAGAAGCCCGGAGTCTTCCCCACAACTTCTAGAGTGGCACAGGAACCCTTGACAATGGGGGTCTTTACATCTGAAAATTAAGGACAGTGGAGTTCCCTCTCTTCAAACATTTCTGACTCCCCCTATTACTTTGTTCCTTCCATTATGCTCACATCCACCATCCACATACACACCCACATACTGTACAAAAGTCTATATGTATCCATGAATGTAAAATAGCCAATGACAAAATCAAAATATTTATGAAACATACCTGGCAAAGCAATGAAGGTGAGTTCCAAAGGCTCTACTTTTAGAGGCAACTGGTGACACACTGTGAAGGGCACCTTGGTGTCTCCCCACTGGGTGTAGGAGGCCACGTGTAGGGGTAGTTTCTCCTCAACCTCAACTTCAACAACACTCTCCAACAGAGCCAAGCCAATAGCCTCTACAATGTGAATCTGGACAAAATTGACAGTTATAAGAGTAAACACACTTCCAAAGTCCTCCTTCCTGGCACTCCATATTCACCCAATAATTCCTTTTACATCTCAGTCACCCAGTTTAACTTTCAAATCTCCTATAACAATCATTTCATCTCTTAGACTGAAACTTTTCATACAGTTACATACTGCTGCACTTCACAGCTAAGGGTTATATTTTTATAGAGACCTGTCATCATAGTTTTAATTTGTTTCTTACAATATTAACTTAGTAATTGAAATATTTATGATGTTCAACAGGGGGTGTCATCCATATTCATCTTGGGGCTATTAAAGTCCAATTGTTTCTTCATTAGGTGGTCTCAGGGCAACTGTATATAGTCAATCTAATTATTAGTACTGTATTATGGTCATGTTGAGGATGTTCTGATACAACAATTTAACATGGTAACAAGGTGATGGGATTCAGTTTTCTTCAGATTGGATCACAACTTGCAACAACTAAATACTTTTCTGTGTATTATTATACTAGTCGTCTTGACTTTTAGTATAACATAACAGGAAAATTTTTAGTGATCACCTAAAATTCATGTGTTACAGTAAGGAAGTAGTTGACCTTTAGTTTCAATAATTAATTTGGGGAAAGTTTACATTACACTTTACCACATATGGGTTGTAATCTCAATTCAGTGTTGCTTTATGACAACTAACCCACCTTATAGATATTATCCAGGAGGTCAGTAGTGTACCTTAATTATTTAAATATTCACTTGTACAGTATCAGTATGTTAAATTGTTCTACAGTACAGTACAGTATTGTTACTCTTGGGGTCCACTGAATAATGTGTATCACAGAACAAGTGTTTGAGTATCGTTGCTGTGGAAAATAAATTCCCACAAGGAGGAGGGTTTCCTGACAACCCTTTGAACCGAGAAACAGAATAGGTACAGTATATGGGGAAGATCTTGGCACAATAGTACAGGTAGTTCAGAGTTTATTAATACTGTTGATAAGGGAAGGGGGTCAAATTTCCAACACAATTCTTTTATTCTGATAAACATCATTTTGTGGCTGAGACTTTTATTTCCATCACATAATTCCACATTTCAAACACCCATAATTTTACATCCCTCAGTGTACCCTGCAGACTTCTCCTTTACCCTTAAATTCTTTTTGAAGGCTGAAAGCCAGATCATCCACATTCTTTCATTCATCATTACTTCAATGACTCTTTCTTCATGTTTTCATTATATCCATGCATATTATATAGAAGACACATATTCTATCTTGTTTCTTTTTTATAGCAAAAATACATATACACATTTATAAAAAATATGCACAAAGGTGTACACAGACACACACATCAAAGTCTACATACCTCAGCAGCATCTTTGTTGTGTGGGTTGAGCACCATGGCTGCAGTAACAGATACTGACCCATATGCCTTGGTTCTGCACACACCCATCTGTGATACTCCAACAACTTCTGTGTTGCTGCTGCTCCACAACACACTGCCAGAGCCACCCACAACCTATAACATAACAAACATTTTCTACAAGTTGCAAATAATATTGTTTTTGAACAGGAACATCACAGCAGCACACATATGGTAATAGGGAGACTGCATGACAGGCACCCACCACCACAGCAAGAGTAAAAGCATACATATTAGCAGACAATGATAGGAGAAGAATGAGTTTGGAAAGCTAAAGAACTTAAAACAAGAGCACATAAAGAGTAAAAATTCACACCCAGGTTTAATGCCTCTAAGGACCACCTCTGATGGTGTACCATTCAACAAGACTCAAGGCACTCAAGAATATCCAGAGGTCATCACAACTACAAGTTAAGTGGAAGACCATCACAAAGGCTTAGCTTTAAAAAATAATACCGTCAAAAAAAATTAAATAAACAATACAAAAAGGGTTTGAGGGCATTATGTCTCTCATGTGTAATGATTGTTTATCAGACCACAGCTTACAGCCCAGAGAACAACACCACATATAACAGTAAGTAGATGCCCACTTGGCGACCCACCCCACAGTGACAGTAAAACCTGACCCAGGAGAGGTCACAGACAAGGTACTTAAGTTAACCCTGCGATATGACCGTGTTACAACCACACCTGGGCAAACAGCTGGCCAGACCTGACCCAGGAGAGGTCAGTCACATTGACCCAGAGTCCTCACCGCCACGCAATTAGCCTAACCCGGTGACATGACCGAGTTAAAGAAACCACACCCAGCCGAGACACACCCGGGTGGTAATAATTAGGAAGCATTACCGACTGGTGACATGACCACACACCTAGGCAAACACAGCTGTCTAGACACACCCAGTTTAGTGCTAATTAGGAGAGGTCATCTGCCGGCTCTCCTCCAATATAAAGGCCCTGCAGCCCCTTCCACGGCAGATCACTTTCACATCACTCTCGACAGAAGACGGAGTCACGCTCGTCTCTATTCGAGGTCGGGAGGGAGACTTCCCTCCCCAACACCGCGTCCCCAGCTAGCAGAGTCTCCCACAGGAGACATAGTCCAGCACTCCCTTCAACAGCACCTGCTGGGCCTCCCTCAGGTCACACGTGAGTCATTGTCAGAGCTATCCATAGGGTGAGTTACTTACGGTGGGAAGTGTATTAATTTTATGTTTGTGTCCGAGAGTCAGTGTCTAGTAACATAAATATAATGTTCTAGTAACTTCGATATAATTTGCTATACATGTGTCTGTGTCATTGAGATAATAAATAAATAGTTGCACTGAAAGCGGTGTTTAGAGAAAGATTTCCCCTAAGAACGTATTTACAGCAAAATAACTAACCGGCCACGCTAGCAAACTTCCTCACTTTAGCCTTCCACTAAATATTCTATCTAATACTTTCTACTTAAATCCCCCTCATTACACCTCTTCCACTCAGTGCAGATGAGAATGAAAACTGACTTACAGAATACAAAGATGGATATCAAATAATAATAATGATCCTAGAATTCTTACTGTTAGGTTGAGACTGTAGACAGGTTTTGTGACTGGATCCCACGGCAGGACGGTGCGTTGTGGTATCACAGCAATGGGGTCAAATATCGATATTTCTTGGCTGGCCTTCAAAGGTGGAGTAATTTCTAAAATGGTGTCTCCCACTTCTATTGCTGTTAAAGTTGCCTGTGTATTAAATAACATAAGCAGTACTATTAATACACATAGACAAAATAAAATATCTAAATACTGTACAGTAGTTCTTGTTTTTTTAAGTCAATCTGTATTCAATCATAAAACAAACTTAAAATGAACAGCATCATTACTAATCTTAACTAGCCTAACCTAAACCAAGCTTACTTAACCTTATTTATAGTTTGGTTATATAATGATGGTAAATGATGTCTTAAATGAAATAGAGCAAATTAATAAGAAAAGATCTGACCAATCATTGTGGCCAGTCCCTAAGGTTAGATATACAAGCTTCAACTCACACCTGGAAACACTCACCTCACCAAGACCCTAAACTCTATTAAAGAAAATCATTACTGAGGCTAAAAAAAGGTACCGATAAACCACACAACACACCTGAACTTTAGTTTTTCCCGTCTTGATAGTTACACCATACACATAAGAGCCATTCCTGGAGACATATTCTGAAGCAAAGTGTTCAGATGGTACTGTTGTCTCCATTACTATATTCTGAAACACAAGGACAGAATAATGAAATTAATTCAGTATTCAGCAATTACCTTAACCATCACTTAAGATTATAAATGTGTTAACAGTACAGAAGTAAGATGTGTGTGAAATTACCCATATGCCATTAACTAAGCAACGGTTTACCTAGGTAGCTATATGGACGTTAGGTTAACAAGTCTTCACCACAAACTGAGATGGAAACAGTTAATAGAGAATCATAATTAACAATAAATAAATGCAACATTCAAATATTCATTACCATATCAATATGTGTGAAAATTAAGTACTATCTATACAGTATATCTTCAACCTATGAGCTGGAACCTAAAATTATTTAAACTAATCTACAGAACTTAAATTTGGGCAGTTACAAACACCAAGCTTAAAAATTACTAGACCAAAAATGTCAACAAGAAATAAACATAAATTTGATATGGAATTAATAAGCTTCAAGACACTTAACTTAGACCTGACCTACTCAATGCATATTTATGTTCAAAGGGCATCAAATTGACATCGTAAATGGCCAAAAAAAAAGTACAGTACTGTACTGGGTATGACAGGTAGAGTTATAATATAATATACTCACCTTTGTATCACAGTTAAAAAGGCACAGACTGTACTGTTAGAATTCTACCATGACAAAAAAGAATGTTCAACTTGAAATAAATATCCAGAGGTAATGTGGTAGTAAGATCATTCTAATCCAAATAATTACTACAGGTACTTACATCTGCCAAGAAGATTTTATTATCCTGTTTGTCATAGACGTTGACGATGAAGGCGTAGCGCCTGCCAAGAATAAGAGCTGGGTTGTTGTGGGGCTCAATGGAGATGATGAGATATGATGGATCTACAACATGTATGTTGGCAGTTGGTTGTTTCACCAGCTCTGAGGAGATCACATTGTTGTCTTTCAGAATCACCTGTCAGGATAAGATGTATTTCAGAACAATGATTCATCCCTATAAACAACTAATATCATACAAAAATATCCTATGCCATCCTTCCATAGCCTGTTCAGTCTGCAATAAACTTCTTACAAAATTTCACACTTTAATCCCAAAGCCTGAATAAAAACTTCAACATAATGGTTCTTGGGTCAAGGTTATATTCCAGTTGACAAAACTTCACACTTCAATCCCTAAGCCTGAATAAAAACTTCAACATATTGGTTCTTGGGTCAAAGTAATATTCCAGTTGTTGCCCTGAGGTTACCTGTGTTGTGCCTAGGGTTTTGGCCGTGATACTGACTCCGTCGTCGTTGAGCTCTGCAATTTCTGTATCTGCAACCTGTGTAGTACGAAGGATGAAATTAATTAAATTGTGAACTGAAGAAATTTAGGGCTATTAAATACTCTATTACCACAATAATAAAACTCTCCATTACCAAATTATTAAAGCAAACCTAGATACTGCAACTACAATGTTAACTGTGTGAGAGTTGTTGCACATTAGCCAGAGTAAGGTCCTTACCCTCCACAACAAAAGTCTAACTTCCAAGTGTGATTCTATTTACAATACTTCAATAACACATTATTCTCACAATTCACTTCTCAGTATTCTTACAGGCCAGTTCCAGATAAACTGTGCCACCAAAACCCTGATGGCAGAATAAAAAGTGCCACCTCACAGACAATGACACCATGTACAGAACTTGTGCATTAAATTTGAAGAATATTAATCAAGATACTGTACTGTAATGGGTTCTCCATGTTTTTCACACCTGGCTCCCTACTGGTTAAAGCATGAAATAAATTCAGAGGACTCATGGAGGTCAAACTTGGATTATAACTGCCTGTTATGTGAAAGTTTCATGAATGTAGGTTAAAGGGAAGTTAGAGATATAAACCAAATAGACAATTATTATATAAGAAAATAAAAACAATAAACACAACAAAAACAAAAGGCCTTTTGTTAGAGCAATAGAGTAACAACAATGTAATAACAACAATAATCATTAACAAACATCTACAAATTAGTTTTATAAACCTGAGCAAGGAGTTACACACCTGCAAGTAGAATTGTGATGCTGGTATATCAATGGTGGAGAGGTGTCCTTGTTTGAGCTGGAACACTGTGTACTTAACTGCAGTGTGAGGCAGGACATACACATCAGCTGGATCAAGCAGCAAGTTGGCTACAACCATTAGGTTCACTGATGATGGAGCAAGATGCTGTAAAGAATTTGGCATACAGTTAAACAACCTTTACATTCAAGGCAAGTATATTTTCAACTAATGTATATCCTCCATTTTTTGTAAGACTGGTAGGAAATTATATTGCTAAGACATGAGTCACTTCAGTCACACGTTCTAGTACTGTACAGATGATGTGCTAACAAAGTAAATTTTTTAGAAACTTGCATAATTTCATTAATCCTACCAGTGATTTACTAACCTTCTGCCTACACTTTGAAACAGTGCAGTTAAGGACAGAACCACCACACTGATAGCAGTTTAGAGAACTTTTTATCTTTACTATGTGTTGCCACAAAATGTATATAAGAACGCAACAAATATTAACTTGGTGACCTCTTTCACTGCACAGCTTTGTGTGCACCAACTGAAAAGTCACCCAGAAGGTAAAAAAGTATATGTGCATGATCAGAAAGTATGGCAGAGAGAAGTTTGTTGGGGAAGGACATGCTGCAGATGGGTGACGCTGGGTTGTGTGAAGCAATACAGTACAGTGAATGGACATGAAGGGCCTTGTGGAGAGGAAGAAACTGTAAATGAAGGAAGATTGTTGTTTTCCAGCCACCTGGCACCACTACTGGAGCACAGAAAGGTTTGGAAGGGTGAAAAGTAAGTAAAGAATAAGATGCAAGACTTAACCTTAAGCAAAAGACTCCTTCATTAAAAGAAAGGATAAACAAGGAAATGACAAAATTTGGAGAAATTGTATTACTTATGAAGGAATTATTCTAAGAATAAGAAAATGAAGTACAGTACAGTACAGTACATGTGAAAAATCAACAATGACAAAGTGGGAGTGTGGAGTAATGTTAGCAACAGCATCAGGGAAAACTGAGCAAGACCTGTCAACAGTATTTGGATGTTCAGCAAGATATATTCTACTGTGCAGCAGAAAACCCTCCTTTTTTATGACATAAAAAATAATTTAATATAGTAACCTTATATGCCGGGTGAGCAACCCTGACAGAAAGTCTAGCTGAGCCAGTTTGTCTTCCTTCAATGAGGGCCATGTAACCCATGCGACCACTTTCCTCAAGGGGGGCAATAGAGGGTGGCATCTCATATGGTGACTCATCAAAGGTCATGAACCTGCAGGTTAAATGTAAAGTGTAAATATCAAACAAAATTATCATTTAATATCATGTGGTAATTCCTCAGGAGTCAGAGACCAGGTGGCTTAACATGTAATCATAACAAACTACACAGTACATGATACATGAACTCACATTACATGGGCAAGAAGAAAAGTCCAGTGATCCGCAAAATAACTTGATGAAACAGAAGCTGCCGTCTCTAGCAAGTTATTTGAATTCTGAGTCAAGAGATTCTGCCCATTCAGAATCAGCAAAAAAAGCTGTGAACAAATTTTATTCTAATCCAATCAATGATTCAAATGACCAGGCTCTGTCTGGATATATTCATGAAAGTAGTCTATCAAATCCTGGAAGCCATAAAACAAAAGTTTGAAAGGCAATATATAGTAGTGTACTACAGTTCTTTGGTTATGAGAAACAACTCACTTGAGAACAGTCTGGGCAGCCACTACAGAGCCTCGGTCAGTCAAGGTCTGAAGATCCCATATCATTTCTATGCCTTCCAATGTAGTAAATTCATTACCTGGAAACAATGAATAATTCTAAATACAGTACAGTACAGGTATTATAAATAATGTGAAGTACACATACAGGTATGGGACTATTTATACAGCATGCTTGGAACCTTGGGAAAACCTTGTACAATGGCAGCAGAATATGAACTAAGAGCACAAGTCTACAGCCAAAGCTACTCGTGCAGATAGCCCACCACTGTGCCCGGAACGTGGGGAAATGTACGGATGGACCGGTGATTTATGCAATCTCTCAGAAATCCCGGAAAATTTGTTTCCACGACCAGAACGGAGAGATCTTCTTGGAATTTTTCTGGAAAATGCACATGATTCCATCCTCGGAAACTTGTTACCATGCTCAAAATGGAGAATTTTCCCAGAAGGCTCAAAATTCATTCTAACTACTGGAGAGTTCCGAGGATCAGAGATCCCGGCTAACAGGGAAATTACTGTACCAATATATCAGCCATTCTTAATTCGTACGATCCTTCACTGTGAAATCTGATTTTTTAATTTATTATTGTTTAACCACGTATGACCATCTCTCACATTAGGTATAACACGTCGTTACGTACGGAATGTATAATAAACTATAAACAACAGGCGTGGTCTATGAGTACTGTACATGAAAGAGGTGTAAGATGATCACAAACAACTATGAGATCATTTGTACAGTACAGTACCTAGTCCAGCTCTTGACTTACCTTGGTCATCATAAGCTCGTACTTCAAACTCTTCTGGCGCTTCTTCCACGTATAATTCTCTCGTTGTTGTCACGATCTCTAGACGGTGAATGGTATCAACAAGAACATCACAACGCAAAATTCCACCACTTCCTGCGAGTCAAAACCAAGATTTATTTGGCTAGTTTAAGATATAAATATTCACAGTTAATCATACTTCAAATGGTCTTAAAGTGTCAACCAAGTAGAACATAAATAATCCTGATGAAACCTTTCTACTCAACCTCCTCTACACAGAATTATCTCACTCTCCTTCCAAATGTTCCTTTAGCTCATCATTATTCTTCCATGTAGCTACACAATCCTGCCTGCATCACTCATAAACACCTTAAGTAACCTTTATGCTCTTCCATTTACACCATTCAACACACTTTTCCGTATCACAAGTACAGTACCGTCAATTGTATCACAACCAGTCGAATGATCTTTTACAGCTTTCAGTATACAGTACAGTACAGTATGTCCAAAAGAGAAGTGGGACATGTCGGAGTATCAGAAGACAATTCAAGAAATACTGTAGTGATAAAGCATTCAACATTTATGACTAGCACCACATTCCTAGACTGTCTGATCCACAGAATAGGTAACACCTTTAAGTTCAGTATTTATAGAAAACCTACTAATGTGTGTTCATATATTCATTATTATTCTGCCCACCATAATAGAGTCAAACAGTCAGTATTTTCAACAATGTTTTTACGTGCTTTGAGAATTTGCAGCCCGGAATTCATTGATGAGGAATATAAATATATCTGTAATATTGGCTTGAACCTTAAATACCCTAGATCTTTCATAGACAAATGCCTGAACATTAATAAGAAATCTTTTTATAGAACCGATCCCAAGCCCACCCATGACCATAAGAATCTCTTAGTATTACCATTTCACAAAAATTTCTCTCAAATTCCTTTACAACTAAAAACCTGGAACGTCAATGTGGCATTTAAAAACTCATGCACTGTTAAACAAATGTTAATCAAGAACTCCCTCAACAATACAGGTGGCTGCATTTATAAGGTTTCTTGCAAGGAATGTAATATGTTTTACTTAGGCCAGACTGGTAAAGATCTTGTAACTAGACTTAAACAACATAAATATAGTGTTAGGACAGGCCAGGAATCCAATGCATTGACTGGGATAATGCCTCCTCAATATTACCTTGTAATTCAATTGACAGTAGGAACATTATAGAATCCAGTCTCATTAAACATACCGAATCCATCAACATGAATTTGAGTAATGTTATGTACAAACTGGATAATTTCGTAATTAAGAAGATTTGTAACCAGGTGAGAAGGTTGGGTCATCTTACCCTCTGACCTGACTACCAACTACTGCGGTGCTTTTTGAAGATTAGTCGGGTCACTACCTAATAACCTGACTATTGTGGACTTGATCTTACCTTCCTCTACTGTATATATATTTGCCTTGTTAAGTATTTCTCCTTAGTCTGTACTCACCCCTGAAGATGTGAATTACACGAAAGCGCTTGGGAACTTTGTGTTTTCTTTTTCCTTGTGGTTATCAGCATATATAACATAACTTGTAGTCTCACCCAAACATAATTGCAGTCATATAATCAACCACTGTAGTTAGCCCATTAAATGCAGACTAGCCACATATGAAACAGTCAAACAGTCTACCTTTCAGTCCACTGTGATGTGTCATACATGAAATGAAAATCTTTTGTTAAATGTGACAGATTGTGATACACTTCAGACCAGCCACACTGAATGGGTTAAAAGACTGACAGAAATAATTACCAGAGTCTTGGGCCAGTATAATAGCCGTTTGTCTGGAGGGAGACCGGCTGATGGCAGACACCTGTACCTCATTGGCACAACCATCCTCTATAACCTCAGTGAGCAACACAACCTCACTTCTTGAGCACGACCTGCAACATGAACAACATTAACTAACACTACAACACCAGTAACACAACTTAATTTGGGTATGACAGTATTGTATAAGTTGCCACCCTCTGTATCTGAAGAATTTTATCTTAGCAATCAGTAGTTCAGACAATTCTATAACACTTTCTTCTACGACATTTCTCTCGCAAAGGTAAAATTCTTGAGATTCATTGGGTGGTAACTTATACAAATTTACCTTAATTTCGGTAATTTACGAGTAAACTACTACCACCAGAAGGAGTTGTTCAATTTTGTTCATTTTTCCAATGTTTCTTATCAATTTAGTATGTATTCTGAAAGAGGCAACTACTTTTTATTTTAATTATAAGTACTTTTTACATTTTTTTTTTTTTTTTAGTTCTTCTCTATGATCATAAATCACCTGTAGTGGGCAGGGTAAGAAGGAAGAGGGAAATTGTGGGGGTAAAACACAGTGAAAAACTGATCATATGACACTAAAATGATGTGTCTATTAGCTTTGTTCATGAAGATATTATTATTTACCATAAATACTCCTCCAAAAATCTGCTGTCACCGCGTGTTGTCTGTTAACAGCCGAAAGCTCGGTCCTGCTCTTGTCCCCCTCAAAATGTAAATTTAAGCTTAAACAATGTTGCTTTCATTGGCACCAGATATCAAAATAAGTACTTTCTGTTTAATACAGCAGGGGTCTAAGGGAGGAACAGGGCCCCCCCGGCTAGGAAGGTTTCTTTGGTTGGCTAGATCAGAGGGTCTAGTAAATGTCTCCTTTTAAAATACTTACTATAATGATAATAACAGGTGTGGAAAATAATAAAAGAAATCGAACAGCTCCTTCTGGTGGCAGCAGTGTTCTATACATTACCCTAACTTGGTGTATTTATAACAAAATTTAAGGAAACCTCATGAAAATACTACATTGTAAAATATTGAATTCCACACAGCCAACACAGCCCAGAGATGCCTTATGAGACTGCATGATATTAATACTTGTTTCATTTACTGTACCGCTGCTGACACACACCGGTAGTTTAACAAGAATGGTCACCAGTCATGTCTAGGGGATCCATTTTCAATGTGTACAAGCTTTCAAAAGTTCATGTGTTAAAATAATTCAGTGAGCCACAAAATAAACCCCATAATAACGATTACAAATTTAAAATATAAGAACACGATTTCCTCACCACTGGTAACAGCCACCTTCAAACACCTTCAGTGTGAAATTTGAAGGAATTTCATGGTTGTAGGGAAGAAGAACGCGTGGTACATTAAGTTTAGAGGCCAAAAGGGGCAACAAACAACATATTAATACACATAAGTGCAACGTTTTAGGACTAGACAACATCATAGCGCCCACCATGCCTCCCAGTCCCGGAGCGGTTACCCTTACACACACAACTCACATCTCCCTCAATTCTTACGTAAATAATGTTAGAACAAATTCAATTACGTAGTTTATAATCTTGTCATAGAAATATTATCAATTATAGATAAAACTGTATTTTCTTTTGTGTACACAGATTAAATTAGGATTTTCATGAAGAAATGCGATCACAAAACACAAATCACGTGTATGATGACGATATGAGAAGAGTAGCTTATCTTTAGCTTATTTCTCATTAGAAACGACAATAAAATCAACAGAAATTAACGAGATTTGCTAGTTAATTTATATACAATGTACAAATGAAACACCCAAGGCACACACACGGTTAGTGTCCTGCTGGTCAGTGCTAATAATTTTATGATTACTATAGGAAAGTTGCTACATTCAATAACCATTTATTCATTATATATAAAGACAATATAAAGAACGCTTCTGGAGGATATAATTATCGACACAAAAAATACAGATGTTGTTAGATAAACATTGAAGTATTTGGAGTGTATCACTGACTCATCTCATCTCCTTGTATACAAACCAGACGTTAAGGCTTCGTCTATTCGCGCCTTTGTAATTTGAACATGAAAATATAATTTTTGATTTGTCACTTCAATTAAAATAGTTCTCAACCGATGTTTTACTGTTCTGAAATAGAAATGAAATTAAAATATTATAAAAGTATAGCCTGACCGAGAAGTTGGATTTGTAAAATTGTCTGGTAAAACATTCCCAGTTCTCGTTGTGCTTCATTAGTACAGTGCATATTAATGCTATTATGTTAATGATCTATTTAAATATATATATATATATATATATATATATATATATATATATATCCTGGACGAAGTTATTATAGCCTAGGAGTAACTGATAATATTGCACTGTACAAATTGATATACCCAAATCATGTCTAGTCGTCTCTAGAAATATGCCTGTTGCAGCGAGGCGATATGAATGAACAGTGGACTTGGTAATGTTAATAAACTGATTTATTGGCTTCTATATTATGATAAATTACTTCTAATAACCTAGACTACATTCAACCGAATCATATACCGTAAAAAATGTTAATAGGTGTTAAGTGATACAGGGAACAGTGGTAAGTGAGCACCTTGTAGCGTACTGTATGTGGCCAGTTGTCAATTCTCTTTAGTGGTCTATTATCTCTTTGTATGGGCACACAAACGTACGTACATGTAGATACCTTCACTCAGGAATGAGGTAGGATAGAAACTCACGATGGGCTTTCTGTATGTATATTGTTGTACAGTGCAGTGCTTAGGAGTAACTAGGTGAGGAGCTGTGAGAGGTGTTGCTGGTCCAGCAGCCGAGTGTAGACTGCCCTCCCTGATGATGATGATAATGAAGTAAAGTGGCTGCTCTTCCTGGACAGGCGTGGCCGTATTTATACAATTTAAGAGGATCAGGATTTGGGGTGCGTGTAGAGCGAGAGTCAATCACAGAGGAGAATGCCAGAAGTACCCGGCACTCAGATCCTGGCGTTGCTACGTGTGGAGTAGGTCTACCAGCGTCGCTGGCTGGTAGGCGTGCGGGAGCTCGGTTGGAAGTTGTAGGGGAGGAGCCACTACAACCTCTATTTGTCCTGGGGTCGAGCCCAGCCGAGACATGGGTTCCTCCAATAAAGTTCATAACAAAGTAACGAAAGGGATCAACAGCCTGAACGGCTAGTGGACTGATAAACGACTAATTAAATCTTAATTAATCAATGAATCAAAGAGTATTGTACAGTCCTCATATCTGAAGGTTGGCGACCACAGTCTTCCACTCTAAACGGTTTTAGGCTGTTTTTACTAATCCTACAAGATTTTGCGGTGGACGGAAATAGAGTCCACAGGAAAAAAGTCATGACTTGTACACATTGACAACACAATATATACATGATGGCATTGCACGTAGCTTAAGATTTTTTCCTTGTCTTTTTATATGACTTTTTTCTTGTAACTTTTTTTCCTGGATTCGATTTTGCACCTCTTTCGGAACCAGTTTATAATTTCATTCATCTATCAAAGTCTCTGTATTCCCCTGTCCCTCCTACCCTCAACTTTACCCATTAATATTTATTATTATCCACTCCATCCGTAATTATATGACCAAAGTATCATTTTTCTTAGTAAATTTAATTTTTTTTCTTTTTTTTTACAAGGATTAGCCCACCCGGGCACAAGTCACTGACCCACATAGGGGCCTGGAGGGCAAAAATGTAGTACAGTGATCCCTCGGTTAAAGAACACAATCTGTTCCAGCAGGTTGTTTCAATGGGTTTTTCGGGAATTGGTTCCAGCTCACCGAAAATTGCCTAAATTCAACAACAAAGGTAGAAAAGTACACTTACTTTGAGGTGTGTATGTAGAAGGCTCCTGGATGATGATGATGATGATGATGATGATGATGATGATGATGATGATGATGATGATGATGATGGGAATTAGAATGGGGGTGGAGGAGAAGGAAGAAGAGAAGGCATTGGGGTGCAAGAGAAGTCACCCCATGCTGCCATTTCACCCATAAAATTTTAGTTCTCTTGGTGTAATTCAAGATTATTTTCTTTAAATCAACACTGCACTGCATTATATATTGTCAATATGTAAAATAAATTTCAAGATGACCAATAATTTGCTTGGAAACACAGAAAAAAAAGAGTTTAGTTGAAGAGAGTCTCAAGCAAGATGTTACCTCCACTGAAAAGAGAGAGAGACTAACGCCTGTCTGGTGTGTTGACAGGCTGGATGGCACGCCAGAAACTAGTTTCTTTACCTTCAATTATGTTCAATAATTGTTAAAATGACTAAAAAAGATAATATTAAACTTTTAAAATTATTGAATAGTATAAACTTCTTGATATTTACTAAAATAGTAAGGAATTTAAGCCCTAGAACCGATTAATGTATTGGCGGACTAATACTAAAGCTGGTTGACCGGCCAGTGCAAGCGAAAACATGTTGAGGTCGGTTCGTAAGAAATTCGTTAACTGAATTTTTGTTCGTTAACCGAATTTAAGAATCTTATGGGAGGCAGTTCGTTAACCGAAATTTCGTTAACTGAGGCGTTCGTTAACCGAGGGACCACTGTAGTAATAGTAATAATAATAATAATAATAATAATTCAAAGTAAAAATAAATATAATGCAAAATACAAAATTGAAAATAGAATAAAATAATAATGATAATACAGTAATAACACTGTAATAATAATAATAATAATAATGAAGCACAAAGAAATACACAAATGAAAAAAGATCAAGAGTAAGAAACAATACAGTATATGTATGTTGTGTTGTCAAATAAAGAGAAACAATTGGGCCCTGCAATTGTGTGTAAATGAGGCAGAAAGTCAGATCATCAACCTGGGACTTGGTCACAGATGGCAGCAGGGTCTACCATTAGACAATACGTTATGCTTCCAATATCTTCCCAGGCGGTAGTACCTCCGTTTGGTACTGTATCTGCCTACTACCTACTATTTTTTTTTTTTTGAACGTGGCCTCCAGCCTCCCCCAATAGCCACACCTTCGCTGCCATTTTACTGCTACCTACTACCTACAGTATTTCTCTTAAAGTTTTTGTTGACCTTAGTACTTCTACATTTACTTTTCAGACTGTGTACTCACTGTACTGTAATTTAAACATTTGACTGTGACACCACATTTCAAAGGCCTCTATCTCACCTCTCTATGCTGCATGGCAAATATTAAAAACTCAATTATGCAGCATGTCTGCATGATGGTGTATAGACCAAAAACTTATAGTAGCACATAAGGAGATTTGTCAAAAAATTAGGTGAAAAATTCCAGTACAGTACAGTATATCAGCCTTCCCAGTCTGAGGTGGCAGGATGGGTCCTTGCTGCTCTCTCCAAGGGGGTTTCAATAGGCCATTGACACAGTCTTTTTTCGTTCACTGGTGAAGTTCCTGCCTGATTTTCTTTTTTGTGACCTCCTTTCACGTTTCTTCAGCGTGGTAAACAAGGAGTGCTTCCAGTATTAAGAATGGGAGGCCATGGAAGCTCCCAACTGCCATGTCTCATGCAACACAAACCTCTTCAACCTCTGCAGTGCTGCAAATGAGGTCAATACTGCTGGGCCTCTTTCATTGTCTTTATATCACTCTGTACACACACACACACACACACACACACACACACACACACACACACACAGTACAGTAGATTACATGGCTGCTGAAGAGTGAATATAATGCACTTACATTATCCCTAGAAGTTTCGTGAGTTTAATGTGATCCGAGTCAGCAGCTTCCAAGAATTGTTCGTTCCTGAATATCTCAATTAGCTCAGGAAGTTATTGGTGGTGTTGGTTGTTAAGTAATATGTAGACTACTTCACTGACGTCATCATCATCTACCATGTCGTCGGTAGTCACATCAGGATCCCTTATCACCTCCAGGATGTCGTCGTTGGTGGTCTCGGAGAAGCCTGCAGCTGTAAAGCTCTGCGCAGCTTCTCTGGCAAGGTCCACTGCTACTGCAACAGTCTGAACCTCACCAGTCACAGATTTACTCTGCCTAACGGCCGGAATGCCTTGCAACACATGTCTCCATGCGTGACGAACAGTTGCTACAGACAGCTGATCCCATGCCTCCACCAAGAAGCCCACAGCTTTCTTGACGTTGAATGTTCTCCAGAATTGTTTTAAAAGTACTTCTTGCTCTGCCAACTGTTGATCCTCGTCGTCTTCGCTCTTGCTATCGGTGTTGGTGTCACTCAGGTTACGCAACTCTTCCTTGGTGTTGGTGTAGTCGTTCAGGAGCTTGAATTTTTTAGTAGAGAATGCAGCTTTTACATTACAGATTAACTCTTGGTCCATGGGCTGTAATATAGATGTAGTGTGGGAGGAAGGAAGACAACTTTTACGTTGGGGTGACGATCTAACAGTAGGGGCGAGTGTCCTGGTGTGTTGTCCAGCAGCAACAAAATCTTGAATGGCACATTCTGTTGCTCACAGAATTTCTTCGCATCGGGAACGAAACAGTCATCAAACCAGGAGAGGGACAGAGTAGAGAACATCCACGCCTTACGAGCGGTCAGCCAGTGGACATTTAGCTTGGTCATGTCCATGCTCTTGTAGGCGTGCGGCTTGCGTGCTGTGTGGATCATCGATAACTTGAGCTTACAGGTACCGGAGGCATTGGTGGTAAACAGAACGGTGATGCGCTCCTTCTGCAACTTCCGGCCCCGACACTTGCTGGCATTCTTCACAACGAAGGTCTTGGAAGGTAGTTTTTTCCAAAAAAGACCAGATTCGTCCATGTTAAACACCTGGTCGTCGGTGTACTGTCCTTCCTCCATAATCTCACGTAAAAACGGAGGAAATTCCCTAGCCGCAACACGGTCAGCACTAGCTTCTTCACCACCAATGTTGATATTGGTGATCTTGTTTCTCTTCTTAAACCTCTGTAACCACCCAGAGGAAGCATTAAAGGGCTTGGGCTCTGTAATTCCCATCTTTCGTGACACTGCAGCATACAGTTCACGTGCGTACTCCTTAACTGAGCGCGTATCTACCGCCATGTTACGTCGCGCCTGACGCACCAAGTAGCTCACAAGTAATTTTTCTGTCTTGAGAAGCACTTGGTTGTGGCAATACTTGATCATAGAAGCACCTGTAGACTTTGTGATGTTCATGTGCTCCTTTATCTTGGCTGCATCCTTCTTAATTGTCCTCATCGTAGACTCGTTAACACCATGCTGGCGCGCGAGATCAACCTGTCTTGTTCCTTTCTCCAACTCTTGTATGATCTTATACTTAATTTCATAGCTTAAGGAATGTCGTGTCTTCTTTGGCTTAGGGCGGCTGGGTCCAGGTAAGGAAAGGTTTCTCTCTGGGGGCGGTGGTCCGGCGGAAGCCATTTTACAGAACAATGGGATCAGGTATTCACGGTGTGGCCTGGAGGGATGAAACTGCCGCGGCTAGGTCGAGTCGTCTTTCCTTCCTCCCTCCCACGGGTGGACACGTCATATTACTTTAAACCAATCACAGCTAGCAGCGGAGGGAGGTAAGGATGCATGGCCCAATTACAGTCCGATACGTCATATGACGTCACTGATAACGCAACAAAGACACACACTGCGCAACCTACTCGCGCCGCTTACACAACATGGCGGATGGCGGGAGGTTTGGATCCAAAAATGGCGCGGCTCGCCAGCCGCTCTCCGCGTAAAGGGGTACACGCACCGCAGAAAGTGAGCATTCCGGTTTCGGCAGGGTACCGCGTAAATGTGGAAACGCGTAAAGTGGGACCGCGTAAAGCGAGGGTTGACTGTACAGTACTGTATAGTCAAGACCTTTGAACACTCCAAATGTGTGAAAAGATGAAATGGAGAATATGGCAAAATGCAGACCGAAACCCAATCAAGCTCATTTCCGAGACAAAATCTTTGAAACAAAGAAACCCGATGCAAGATATGGACCTGAAGCAGAGGAAGGTAGCAGGGATAACTTGACCTTAACAAATTGTTCAAAAGTGCACATATTTTATGCTAATTACCACACCTTCAAATGTAACTTCATGATTGTAATATTCTGTTTTGCAGTATAAAATTAGAGCAGCAACAACCCTTTGTGCTGACAGATACAATATAGCACTCTAATCAATAGGCATCAATGTTTTGTTCATATCATTTTCATCCAGCTTTAATACACTCTGCTCATGTAGGAAGACTTCAGCAAAACCATACCAAGGGGAGTCACCACATATTCAACAAAAATAATCTAAATATATATGAAAAAAGTTATTATGAGTCCTCACCAGATAGAGTAGAGACATCAACTGTATTTACAAATGTTTAATTTCTTGTGCTATTTTAGTCTAGTAAATGTTGCAATGTTTCCAAATGTGATTGACTCAATGTATGAGGGAGGACTGGAATGGTCTAAACTGAGAGTAACCACAGCAGGATCTGACATATTAATACTTATCAGAGTGATGTCTATATTCTTCAACATAATCAGAGTCACTCCGAGATAAAACATGGTTTTGTATACAGTATAACCTAAGACATACAGGAACAGACACAATTTGTGAAAATTCATCTACTCCAGAAATTCAGAAAAATGAGGCCTTGACAAAGAGCCATCCATCCAATGATTGAAGGCCCTGCAAATGAGTAGTTTAAAATTCTTTCCCCCCAAAGTTTAAAGGAACCAAATTCTTCCATAAACTCACAATCAGTGTCTGGATGGCAGCATGGTAAAAGACAGCCACTAATAACATGAAGATAAAGTTAGTAGAAACTTTGATAATCTCAAAGAAAGACCTGACTATATTACCAGGCAATTACCTAATGTTTAATAGGGTCAAAGAATATATCAATGCCACTCCACCAGCAGGAGTTTCTATCCTTGATGATAACAGTATATAAACTAATGAAGGAGTTTCATCAAGAGCAGCTTTACTAAAGTTTATTCCTAACTCAAACAACTGGGTTGCAGTTATACAAAGAATATCAAAGTCAAATTCATTAATAGTAATCAGTTCATTTTGCATTGCTCAGACACTGAAGATAACTATTCTTAATGGGACAAGATAGGGTTCTAAAATTTTTCTGAAAAGAAATTAGTTTTTCAATCACCCTCTCACATTGAAAGTCCATTACTGGGCACTGTGCTTGAGGCAAATTTGGCCTCTCAGGCTAAAGTCAGAATACCAATTCTTGTGTCATGATGTCCTCCTGAATATATAAGTATGGCAGATCCACTAAAAATACAGTGTAGTGAATTTGATGTGAAACCCGTGTAGGTTTTTGTAATAATTTATTCACAGATGTCTTATGTACAGCAGTACAGCGTGATACAGATGGCGGACACAGATGCAATGAGACAGGGACCAGTGATACAGATGGCTGATACAGGTGCAATGAGATAGGAAACAGTGACACAGATGGCTGACACAGGTGCTATGAGACAGGGACCGTGTACGACCGAATGAGATAAAGGCAGTTACAGAGGGAGTTTCGCATCAAATTCACTCTCATTAATACAACATCTTAAATGAATTGTAACATGGAAACTATGCAGAATCTGACATTTTACTATATATATATATATATATATATATATATATATATATATATATATATATATATATATATATATATATATATATATATATATATATATATATATATATATATATATATATATATATATATATATATATATATATATATATATATATATATATATATATATATATATATATATATATATATATATATATATATATATATATTTCTCAAATATTAAAATAAATCCTCAGTAAATTATTTGCAAATATTTCCATTGAGATTAATCAAAAACTGATTCTAGAAATTCCCGTATGTCTGTCGACCAATCAGGATCTTTCAGCCCAGCGTGACCTACTGAAGAATACGTTCAGCCGCACTTCTCCCTAAAATTCATCACAGGGATAGTGAACAGGTTGAAAATATATCCATCCAACGTTCTTCCTCATCCACACGAGTATCGTCGACGTTGAGGATACAGACATATCTGGCAAGTATCTGAGGTGGGGGATGACCTGTTTGATAGCTCCCTACTACCTACCTATACAGTACTGTACTCGAGATAGAAAATGTACTGTATAAGTTTCTACTAGAGTGAGTGCGCGGACATAGGAACCGGTTATGGGTTACACTTTCAAACAATTAAGTCATAGAGCTGTGATCAACTTTAAACAAATATGCATAGATACCATCAACAAGTTTTATATTATACAGTACAGTATAAAAATAATGTAATCATTTAGTAATTTAATTTCTTTGAGATTTATTTTACAGACTTTAAGGAGATTATAAGTGGGCATATTTATATCAATTCAGTAAATTGAAAGACTTTGGATGAGTGAACAATAAGCAACATTTTGAACTGAATATCTTGAACAAATATGATGTGAGAAACAATGAGACTGACAGTGACATGACTGATAAATTATAAACCAAGGTAGGTTGGCCACAAGGGAGAGAGGCAGTTGACTATGATGGCCACAGGAAGGAGAGAGAGAGAGCTATGAGCAAGAAAGGAAACTGAATGTCATATTAGTGGTAATTTTTGGATGTCATTAGGATAAGAAATGTACTAAACCTTTTGAACATATGCCAGTTTATTATGGGACACCGTGGCCATACAAGGACAAGATACAGGGTACGGGTGGGTCACTCAAGCCTTCCTGAAACCCCATGACTGGCTGGCTCTTTACCATAGAGCTTTGAGCTCAATACCAGAACACATATCTTGAGGCCTCAATGACAGTGGACAAGGGGTTGTGATTCTGACTAGCGCTCATGAGCCTGGTGTAAAAGAAGTGCTAAATTGTACAAGTCCCAGCAAGGCAGTGGGTCCCTCACCCTCCAGATAATTTGGCCTCTATGGTTAGAGTTTACACTGGGTGATGAGATACAGAAAGGCAGTAGTGTGGAAAGAGGAGCACTGTAACCCGATTTGCACGAAATGGGGATCTAGCCGATCCTACACCTCGATATCACTCGGGAACTCCATGATGACATGTCCATTCTTTTACAAGCGGGTACCACCCAACCTTCCCGCTAACAAGTAAGGCTTGCAAGTAACATGTTTTTGTGCACTGAAGTGACATGAATTTACACCATCAGGTGAGGTGAACAAATAAAATCTGAAATACATAAAATTGAATATATATAATATATATATGTTTATTATACATTTATCTACTAAACACTATATGAATACTAACAACATCTTCAAAGTTAAGTTTGTCAACAGAAAACCTCTGTTAAGTGGTTGGCACAAGTATTGATTAAGGTGTCATGATTTAGCTGGAGGCTGGTCCAATGGTACATAACATTCTGAGATACATTTGCACTGGGCTGCACATTCAGTCAGGAAACTGCCTACCAGCAGTACATACAAACTTACTCTTCGATAATATGTAATGAAAATAAATGTGGTTCAGCAATAAATACAACTGGTTGTCCAGTCTGTCTACCTATGGAACACTACAACCTTAAGAAATTTAAGACACCGTGTATGCACATCATAAAAATCTAGCTAATCTTTGGTTCGTCGAACAAGCCCACATGCGAACACTGGGCAGACATCACATCATGACTCACATCATTGCCTGATAAAGTTACAGTGCTCTACCCAACCTGGGGACTGTCTTAGACACTGCTGTCAAGCGTCAGGACCACTCGACATTATCACCACAGACCACCACTGCTTACATATTACAGTTTTCATCACCGCAGATGTATATACATCTACCACACTGGAACAATTAACACTAAATATCACTGGTCACTCGGCTAAGAGACACACCCAATAACCCATCATTAGAGAGGTAACTTGGGCAGTGCTCTGAAATGCAAGCACAGTTGACCGCTTTCGCAGTTTCTGGGAGGAGGCGACAGAGGCCTGGAAATGGTAGTAGAGCTTCACTGGATCCACATCTTCCAGGACTCATAAATGCTCTTATTATTTAAATTTTATTGTCTGTTACTTTACTTCAGTATCCTCTTCCATTGGCTCCTCTTCATCATTGGTGTTTTCAGTGGCTGAATTTTGTGGAGGTGGTTCTGGGCTTCTGTAAAGATAAATATCCTTATAATGTTGGATATCCACTTTTACTTTACATTTTAAACTGGTAAGAAATAAAATAAGTAACTATGAATATCACAAAAGTATATGTTATGTCTTGACAGTACAAAAAATCTTACATCAACTCTGGTATTTTCTTCAATGTAAAGATAATCCTAACTATTTCAAACCAATATCCCAAAATTAGGCCAATAGTGTTGTACTAGTTCTTAAAGGGAAAATCTTATCAATCATTATACAGTATTGAAAATTATGAAATTTCTTTAATTCTTTTGGGCTTTCCTTTATTCCAAGAAAGTTAAGCCATCAACTAAAATCATCACATCACCCTTCACTTTATTCAATGACAAAATCGTACTGGAGATTAGTGAAAACGAAAAAATTAAATCCTGCAACATGAATGAGGGAAGCAAATGAATGTGACCTTTAAGAACACTCCTAAACACAATAATTGCAGATAGAGTACTGTACAGTGCATAGTCTAATGTAGGGTTATACTCTACAAATGTAAATGGATACATATTTATTCTTTCCCAAACAAATTTCCATTAAACAATGGTTAAAACAGTCCAGGGAAGGCTCATGTTAATCAAAGTAAAACAATTCAACTCTCGTTCATTATCTGTAACACTGCGAGCCCTCTTCATTAATAAGACAAATTATATACAGTACGTACACATGTATTTCTATGTCTTCAGTTCCTATCAATATAAAACTCCAATAACGGAGGTGTGAGGGGCTCCAGGTCCCTCACTTGGTCCAAAACAAAGTTGTCCATCATTCATCACCTATAGATCATCATGAAGGACCTATGAGATTCTAAGCTAGTCAGAAACAGAATGGAGATCATTTGTTAACAACTAATGAAAAAACATCTACTCCGGTAACTGGAAAACTCTTCCAAATGTGATTCACCTTATAGTGTATACTGCCTAATGCCATACAGTCAGGATTCTTCATCTCCTTGATCAGATATCGTAAAAAAGTCTTCATCAGAGGACAAAACTTCTCTTACCATAGTGGATGGAAAGACATATCTCACACGAAGGTCACACAGGATGCAATACTCTTACACTGTTTGTTGAAAAATGAAACAAGAAAAACGAACTCTTTCATATACAGTACAGCTTTATGAAAGAGAATAAAGATTAATGGATCCTGTTTGGTAAATGGAAGATATAAGTACACTGAATAAAGTGAATGTCACTGTTTCCAGTCTTCCAAGCTAAGGTTTGAATCAATACTGTACTGTAAAGTCTGATTGATTAAGGAGTTTCATTCTCTACAAATGGTTAAGATTACCTTAATTAATTTTTTTTAAGAGTATCAAATAATGCTACTAAGGAGGATAATACAGTACAAAGTAAATGAATATTAGTTAGAGGTGCATATTAGGAATACTTCAGAGGGAGGATCACTTCTCCTTCACTGATAACAAACACAGGTTACTGAATGATGTGTAATGAGTATTGCTTTGGTATTACAAATTATTTATGATAATAATAGCATGGTAAGCTCCATACTATAATGGGAAACTTCCTCTAACTCACACAACAGACACATATAAATGGATTGGTACATGATGAAGAGGATAAGACTGAAAGATGTCTTATTATCCAATGTCAAATACATGACTCATCTGCACACCTTTGGGAATGCATGTACAGTACTGGACTATTATTTTCAACTGGAAACAAACAAAAACTATCTCTTGCACTGTGACTTTTGAGGAACCAAACATCACTTCTTAATCCTTTCAAATTTTCAATTAGATGATAAAAAGTGTATGACAATTTCTAGACCACACTGATCTTCTGTAGCAGAGTCTCTCAGTGTGAAGGAGAAAGAGCTGTGCCGTCAGTCTGATATCTAATATTTATCTAATTAGTATTGGATCGTTTTTTCTGTGTTATGTGTCTGTGTCGGACAGGCCAGGAACATATCCCATTGAAACCTATGTTAAAAGGCTTGTGATTTACGTTGAGGTTTCAGGAACACAACCCTATAGAAAATTGAGGATACCTGAACTACAAATGGTATATAATATGTTCACCTGACCTACAAAACCTAACTAAATTTTTGACAAAGAAACTTGACGTTGGTGTTTTGCATTTCAACCAAGTAATGTTACATATTCAAGACATATATCTAATAACACCAGCATTATGCTCACACAAGGAAAAGCTTAGACACTCAGGTAGATAGGTAAATAGACTTCTCCATTTTTCTGATATACATAAATAACTCACAATATAATTTTGATAAATTAGACCACAAATTCAAAAGATAATATCTAAACAATAGCAGGTCTTGATTACACAACACAAGTAACCATGTATGTAGTATATTCAGTGATACATGTACTGCTATTTCACCTCTGTCAGGTCTTCATTACACAACACAAGTAACCATGTATGTAGTATATTCAGCGATACATGTACTGCTATTTCACCTCTGTCAGGTCTTCATTACACAACACAAGTAATCATATATGTAGTATATTCAGTCATACATGTACAGTACTGCTATACCACCTCTGTCATTTACTCCATTCATCAATTTTCTTAACACAGAATTATACATACTGAGATTGTGGATTCTGAGGATCAACCCTAAGTGAGGCCATAGCAGAGACTGTCTCCTGCTCTTCCTCACGTCCTTGAGCATCCACCATAGAGAGTGCTATCATCCCACTCTGCCGCCGCACCACTGGCCAATGACCGCTCTGTTAGGAGAACACAATTAACATGTTTACTTAATTGTTGCGCACACACACACACACACACACACACATACACACAACTCAATTTGCAGGGAAGGTTCTAACATACCAATGAACCTATGATTGTAAATATCAAGAATAGTACAATGGTTGTGCATTAATAGTAGTCCTCCTGTTCACTGTAAGTCTTCTATCTACAGGATCATATCAATTGGAAAAAAAAATTGTTTGTGAAACGTGTGATGCTTATGGTGTGCTACATGAGCATTAGATGGGATATAACCTCCTATTTTAATGATAGATATACTCCACTTACCTGAACAGCTATCACGTTTTGTAATGTTTCAATAGCATTTTGACAAGGTGGTCTTGTCATTTCATGTTCTGAGAGAGGTGGAGGATCATCACTAGTAAGTGTTCGCACACATGCCTCTGTTGCATCACAGATGCTAGCCAAGTTGTAGCCTCCCTCAAGAGCTAAAACCACCTGAAAAAAAAATTATACCACTTTTAGGATATAATAAACACAGTACACAAATTATATTTGTATCTACCATTGTAATAATATGAACTGATATTTGATTGAATGTACAACATTGTTCTAAAATATGAAAGCATCCTTTCATTAACTTACTGTGTATAAATTTCATCTGATGAAGCATATTATGGAATACTGTACATGTGCAAAAGACAAACAATGAAGATATGTGTAACAAGTAACATCCATAGAGCCAGATAACACACAAGTGGACAGCAGTGTGGGTCATCAATTCAGGATAAGCAACACCATAGAGATAAAATTGTTTTTCATAATTAGGCCTCTCTAAATAAGATACTGTACTACAGGTAGTACATTCACAAACTGTAGAACATATTACCTTGTATAGTTATCTTAATACTACTGCATATTACAGTACCTAATAGATTACAAAAAGGGCCAGCACCTACCTTGCCTCTAGCAAGACTCATCAATTGCTTGGTCATGTTTCCAAAACAGCTGGCAGACACCTTGTAGCCACCCAGAGGTGATGGGTGACCATCAGCTGCATCAAAGCCTGCACTCACTAACACTATGTCTGGATCAAAGTCCTAGTAAAAAAGATAAAGGGTCATTATAAGCAATTCTGAATCACTTGGTATCATTACAAGCACTTATGAGTGACTTGGTATCATCATGAACACCTGTGAGACACTTAGGAGCACCAGTGAGTCAATCAGTCATTGTGAGCATATCTGAGTCATATAGCATTACTTTGAACAACCGGGTGACATTATGAACCCATGTCAGTCGCTTGGTGTCATCAAGAACACATTTGAGTCACCTGACTCTCTTATGAGCACCTGTGATTCACTTTGGCTCATCATGAGCCCCTATGAGTCAATTGGTATCATTATGAGTACTTGTCATATACCTGGGATCATTATGAGCAAGAATGAAACACCTGGTGTTATATTAAGCACCTGTGGCCATTTAAAGTATTTGTGAGATTATACAGCAACATTAGTATACAACTTATGAGTGACCACAGCAAGTTAATCAACAACTTGCAAAAGCTTATACAAAAGTCATGTAAATTTTCTTGCTAATACCCAACTGGTGTAGTGTAATTCTTAACCTAATTATTCTTTCCCCTTCAATTTCAAACTTGTATTTATTATGAGTTACGTCACAATAATAAATCACTCGTCTTGAAAAATATATGCAAACATCTCTTAGTAATTCCCTACTCTTGTAAGGTGAGACTTCCATACAATGAAGGTTGGTTGGGTCTAAAACATTGTTGTGACACAAATGTTTCACACACACTCATTCTCTGCTCCTGGCCCAAACCTACAATTCATCAGCATCCTTTTACAAAATCTAACATTTTCTATGGTTTGAGCTTTCATCATCTTGCTAAAGAAAGTGACACAAGAAGAGGGTGTTAATACTATTTGTCATTTAAATGTTTGAATTTAAATTTTTCTTACCTTAGCAATTGGCATAACGATGCTTCTGAAAGCAGCCATGTATTCTGCATCACCCATTGGAGGAGAGAGGCCGCCTGAGTAGGCAATATTTACATTAAAGCCATATCCGTCACCCTCACCAACCTGTAAATACACAAAGAAAATAATTATATATAGTAAGCCTTCTCACTTGTGGACCCTCCACTAACACATACTACCTCTGGCTGGTCTTTAGAAAATTTTTACTTTTAATTAATGGAAAACCTGCCATTAGCATCACCAAGCTGCACCACTTGAGTTTGCTCATGAAAGATCCTACTGTGAGGAGTCAGAACCCCCCAAAATTCAAAGTCCTTTTCTTATTTCAGTGAAGACAATAGATAGAGATGGATAACACTAAATATTAACAAAGTTTCTTTCCATATCAAGTCCTTGATTTAGTTCAACATTAATCATAGAGAAACCTGTTCTATTTGTAAGCTTTTTTTACCTGTAAAGATATACTGTACTTTTCTTAATAGTTTTGTTTTGCTTTTGCCAGAATCTGTTGTGTAATTCTCTCTTATTCAGACATACACTACATAGAGATGAATAAGTTACCTCAGTTGGAGCGCCAGTGCCAGGAAAGAAGCTCCCGTCATCATAGCGATGCATGGAAATGTATAGGATGTGTGGGTCATCATAAAACATAGACTGGGTACCATTCCCATGGTGAACATCCTGGCAAAGTAAAAAAGAGTGCATAAGAATTATATCAAATTACTATTGTGCAAGTAATATATATATATATATATATATATATATATATATATATATATATATATATATATATATATATATATATATATATATATATATATATATATATATATATATATATATATATATATATATATATATATATATATATATATATATATATATATATATATATATATATATATATATATATATATATATATATAGCAAACAATGAAGCTAATGTAATTTTACTTTATATATAAACACATACAGTACAAGTGATACATTTATGATTATCATTATCATCCCAGTTCCTTAACAATAACTTCATAATTTTAAACTATCACTCTTGTTAGCTTACCCAGTCAATAATGAGGATTTTTTCCAAGTTAAGCTTTTGATGTAGTTGTCGTGCAGCAATTGCAATGGAGTTAAAAAAGCAGAAGCCCATGGCCTGCTGATGCTCCGCGTGGTGGCCAGGTGGTCGCACTAGAGCAAACCCATTACGCAGTTCACCAGTGGCAACTGTAAAAGACAATTTTTGTAAAGCAACAGAATTTCTACAAAACAATAAAATAAAACAAATACACAGGATATTAAACCCTACACAGTACAATACACCATTCAGTGCATCAAAGTTAAGCAATGACTTTATATTGCCATTCCAAAGCTAAAAAGTACAATACCTTTATATGCTAAGTCTACAACACAGCCAGCAGCCATTCTCGCAGCAGACGATGTGTGTGTGTCATTCCAGGTTGTGTCAGAGTCGACGCCGACTCCACCACAATGAAGCCGGACAAAACTCTTAATGGGCAATTCAGAAAATTTACTCATGTCTAAATGCTGTCGGTTCCAAGGATTGGTTCCTGTAGAGAAATTAATGATTCAGTTCTGAGTTTTCTTCAATTGTAAAAGTTTCAACCTATGCATACACAAATATGTTTAAAGTTCCTTGCTCAGTGTGATACACTTTTCTAACACTCAAGGCAGTCTTATTTAAAATCCACAAAAGAGGAGTTCACAGTGTTAGTCTATAAACTCTATTATTGCAGCACATTCCTAAACATTCACATATGTCTCTCAATAATAATTATCAGCAAACAAAGTGCATGAAAACAAATTTTTTTTTGTTATATAACATTAGAATGAACACTTATTTCAACTGACTCTGCTGAGCTATGAAACTTACCAAATAGCAGTGTGTGAGCCTCACTATGGCAGGACTGAATTTCCTCTAAAGTAGCTTTTCTTGTCCTTAGTCTATGGCATCGATGAATTAGTCCCGTCTCTTGCAATCTGGCCATTATTGACTGCAGACGACCTCCATGTTCAGGATGGTGGGAATTGTCACCACAGTAACACTGGTGTTTCAGCATCAAATTGTCGTATGCAAAACCTGTTGTTGCTCCCTGAAATAATAATAGTAATTTTAAACATGAGAAGCAGAAATTTTGTGCTTCCCTGTGAGGTTTCATGATTGAATAATGCAACTTTAAGTTAGGAAAAGAATATGGTGATAGGTAGGTATGTGTTCGAACTATACTACACCTAATTTAATCATGGAATGGATATCTCCCAGTATTTCTGAAAATAGTGTACCCACTTTGAGTGACTGAGCAACAATAATATACTGTTGGGATGTTATATTTCATCAAAAGTAAAATACAGCAAAATCCCAAGGACAGATTAATGTATGGGCTCAATACTGTATTTACCTGTTTGTTTATATTTATGGGTTCCTGTGGAGAACCTTGTGGAGAGAGAGTGACGAGGGGAGAACTGAGAGCTCGAGACAGAGGCCGGGCAACGTGAGTACCTGAACGAGGTGTGAAGGCTGAATCTGTCAAAAGGAGAGATATTAATTATAGTTACACATTCATACTGTTAAGTGATGTTCAAGATAAGAATATCCATTACACCATAATTTTATAAAAGAAAAAGTCTTCCCTCAGCTGGGATGGAAGTTTTACACAAAAGTCCAAGGTTTTGACTGGGATGTGATCAAACCTAAACATCACTTCATATTTAAGTCTCAAGTGAGGAACAACTACATCTACATTCACGCTAGTAAGGTATAACTGTGTTTCATTCCATTAATTAGGAGGGATAAAAATGTATAAAAACAAGAGTGATAGATTTAATAAGATGTGAGTAAAAGTAGCAAGTGGATCATGTAGAGAGGACGATGGATATTGTTGGAATACCCAGTAAGATAATGGAATTAATAATTATCATAAGAAGGTTGATAAAAAACTGGGTACAAGGTAAGTTGGCAGTCAAGTATATCTCCACTAATGGCCTCACCAACTATTACACAAGAATACTGTACAAGCTTAATAATCTATATCTTCAATAGATCATGATTATTAAAGATGCTTTTTTTAAACAACTAGAGAGTATAATTTCATACTTTGCTTCTTGTCTTTTTGCCATTCAAATGTGGTGCCAAGGAACCAAGGAAAGACTCTGGTTTCTATTTTCCTTGTTTTTCCAGTACAGGTTGTATGAGTCGACTTTAACTCCAGGGGCAGCAAGGAGCAAGATTCTACTATAGCTGCCAGACACATGATAATTCTCATATAGTAATACTGAATTACTAAATTAAACAAACATTTTTGACAACAATGATCTGAATTTATAACCAAAATGGTGAATATAACTTAAAACCATTTTTATGCCTGGTAACACAAGTACAGCCGCCCCTCCTGAACCAGAACCATGAACCCCGAGATTCAGACTCGTGAATCTGGAGCATTTAAGGATAGAGTAATATATTAGTGTCACCTGTTTGGGGTTCATCAGCCTCAATCTTGGGTTTGGTAAACAGCAGGAGAAGCAACAAGACTTTTATGGGTGACTGTACCTGTATTTTTCTGATCAACAATAGTACTCTTAAAGAACCAGTCTGTTAGTATTTAAAGAGCTGCCTGACAAAGCTTAAAAATGTGACTACTGGAAGGTACAGATGTAAATACAGAGGACTACATGCAGCATATTTATGTAAGCTGTATAGGAAAAGATAACAAGCAAACCCAAAGATATTGTGGAAGTTCCAACAGAATAAATATGAGATGCATTTTCTTCCAGGAATCTCAGAGAAAAAAAAAAAACTCATGAATAAACAAGGTGGGAGACTTACTGGTGATGGAGTGTAATGGTGGGGGTTTTGCAGTGAGCAGGTCTCGTTGGTGCTGGAGAAACAGACGTTCTCGATGTTGATGCTGGCCCATCAGACTCTCATCAATCTTGCGTTCAGTCAGATCTATCACCTGAAGCAAGAATGAAGTAACTGAAGTGAAATCCACTACAGTACTTTGAGAAAACTACTGTAGTAAGGCTGAAATATTTCCTAAAAGGACTTGAAAAACTGAAAGTGAATTAAACTAAATTACCATTATCACATTCTTACCTTCCAGGTATAATTAATGTACACCCAAACTATATCTCATGATGGCTTAATACACAAAATTATTGAAAAGGTAAATATATTATTTTTACAAACATTCTCAATATTAATTAGCTTAACACTGCAATAAGTGAAAAAAAATGCTTAATAAAAACTCTCACTTTTAAATACCTAAAACAAAGGTAAAAAATTAAAAGCACTTTAAATATATTGTATAGGTTTTTATCTAAACATTATTTGCTTACAACTGTCAGGTATAGTACTGATGCAAGTCACATTTATGATTTGTTAACTAAGAGTTATCTCAGGGATCAAAGGTGGAACAAAATTGTTTTAGGCATCTGTGAGTTGTTGTGTATCTATGAGCCTAAAAACTTGTGTCTCATTGAGTTTCACCTTAACTGTCTCCCCAGCACATCTGTTTTTTGTACTGTACATATTGAAGTTGAGATCTTCAAAGATGGAAAAACACTGATTTTTGGGCCCAGGAGCACAGTATTTATATCTTCCTTATAATTATTAATACAGTACACAGGTAACAAAAGTCTATTGTGCCAACTTTGAACCCCTGAAATTATTCCTTAACTATATGGCAGTAAACTCTGCTGTCAACTCATCCACCTTACTTCAGTCACAACTACATGGAGTGAACATAACTTCTCAAGTATTTGACTCCATGTATCCTCAAACCTTGTTAGGTGGAGGGACATAGTGTGGAAGAGTGAATGCTGACTTACAACCAAATCAACTAATGGACAAATTCAAAAGTTATGAGACATTTAATACTATCAAGTGCACAGCTGTGAAGCAGTAAGCCCGTGTGATCTGTCAGTTAGACTCCTGCCAACACTCACTTCTTCAATTGTATAAACCATTTACATCAACAGTGTACAGTAAATATATATATTTTTCACTACTGTACCACACCCTACTGACATATTTAAACATCCTAATAACCATTTACATATTAAATAATTCACTTATGTCATCTAAACCTCCCAATCTATTGTAAAGCACTGAGTCTGGATTTCTTAATTTTAATATTCACAAGCAACAATGTGTGATTGATATCTCTTATGGACCAATACTAATACAGTACAGTACAGTACAGTACAGTATAACCATATCTCCACTGGCTTGTCCTAACAACCTAACAGGTTCGAAAATATTAAGAACAATACAGGGAAGTGCACCTATTTTTGTCACCCTGTCTGAGTTATGTGGCAGCAGGCCACAATGGCAAACATCATAGGTTTACATTAACACGTAAGTGTTCATTTTACCACATTGTACCAGACTGTACTGGAATTTTGTACCAATCCTTCCCCTTCATGTTCCATTACAGGAGGAAAAGAAATCTAATATAAGAAGCCAGTGAATGGCATATGATTAATTATGAGGTAAAATTAGGTGACCCAGAAGCAGCCATCTGGATGGGTGTTGTGAGAACTAATGACTCACCACACCACAACCTCATTACAGCAGTACAGTATAACAATCTCAAAACTGTTTTGCTCCATTTGTAAATACTGTACTTCATATTTCTTGTGTGTGTGTGTGTGTGTCAACTAAATATGAGGTTTCTTTTTTATTACACTGACATAAACTTCATAACACCACACATTGTACTGGATGCCAGCAACATTTTTACAAGTTTTATGGAGGTACTGACAGTACAGTACAGGGCAGTTAACAGTTTTATTTTTTACCATAGTTCACACAAAGTGGACCCAGTTTTGGTATTATGGTTGTGATACTAAAAATGAAACTCTTTCAAAATATAAGCAAAATAGAAACAAGAATAATTATGGTTTTGGATAAATAATAAAACTGTAGTTGGATTATCTTAGATTAAAAAGTAAATGTGAGCAAAGAATTACTGTACAGACAAAATGGACAAAAATCCCTTTTATAATAATGATGTAAATAATACTTTATGTAATACATTATTATCTTGGTAATAAAAGTGTGCTGTCTTGGTTACTGTTTACAAAGTGGTGGACTGGACACAAGTCCTTATCATGTCTACATTCTTGAGAACGGTTCTAATGGTTGATGTAGCTCAACCTAACTTATAAACAAGTGACACTCATTCACTTTATGACCAACACTTTTACATCCATACTAATGCTATTCCTTGCCTGCTGGGAACCTGACATCATGTTTGTGAGAAATTAAGTTTACAACATATGGCTTGCAAATTAAATTTGGAAGACAATCCGTTTGTACTTCCTGGACCTCCTGTATATATGAAAATAACAGGAATAACGGGAATGAGAGATTTCCGGATAACAAGACGACTCTCTCGAATCCGGAAAAATATCCCACATCCCCGGAATTTTCCGAGTACCGGAAAAATTGTCTTGGAATTTACGGAAAATGCATAAGACCATTACCCTTGCTACAAAAATGGATGTATTAACCCGATTTGAATAAGGGGAACGTGCTGTGGACATAGTCTCTGTGCTAGGTCTAACCCCACAATGGTGTGTACCATCCAGACCAATGCTGGTAAGGTACTTCTCTGAGTGCAACTAAGACAACTCGTACTAGAAGTACTGTGATAGAAAAGGTGGAAAAGATGCTGGCTATATGGATGGAGGACCAGAATCAACGCAATGCCCCTGTGAGCCTTATGGTTATCCAGCATAAGGCCACATCCTTGTTTGACGACATGAAGGAAACAGAGGGTGAAGGATCAAAAGAAGAGACCTTTACGGCCAGCCGGGGATGGTTTCAACAATTTAAGTGTCGGTTAAACTTCCACAACATAAAGATGACTGGTGAAGCTGCTAGTTCAGATATGGTTGCTGCCGAGACATTCCCGCCAGAATTCAAACAGAATATCCAGGAAGGAGGCTACTCATCGAAGCCAGTCTTCAATGTGGATGAAACTGGTCTCTTTTGGAAGAGGATGCCTGAGAGGACCTATATCTCCAAGGAGGAGAAAAGAGCGTCAGGTTTTAAAGCGGCAAAAGACCGCTTGATGCTGCTGCTTGGCGCAAACGCTGCTGGCGACTTCAAGCATATGCTAATTTCTCGCCCTGCCAACCCACGGGCCCTGAAAGGTTTCTCTAAGGATCACCTTCCTGTTATCTACAAGGCAAATAAGAAGGCATGGATAACCAGCGCCATATTTAGCCAGTGGTTAACTGTGTACGCTGTCCCTGCAATGAAGGAATACTGTGCCAAGGACAACCTTGACTTCAAAATTCTTCTGATTGTTGACAATGCACCAGCTCATCCTCCCAGTCTTGACAGTGTAAAAGTTGTATTCCTGCCTCCCAACACGACAGCACTGATGCAGCCTATAGACCAAGGCGTCATCGCCACATTCAAGGCGTATTATTTACGCCGTACCATGGATCAGCTGCTCAAGGCTACAGACGGAGAAAGTAAACCTACGATCCGAGAATATTGGCGGGGCTTCAACATTCTTCATGCAATCGACATCATTGGCAAGGCATGAGAAGAAGTTCCAGAAAGTTGCCTGAATGGTGTTTGGCATAAATTGTGGCCCGAGTGTGTCAACAGTTTTACGGGATTCACGAACTTAGTCCCAGAAGTGAATAGGGATATCCTCAGCTTGGCAAGAGAGGCAGGCTTTCATGAGCTGGAATCAGAAGATATTGAGGAAGTCCTGGCATCCCATACAGAAGAGTTCACCAAAGAAGATCTGCAACTGTCAACAGAACACAATCCCCTTGAAGACGACGACAACGACGAAAAACCTCAACAAACGTTAACTTCCAAGAGGTTGGCAAAAGCGTTCAACATGATCCAGCAAGGAATGCAAATCCTTATAAACGATGACCCAAACAGAAAACGTAGCTCAAAGATTCAACGCAGCATTGAGGACAGTCTTGGGTGTTACACTGAGATCTATAAGGAGAAGAGTAGCACCAACCAGTCAACACAGGATTCATTTTTTCGTCATGGGACGGCAGAAGCGGCTTCTTCACAACAGCTGGCAGCCGAGGAGGAGCAAACAGCAGCGGAGGAACCCCAGTCAGAACAGGAGGAGGAGGAGGAGACAGCCGTAGTCTCAGTGACTCACTACCCTCCTCCTCCCCTCCCGCCATCAGCCTCCTCCGCTTCACTGCCCACCACACACTCGCTCTACCACCTCCACCCATTGGTGAGCACCAATACAAACTTAGTAGTTGCATATGTATGCATTATTTTCTATAGATCTGGCAATGATTTTCTGTATATGTAAAGTATTTCATGGGGCAAAGGGAGGCTGGGGAACGTAACTTCAGTATTTTATCTATTTATGGGGAAAATTGATCCGCTTAACGTTGTTTCGTATAACGTCGCATTTTCAGGAAAATAACCCTGACGTTAAGTGAGGACTTACTGTATATGTATATGTATATGTATATATATATATATATATATATATATATATATATATATATATATATATATATATATATATATATATATATATATATATATATATATATATATATATATATATATATATATATATATATATATATATATATATATATATATATATATATATATATATATATATATATATATATATATATATATATATATATAATTCATGGTTTTTTGTCCATTTTTCACCTCATACACAAAACTATTCATTGCTAATAAGAGTAAAGTAGAAAGAAGAAGATATAACTGAACTAATTTATTGAGACCAAATTATTCCACCACATTGAAGGAACATTATTTATGCAAGCAATAATAAGACTCACCTCTGGTTCTTCCTCATGCAGTGCCTCCTCCTCCTCCTCCTACATTCCAAGAGGGTAGCACAGGGGAAGGACAAGACACACCATTAGTCATCAAGAGAGTACAGTACACTGCACAAGTCACTACAGGTTGTACACCATACAGGAGGAGCGACACCGTTCATTATTTAGGCGGAAAGTACGACATGCCGGAACACTCCACATCCCGAGTAACTTGCTCCATTCTTCTCTTCTTATTATTTACATTATTATATCTCTTTTAAATTTGTGCCTTGCCTTATAGTTTATGGCTCAAGCCGATTCGAAAATATTTTGGAATGACGATTAGTAATATATACAGTATATCCTGTTTACTGGCACCAATAGCATTTTGCACTTCAAGTTGTCATCTGTAAATCACTGTACTGTACCTGTCTGTCTTTTGTTACCACGTGTCTACAGTATTAGGATCTTTTCTTTAAATATCACAGAAACTAAATTCATTTTACCATGTCTTTGTATCTTAAATCTGTCTCTGTGTCACCTTCATTCTCTCTCTGAATACAATACATTCTTAAACTGTACTATAATTCAGGGTTTTTTTTCCAATACCACACAACAAAACATTTTCACTTCATAATCCTCAACTTATTTAGTCACAAACACCTACAACTTTACTCAAACATTTCATATAATTACTATTAGAACTGCAACAGTCAAGCCATACCATTTTCCCTAAGTGTTCCCCATTGACTCAAATACAAACATTGTAAATTATTGCCAATTGAGAGAACTTCTCTTCCTGACAATAATCTCCATCCTTCTCTCTAAGTAAATAAAGAAGTTTATTCCAACAAACTTTCTAAATTTCTAGCGATTATTTCTCTGTGTGTCCCTGTAGTACTGACACTACACTTTCATCATTATGACACATTAAAACAAACCACAAGGCAGTAGTGACTCTCCTTACTGTATTTATGTTTATCACTTTAATAAAATGTCCCACCAAGTTTACTATGTTGTTGGAGTGGAAATTAATATCTTACTGTAACACCCAATACAGTGACTTAATATCTTACTGTAACACCCAATACAGTGACTTAATATCTTACTGTAACACCCAATACAGTGACTTAATATCTTACTGTAACTCCCAATACAGTGACTACATAATAATAAAAGTGGTCAGCAGCATCTACAAACCCACTATAATACCAAGTAGATCATAATAACAAGAGCATATAATATCATATTGATGTCTGGACTGTGTCTCACTGCTGCCAGAAATATGTGATACTTGTACCTGTAGATACGTAACAAGTTCTGTACTTCCTAGACCAAGAGTTTTGGCCAAGAGAACAGCCCAGCCTTGTACATCAAGATCAACACCCCTGAACCAGGACATGTGCCATTTTTCAACAGTTTGATGGTCCAACTCATCAAGTAAACATTACCTTAACAGTCTTCAACAACTGGTGGACTGAATAAAGACAGACAGGTTTAAATACTTTTATCTCACTCAATTGTTTTTAAACTTGTGTTTCCAATCATTTTTAAGACTGATATTATTATTATTATTATTATTCCCTTGAAGAAAGCAAAATAGCTATAAGTATGATTGTGAATTATGGCAGGCACAGTGTGTTAGTAATCAAGTTAATATCACATTAACAATACTTGAAAAAATTAACAACACAATTGTAAACCCATGAGGAATACTGTGGACTCATAACACATGCAGCACAAGTTTTAAATAACAAATATTTCTCTCACAGTCACTTTAGTTAATCATCTACACTACAAACTGCACTATACAACACCTCACATTTACTGTAATTAAAAACAAAAAAACTACTATGGAATAAATACCAATTACTAATAGTGTATGTAGTTGTCTTTAAGTGTTAATATAGTAGGAACAAAGTACAGCATCATACACAGTTACTGATAAAATGCCAGAACACAACAGAAATGACCTGGTCTCATCCTTCTTCACCAAACTGATGATCAAGTTATCTTAAATTGACTTATAAACAAAACAGAGAAAAAAGTGAAGCATGAAAACAATACTGATAAACTTTCAAACTCAGGAAAGTGTCCATGATGCCTTCAAGTTACAATACCTACAGCAACAGTTATCACCTAACATATGAAATACTGTACAAACCTCTATTAGGATGAATACAACTCAGGGACTGTAACTAAGTGATAGACAAACAGGTGAAGTTATTATGTCTCGCCCTAAACTTTGATATGAAATAATGTCAATGGACTTTGATCAAAAGTATACAGTAGGTATTGTGACACTTGCCCTCTCTGAAGACACTACTGTACATCAGAGACTTGTGTTGTGTGTACTTCAATGAAATTCGTATGTAACAGTTGCACTCAGGTCAAAATTATATGTACTAATGTCAATTCTATTTGTAATTTCATGCATCACCTGAGACACATAAAAATAATAAATATCATTTAAAATGTGATCAAAATCATAAGTGACATTGGAGAATGCAGTCCAAAGTGTGTGCCCCAAAGCATTGATGGTACTGTATATACTGTACTGGGTGCATATGGACCACCTGCACTCTGATCATATATGTCACCTGAAGGCTATATACACTTGTAGCATAAGTGACATGAGAATCTGATCAAGAATATGTCACCAGACATGTACGTATGACCAATGTGTCACTGTGATTACTGTGTACATGTGATGCTCTAATAAGTCATTCACTGAGCAGCAAATTGTACAAGGAGTTTAATCTAGTATAAAAGTGAACAAAAACATCCCACAGTGACTTCTTATCAGTGTCAGTACTTGAAAACTACAGTATCTCTGAATAATATACTGTACTGTACTGCCCTAGGGAGTATCTGTACCGTTATTGTGTTCAACACCGTGACAAATCAGACTCACCTCCGGGGTTTTATCAGTTGCAATAGCCTGGGCAACAGCTGCTTCAGTTTCTTCAGCCACATTTTCTACATGGTTCTTGCTTCCTGAACGTGTCAATACCGTCTGTCGAATGTGCTGAAAGACAATAATTGTAAGCCCACTTTCTATTTACCACTCATACTTAATTAAGACCCTACCTGTCCCTCTTGTCATGCTAACTCTTTGGTACTCCCGGCCATGATCGGAAATCTCAACCCCTCGCAGTCTTTTGACGTAAATAGCATCGGTAGCGGGAACAGTTTATCCATTTTAGTAAACATTGGGTGTAGTGATCCAGGCCCAAATTGCACCCTTAGAGATGCATCTGACAACCCATGAGGCTAGTGGGTGGAACTTAGATAACTGATAGGGTTGATACACCGTTCCCTCATTTCTGCTTACGGGAGGGGTGCTCTCAGTGTGAAATAATGCCGAGCGCGAGGAGTTGTACCAGCACGGGAGCACTTAGCGACATGATCTGCGTCAAAAGACCACAAAAGGGTTACCATGACAAGATTGACTGGAGAGCCTTTGATAAAAAAAGAATACCTGATGAGGCCTTGTCATACACATGACAGGTTCTTTGCACATCACACACAAGGACACCCTGCCAATCTTGCCTGGCCACAGAATCGAACTAGCATTTATTAGAATGGAAGTTCACAGGCAATGCAACCCGAGGAGCACTGTGTAACACAGTTTAGCTGGCAATAACAACCCACATTTAGTGAAAACAGTTTATAAAAATACACTTGGTTTGACTGAGCTTTTAAAATTGAAGGCAAAAAAACAAAAAACTGAGTTCAGTAGTAGGACAATTTAGTGAGAACTGTCTCACAATTTTCTTCTTTATACAAAATATTAACACTGTAAAGTTTATAAAAACATCAACAATGAATGTGTCAAAACTACACACACGAAAAAACACATACTGCATACAGTAGAGTATAATATATGGTAATGTACATAAACTGATGTTGAATACAGAAATGGCTGAATGTTTAAAGGGTCATATCAGGGGTTAAAAGTTAGCACATTATTGTTTTGGAACATGTGTGTGTGTGTGTGTGTGTAGAGTACCTATTAAACTCTATTATATGCCAGCTTTGTACCCATGAACTTATACATACACAATAATATTCTGGTGTGTTGGGAGCTACCTATTGTATATGTCACCAATTATTTGTATAGAGTACGTACTTAAGCTGTGTAGTTCAAAACTGATAAGACACAAGTCACTCAAAAAAAAAACACGCACGCACGCACACGCACACACACAGAGCACTATTATGTCTTCATTGAATCCTTAATACAACCCTTAAACAGCATGATACACACAGGTGAGTGAGGGCAGCCATAATGCTCTGCAGCGGTGCAGGGCTTTGGCACACTCCTGCCAACCCTTTTCATCCACAGCTAAAAATATTCTACACTCCCAACTCCCTGAGCCCAGCCGGCCAGTGCATCCCATCTAGGTGAAACCATTCACTGTGGCATTGAAGAGGAACTGCTCTCCACCTTCCCTCTCACTCATGCCTCCCTCAACACCTTCTCTCTCACCCATGCCTCCCTCTATGCCCTCCCTTTCACTCATGCCTCCTTCTATGCCCTGCCTCTTGCTCATGTCTCCCAACACTTATCATCCTTTACTAATTGTGTCCATCACCAAATAAGGTTGATGATGGAACAACAATGGTCAATACATTAATCTTCACTGAGAATTATATTACACATTGATTCAAAGGACAATATTGTATTCAACTTTCATTCAAGGAAAATATTTCCTTGTGGAAGAACAACTCTGGAGGCAGCACAGTCTATGATGGTTCCTGTGCTCTTCTTAACAACTTTTATGACTATGCTTCTCTTCAGTAGTTTTCCCTGTCAACACCTAAAATGTAATTCACAGGTTCCCAACAATTGCTGGATACATTATTTAAAATGCAAGTATTGTCCAGTCTCAAATCTACCTGCTACTATAAAAATCAGTACCTGTATATTTCTTCAAATTTAGTTGCATTTCTTTACTTTTGTTTTATTTTCCTCCTTTTCTCTTTTCTTTGACCTTGAGTGTACTTGCCAAGGTTTTTTCTTTAGTTTTAACATATATTATTATTATGCTCTTTGTGCAAGATGTTGGCAAGAGCTTCACAAGTGTGGCAGCCAAACAAGATTAACACGTCTTCAGCAGAGACTTGAGACACCATTGTTAGGTCTTTGACATTGGACGGTATTTGACTGAAATATTATGGCATACTGTATAATCACAAGCATTGCTCAGTTAAAATACCGTATACAGGAAAAAATACACAAGTTAAAGATCAAAAGAAAATTTAAATGTTCATCACTTAGAAGCTATAAATACTCACCCTCTCAAGGACCAGAGTGAGATTTAAACTGCTACCTGTATTTAATCACTCGTTTCACTTCCGAGATAATCATAAACACGTGAGTCTCAATAATCTGATGTTTCTGCTCCATATTACTCAAACTACTGTATATAAAAATCTATTTAACTCCTCCAGGGATGAGCTTCCATTACTACAAAATCTTATGAAGCACAGAGCTATTTATCCTGCATATCACAGCCATGAGTCAGATATTATGCCAAGAAAAATTCCTGGCAAAGGCTTTCATTCACTGCCACCACTGGTCGCCCACTTCTATATATAGACCCAACAACATAATCATCACCGGAGTTGCTTAACTGTTTTCATTCTGATATGTGGCGCTTGACAAACAAATTTCCAATTCTTTTAGAGCATAAATATTTTTCATCTGTCAACAAGATTAATAACAATTATAATTCTGGAAGCTGAAACTAACTAGACTTTCTCTTACCCATCACCACACACATGCACACAGTGTAATAAACAAATTGTTACTTTAATATGAGTAACATCCCCAATGACGAACCATTAGTACAATCTGAGGCCTACACACGACATAATAATCAGTGACTTGCACATTACAAGCAACACACCATAAAGTGATCAAACTCATGTCTTATGGGTCTTACATTGCCTAATTTTAAATGCATAATTTATTTGATGGGACTAAATATCTTTACAGTGTATCTCATCTGTTCATAATATTTTTTTATTTTTTTCATATGTCAAAAGCTGATGTAAGATGGAAGCTTAGACAGGTGTAAAGGTGTTAAATAATATGACCTTGAACAGAGGCACAAGTGTACACCATTTTGGATATGAAAATGGTGATCTCAACATTAAAATACTTTTTTTTTCACTTGCAGTTTTAATATAAACATCAGTGGCTGGAAAGTAAAATAAACAATGACAAACAAATTAAGCCAACCTGTTTGAGAGTATGGTGGTCCAGAGTGTAGTGCTTGGGGTCAAACTGGTGGGCGGAAGGATGTCCGTGGGGGAGGAATGTCGGAGGCTGACCCTGCAGCACTGGGTGACCTAAGGGTAGTGGGGATGAATGCGTTCTGCTCAGTGGCCGCTGGAGGGTTCGTCCGGGCCGAACCTATAGTGGAACGGTCGGAACCGAGGTAATAATCAAACTAATTCCTGGTAAAATTTTTATGTGGTTAATCAACAGACATACAAGGACACAACTGAAGAAAATTGAAGGACAAAATCCTTCTCTTTGAACCACATGTGACTCACTGATAGCTAACTTATCACCTCACACAAGAAAAAGGCTCCCAATACCCTATACCAACGTGTTGGTCGACTCAACATAAACTTATAGATATTCTTAATTCCTGTATCACTCTCCTCTCATGCTTCCCTTTCTCTTCTTCAGTTACCTACTCTTGGTCATAGTGTGTGGTGGTACAGCATGAGTACAGTAGTGAAGCTCAGATACAATGTTACCACTTGGTAAGGCCATTTACATATAATGATAATGTCATTACAACTGGTTAACTGATTAGCAGTCCTTAACATTAACAATGGTAGTCTTCCTAACTTTATACTGTACTCATATATATATATATATATATATATATATATATATATATATATATATATATATATATATATATATATATATATATATATATATATATATATATATATATATATATATATATATATATATATATATATATATATATATATATATATATATATATATATATATATATATGTATAATCAATGACCTCACCAGCAAGGAATCGAACCCTCGACCTACTGGGTGGGACTAGGGAACGCTTACCGGCTAGGCCACAAGGACACTAAAAGCAGTTCTAGACTCTGTTATATTTCACACAAAGCCTGTTCATCGAGCTGATGGCGCCGTGAACCTCATTGGGAAACTGCCCGTGCCTCTTATGTGGTGTCAGTAGCATTTTACCGAATCCAGCTGGTATGAAACGCGAGGTACATATATATACTTCATTTTTAGTCCATATAACACGCGGACTTTGAACATAATATATATATATATATATATATATATATCATACAACATAATCTCTCTCTCTCTCATCTACTGTGACCATACAGTACTGCACCATCCCCACAACTCATCTCCAATGTTCAATTTCTACAGAAACTCAGCCTCTAGATTAACAAAATAATTCCTCTAATACACATCCTAACATTCTATATCTACAATATTTGTTTATTGCTTGGCAGATAAATCCCAATAAAACTCCTGACACAGATTATATTAGTCTTCTTGTTCTCAATATCTCTGGCTCAAAAGACACTTTGGATATAGGGATATAGAAAAATGTTTTATGAAAAAAGATTTGAGAGAGAGAGAGAGAGAGAGGAGAGAGAGAGAGAGAGAGAGAGAGAGAGAGAGAGAGAGAGAGAGAGAGAGAGAGAGAGAGAGAGAGAGAGAGAGAGAGAGACAAATCAAATTAAATTTTCCTTGTTAGTAGTCAATAAATGATTTAATTAAACTAACCTGTGTGTCACTCATATTGGCCATAGCATTAGGGTGATAAATGCCACCACGCATGATGCCCCCACCAGAACTAGTGTCCATGGCGGTCACCTGCTGTTGCCGGCTCATACTGCCTGCAGCTGGTCCATAACCTTCTCTATCAATTACTGCAAAAGAACTCATGACTGTTAGACTATAGTGCAGTATAGTACAGTACGATACAGTACGGTAGTGCAGTATAGTACAGTGCAGTATAGTACAGTGCAGTATAGTGCAGTGCAGTACAGTACAGTAGTGCAGTATAGTACCGTAAAATACAGTACGGTACAGTACAGTATAGTAAAGTGCAGTATAGTACAATGCAGTATAGTACAGTATGGTACGTTACGGTACAGTACAGTACAGTACAGTACGGTACAGTACTGTACAGTCCACTACAGTACAACAAAATTCACCTATAATACAAACTTGTCATTTATCAGTTAAGATGGTTAGTGCTGTTAAACAATACTGTAGTAAATAAAATATTTATGAATATTAAATACTTCCACTATGTACTGTAGGCATGGAATAAATATATACACAGGCCAAGTTTAGTTGTTTTATATTTTGTGACAATTTTTCCTGATAAGAACTGTTAAATTAGATGAGAAAATCATCTAAAATATTGAAACTAAGGAGTAACATAAATAATTAATATTAGGGGTTAACTGTCTGTTGTGATATTCATGACAACAGATGCCAGCCACTATGTTGAAACAGAGGGAGTGTGGAGTGTCAAGGAGGGGTGCCATACCTGGCAGTGTGGGGTAGTAGGGAGGCGTGGAAGAGAGGACATGACTGGTAAGAGGCATGCCAACATGAGCAGCCAGGCCAGCAGCACGCATGTCTGCCTCTGATACTATGGGTAATTTCATCCCCTCCTGGAAAGCAAAAGAAAAATAAATATTTAAGTTTTTGTACAGCTGACAGTGGACAAGATTACCCATGAAACACTGCCTATTTTATTCTCTAAATGTCTATACAGCATACTGACATACTGTACAGTACAGTATTGTATCTTTCTTCATTGTCTAAAGTCTTCCCTGATATATTTTATACAATCAGATTGGTACTGTACTGTATTATTAAATGTTACCTGTCGAAATGGACAAAAACTTGAGTCTAATGAAGTGAATCTGTATAAGTGTAATTCACTCTGTGTACAATATTTATTTCAAGATTTTTCTACTTCCTGAACTGTTGAAATTGACACACTGCACAATGCATCTTTATATCATTAGATAAAACAAGATGACCTATAATGTTAAAGATGTGAACACAATGAAAGGTGATCATAATGGTGTACAGTACAGTGCAGTACAGTACAGTACTCTAAGTCTATTTCATAACACATTTTGAAACAACAGTTACAAAATTAAATTGCCACTTGAGTCTCCTTGTTTACATGGATGTGTTGCAGCTGATATCATGGACCACAAGGTGTGACACATAGTACAGTTGTTTGTTTTGGAAGGAGTCGAGTCTCAGATGGTACAGTCTTTAAAATGGAATGTGATTCTGTACCAATATATATTAATCCTGACATTTTGCTGCTATTCTGTACAACTGAGTGGACAAAGTATGATATAAAAGTTGGGTTGAGAAAGGTTGGGGGACGTCACTGAATCTATTACTTCCTACAAATAAGAGAGGAACAGGCTTGATAGGAAACACCATTTAACCAAAAGGTATCAATGCAATATAATGTTTATGGGCAGGGAACCTGGTTACAGTTTACAAAGAATTATAGAAACATACAAAACAGCATGAGTGAATGACAGAACAGTACCCTACACATACCAGTAATGTATAGTGAAACAAGAATAATGAAAGTAACCCAAAAATAGCCCTGAGGTAACCATAATCGTTGGAGTCTTTGTCTTCCGTCAGTAATATAATACTGTACTAAGAATTAACAATAATAAAAATATGAAATAATGCTAATATACAGTTGTGTTTAGCGAGAGAAGTGAGTGTAGTTACCTCACTGTCAACCCCCTCAAAACAATAAAACAAACACGTGCCCGTACCCCCGCGACCTTGAAACGTGAACGTGACTCGCGAGCTTCATCATTCGCTATCCTCAATTTTCACATCGATATTTCATCTAACTCGTCTTCAATCTACAATATATATAAATACAGGGGTCTATCAAATCGTTGATTTTTTTTCCTTTTTGTAAAACGTGAGTAAATGGCCATGAAAACTAAATGAAAAGGAGAATAATGGCAAAAGTCATCACCGCTGGGACACGCGTCCACCATTCAACAGCCGCGTTGATAAACTTGAATGTGGTTCGCTAACGGGGGCCGCTGTGCGCCATCTTGGCTTCTGCCTGGCTTACCTCTTGGCACTAACACACATACTTCTGTCTCACTTTGCTTATGCATTTCTATTCACGTCCTACCTAGTTCTAAGTTTATTCAACCAAGTCTAATGAACGGATTACTCTTTAAGTACCTACTGTTTCCTCGAGACAAATGTATTTGCATTGTCAACATTATCTTAATATATTGCCCCTTCTTGCTAAATGCATCTATGTCTTATGTCTACCATTAACCCACATAAATTCATACTATTTCCCTTGTATGATCGTCCCCGTTCTTTGTTTAACGAGTTGCATATACACTACTTGACTACCTCAAGTTAGCAACACACTACACAGTTATCATACTTTGTGAATGTCTTGTTGTGGCTCCCACTCCACCAGATATAAACAGGTGTACTATATTGTGTAGACCTTCCTTGTTACCGAGCGGTACTGAGTGGTTGACCCTGCAGCGTCCATCAACACTAGATGACTATGTCTCCCAGTAGACGGCATACTATAGTACAACCCATAAACAGTTAGTGCTATTCTGAATATGGTTGTTGATGTGATATGAGAGATAACATATCCACCCGACTTAGCTGTGCATGAAACACCTATTATCTGTTGACCCTGAAATTGCCTCGTTAGACCCATACATAACAAAACTCATGTCAGTCAAGATTTTTTTTATTTTTTTTATATATATTTTTTTGGGGGGGTGGGGGGGGGTTATGTTAATTGTGTTATATTGTAATTTAATAAATGTTCCCATATCAATGTATCAGTATACTGGTGGTGCCTTGGTGGTGTTGGCGCCATATTCGGCAGCTGACTCCCTCACACAAGGCATCTCCGCGTGCTAAATTTGTTAACACTATTTATTGCTCACATATGTCCAGGCCAAAACGAGATTTGATATTAAATTGTGGATAATATTTCAACAAATGGGTTCATCAAGTGTGTGTGCCTAACATTTTATCCTCATGTATGTAAGTGTCATTGTTGTTATGTCATATATGTGTGGTCAACATGCCGAATATTTCTGTCTCTCACTCTTTTCACAGACTTCAATTTACAGAGTGGAAACGTATCACACACACACACAGGCGGGGATGGAAGGCACCTGCACATTCCGACAGTGAGTCGTTTAGTCTGGCTTCGTCCGTTTTGGCGCGCGAGTCAAGTCTGTGAATCACGTGAGGCCTTTCCGGTAACCAGAAAAATAACCACTACAGTTTACACAAGCACAATCTATCTCACACACACAAAAAAATTCTGAAATTTATATAAACCGCAAACACAAACATCTGAAGAAGCGTTCAGTAAATCTCACAATGCAGAAGGCGAAGCAGATAAGTGCTGGCATAATTTACCAAGATGACACATCCAAGCTCGCCTGACGTCACACTTGTCTAGTGACGTAGACACGAGATCAGGTGTTGATTGGTCGGCCAGCAATGTGGCGTTCAGTGTCACGTCTATATATATATATATATATATATATATATATATATATATATATAATTACGATCTTACAGTGACTCTTGCTGTACCATTACGCTAACAACTACAGTACACCAGGTTGGCTAGTCACAACACAGCCTCACCCTCGTCAACATGGCCACGCCCACTACAGATTACTGTATTTCTTCGGAAATTTGTAGAGTAGTGATTGTTAATATTCGCCTTGGTATTACCGCCAAGAATAGTTATATTAGAGAACGTTTCCAAGATGACAGTTTCAAGGAATATCTTACAGCAGCCATCAAAGATTCTATCATTAATTACTCGGGTTAACCTTGGCTAGGTGTGTGTGTGTGTGTTAATCATAATAATGGTTGTCCCTCGTGGGTGACCGGCAGTATGGCCACCTGCACGTATATTTATCTAACTTAGGTGTAGAAGCTGTGGCCAACACAACAACCACACCTGGGTTAGCGAGGTGTATGATCCAGTTTAAGAGTTACTCAGGAAGACTAACCATTACCCCAAAACCAAGGACTCTCGTAAGGAACTATAACTCTTATGGGAGTAATTTAATCTATTAGTTGGATGTTTGTCCCAGAGATGGCGCTGGTATGTCGGCTGTCTGTTTACACCTTTTGAGCTCCACTTGGGGGTAGGGGGCGTGGCGTGGGGTCAGGGGGCGTGGCGTGGGGGGCGTATGGGGGTGGGGGCGTGGCGTGGGGTCAGGGGGCGTGGCGTGGGGTCAGGGGGCTGTAAACACCGGCCACCGTTGTGTTGTTTGTGAGAAAAACAAAGAAAATGATAGAGCTAAGGTTTCATAACTTCTCAAAAGACAGGAAAGGTAAGTTCATGGTTCATGAAGCTGCTTCATAAACAGTGACGACTAAATTACAGTTTAGCATTTCATCACTTGGCTTACTAGCGGCAGTTCTCTTATGTGTTACTTTGTCGTGAACCTTATTGTCCATTAACACCCATCGAGTACACTCGTCCCTTTATATACTTGTTTATAGTATATATACGTATATAAGGAAAGTCAGTACTCACAGGTTGTGTGGAATGTGGTGGTCGTCCCATGGAGATATTTGGTAGGGAGGAATACACGGCGGGGTCAGGGATTGACACCTGACCTCCCCCGCCGTGGGCGCCGTAGGGGGACCCGCCCCCTTCTTCGTGGATGGGCGTCGACCCTGGCGAAGACCTGGAGGGTGGCATGCCGTTGGGTGGTGAGCTCTGCCCGCTGTCCGGCGTAGACCCGCTCTCCACTGACGCAAGAAAACAAACATGAGTCAATTTCTCCCAAACACTTAACACTACAGTTATGTAATAATATGTTTTCATTAGTTATTTCTATAATATATATACTGTATATTATATACCTGTTATAACCATTACTCAGAGTAGAGGTACAGGAGACTAACTCAGGCTACTGTACAGTATATCGCAGGAATGTAGCAAAAGACTGGCGACTATAAATAAATGATGATGACTGATAGGTGCCAGAGTGAGTACACGTCTGGTGCCAGTGCCAGAGTACACGTCTCTATATTAAGTATTTTGACCTTGTCTCTCATAGAGGGTATAGATGACCTTAGGTATTCATGTTAAACTAACCTAACAGTGTATTTATCCTCTGTTAATGTGGGTGACGCTGCAGGTCTTCCATAACTAACAGTATAGTGTCTCAGCTCGTGTAGGCTGTAAGGAGTACGGTATTACATTATTGATCTGTGTTATAACTGACCCGCCAATAACACTGTGGGACCTAGCGGCGTGAGATAGGTCCACAATTAATAACTACCCTACTTCACTTATCACAGTTTTTTGTGAATCTCTGTTTGAAAAATAAGTGTTATACCAAACATTAAATCCTGAACTTAAATAAAACAATTTGTTTTTACTACTTTATGGGTCAGTTCAGGGGATTAAGATAAGCATGACAATAATGTTCATCACACAGCATCATCGTGTTAACCCTTGATGTGACTCCCACACTGTTAACTTCCTACACCAACACTCACAATATTCCATTCCACAACTGGTCGACCTCGGGACACTTCCTCAGGTAACAGAATGTGGATCTAAATATCTCCTGTGACGACACGGGCGAGAGAATACACCGGCCTTCACGTCCACTGTGTGTGTGCCATGGTGTTAAGGCCATGTCCTCTGACGGCCCTCATGACCCAACAACACCGACCTTGTACACGAGCCACCACTCCACCAAGAGCACGACTCTACTCGACTTACCTGCACTATAGGACCTCACCGTCTCCAACAGGACCCACAGAACACAACTTACCTGTGCTGTAAGACCCTGTAAGACCCAGAGAAGCCCCGAGGACCTGACTCACCTGTGTTATAAGGAGGTCGACGCTTGAGGGAGCCTGGCAGACGGTCCTTGCGCCGTACAAAGGGTGAAGGTCGCCGCTCGTTGCCCATCCTCTGCTTGTGTCGAGCCTTCAAGCAGATGTTAGGCTCCGAGGCTACCAGTTACAAGGTTAGTCAGTGGTTAGTCACGCCTCAACACACAGCTACACTACATTATAGTCACACAATACGTACACTATACCAGCTTGGGTGTATTGTTAGTATACTCCACACTAGTTAAAGTAAACTCTGATGTGAGGTGGAGTATGTTGTTGATACAGTACCCACACAAACACTCGTCAGGCCTACATCACTGTGGTCACAATATTGTGAACTACAGCAGGTTAATATTATCAACAGTCTTGTATACAAGGTAACACCAGACTGTGGCATTATACCAACACACACAAACCATAATACAGAAAAATATTAAACTTGCTACCAAAAACATTAATACCACATCAAATTGTTATAAGAACACAATGTAGTAAGTTGACGGATATGAAGACTTATTTTACTCTCCAGCAGCCCGTACATGCCGCCGGGCCACTAGAGGGTCGACCTAACAACCCCAGTACTGTACCGCCGGCCACTAGGGTCACGACCTAACAACCACCAGTACTGTACCGCCAGGCCACTAGAGGTCACGACCTAACAACCACCAGTACTGTACCGCCGGGCCACTAGAGGGTCACGACCTAACAACCACCCAGTACTGTACCGCCGGGCACTAGAGGGTCACGACCTAACAACCCCAGTACTGTACCGCCAGGGCCACAGAGGTCGACCTAACAACCACCAGTACTGTACCGCGGGCCACTAGAGGTGCGACCTCAACAACCACCAGTACTGTACCGCCAGGCCACTAGAAGTGCGACCCAACAACCACCAGTACTGTACCGCCAGGCCACTAGAGGTCGACCTAACAACCCCAGTACTGTACCGCCAGGCCACTGGGGTCACGACCTAACAACCACCCAGTACTGTACCGCCGGGCCACTAGAGGATCGACCTAACAACCACCAGTACTGTACCGCCGGGCCACTAGAGGGTCACGACCCAACAACCACAGTACTGTACCGCCAGGCCACTAGAGGTCGACTAACAACCCCAGTACTGTACCGCCAGGCCACTGAAGGGTCGACCTAACAACCACCCAGTACACTGCCGGGCTACTAGAGGTCACGACAACAACCACCAGTACTGTACCGCCAGGCCACTAGAGGGTCACGACCTAACAACTCAGTACTGTACCGCCAGGCCACTAAGAGGGTCACGACCTAACAACCACCCAGTACTGTACCGCCGGGCCACTAGAGGTCACGACCTAACAACCACCCAGTACTGTACCGCCAGGCCACTAGAGGGTCACGACCTAACAACCACCCGTACTGTACCGCCAGGTCACTGGGGTACGACCCAACAACCCCAGTACTGTACCGCCAGGCTACTAGAGGTCGACCTAACAACCACCCAGTACTGCACCGCCAGGCACTAGAGGTCACGACCTAACAACCCCAGTACTGTACCGCCGGGCCACTAGAGGGTCACGACTAACAACCACCCAGTACTGTACCGCCAGGCCACTAGAGGGTCAGCCTAACAACCATCAGTTGACTGCCGCCAGGCCACTATAGGGTCACGACCTAACAACCACCCAGTACTTACCGCCAGGCCACTAGAGGGTCACGACCTAACAACCACAGTACTGTACCTGCCAGGCCACTAGAGGTCACGACCTAACAACCACCCAGTACTGTACCACCAGGCCACTGGGGTCACGACCTAACAACCACCAGTACTGTACCGCCGGGCCACTGGGGTCACGACTAACCACAGTACTGTACCTTGAGCCACTAGAGGTCACGACCCAACAACCACCCAGTACTGCCGCCAGGCCACTAGAGGTCACGACCTAACAACCACCCAGTACTGTACCGCCGGGCCACTAGAGGGTCGACCTACCCAACACAAGCAGCAGTCATGACATCTTTTTCATCTTGTGTTGAGTATTATATTGGTTTGTATATATCACACACTCACACGTGGGGTTTACTGTACAGCTCAGGACCAGTTCATGACGGGCGCTATTTTCGTGCTATGAGGGGGGGGGTGGGGGGTGAGGGGTGGGGGGGTGAGGGGGAGATTATGTAAGTCCGTGGGTCTGTGGACAGGGGTTAGGAGGAAATAGGGGGGGTGAGGGAGAGGTGGGTGAGTCACGCAGGGGTGACCTTGATGTCTGACACGAGACAGGCACACCAAGGTGACCACCCCCTCCTTCCCTCTACCACCCACACCCTCAACACCCACACCACCACACACCCACCTCTACCACCACCACTACACATCCACACCCCTCTCCCCACACACACACACACACACAAAACAAAATAAGAAAACATAACAAAAATAACAACAAAATAGACTACAAAAGGGCAGCCGTAGCAGTAAATAAAGGTGTGAGTGTGTGTGTGTGTGTGTGTGTGTGTGTGTGTGTGTGTGTGTGGTGACCCAGGTACCGTGTGTGTGTGTGTGTGTGGGTGGGTGATGGCGTGGTCCGCGGGTGAGCCTGACGTATAGTGGACGGTCACAGGTGATGGGTCAACATAACGTATTTGTTGTGGTTAAAGGAACAACATCTCGGCTATATCTTACCTGTTGCCTAATACATCACACCTGTCTTATTGATCATGTAACATCATATCTTGTGTGTGTGTGTGTGTGTGTGTGTGTGTGTGTGTGTGTGTGTGTGTGTGTGTGTGTGTGTGTGTGTGTGTGTGTGTGTGGTGTGTGTGTGTGTGTGTGTGTGTGTGTGTGTGTGTGTGTGTGTGTGTGTGTTATTATCAACTCCATGCTGTTATAAATACTATATATGTCAAATCATTTATCTATGTTTGTCATATATCTATCTACCTGTCTACCAATTATCTATCTCAGGTAATGTAAACAAACAAACAAAGAAACAAACAACAAACACTAAGAAAGTAGTGAAACCTCGATATACCGGACTTTATCTCCCTATAATCTAACGGACCCTCGATATACCGGACTTTCCTCTCCATATAGTCCGTTAAATAGAGGTTTCACTGTAAAACTATATCTCTTTTGTTCTCATAATTAGAACTAGCTCACTCTCTCTCTCTCTCTCTCTCACCTGTCTTTCGGAGGAAAGTTATCCTCGAATTTTCCAAGACGTTGCCGGGGCCTGTGGGGGAGAAGAGTGGATGGGTTAGTTGTTGACGTAGTGGTGGTTGAAGGGTGGTGGTTGATGGGGGTGGTGGTTGAGGTGGTGGTTGATGTGGGGGTGGTTGATGTGGGGGGTGGCTAAGGGTGGTGGTTGAAGGGTGTGTTGTGGTGGTTGAAGGGTGTTGTTGGTGGTGGTGTGGAAGGGGTGTTGTTTGTGGTGGTTGAAGGGTGTTGTTTGTGGTGGTTGAAGGGTGTTGTTTGTGGTGGTGGTGGTGGTGGTGGTTGAAGGGTGTTGTTTGTGGTAGATGTTGTTTTGTGGTAAGGGGTGTTGTTTGTGGTGGTGGTGGTGGTGGTGGTGGTTGAAGGGTGTTGTTTGTGGTGGTGGTGGTGGTGGTTAGAGGGGTGTTGTTTGTGGTAGTGGTGGTAGTTGAAGGGGTGGTGGTTGAAGGATAGTGGTGGTTGATGTGGGGGTGGTTGAAGGGTGGTGGTTGATGGGGGTGGTTGAAGGGTGGTGGTTGATGTGGTGGTCGTTTGATGTGGTGGTGGTTGATGGGTGGTGGTTGATGTGGGGGTGGTTGAAGGCAGGGATGTGAAGGGGGTGAGTTTGATGTGTTGGTGGTAGAAGGGTAGTGGTTGATGTGGGGTGGTTGAAGGGGTGGTGGTTGATGTGGTGGTGGTTGAAGGGTGGCTGCTGAAGTGGTGATGGTGGTGGTAGGATTGTTGTTGATGAATCACAGGTAAATAACAAAACACAGTAAGTAAATATTAACCTTATTGCTTGGTTTCATCTCTCTCTCTCCTCTCTCTCTCTCTCTCTCTCTCTCTCTCTCTCTCTCTCTCGTCTTCTAACAAGGATAAGAGACATCACCATGACAACGAACAAGGAGGGAGGGAGGGAGGGAGGGAAAGGCCAGTAGGTGGAAAAGAGAAGGGTATAGGATAGGTTGACGAAAGGAGAGGCTAGTGGGTTAGGGGGAGAGGAGGAGGGTAGGAAGGAAGGAAGGAGGGTAGGAATGGATGGGGAGGGAGGCAGGGAGAGATAGGGAGGCAGGGGAGGTAGGGGGAGACATTAATACAGTATTAAGTTATGGTCCTGGTGTTATAGGTTGGCTGCTCTGGGTGTTATAGGTTATGGCTGCTCTGGTGTTAGGTTTGGCTGCTCTGGAGGTTATGGCTGCTCTGGGTGTTATAGGTTATGGCTGCTCTGGGTGTTATAAGTTATGGCTGCTCTGGGTGTTATAAGTTATGGCTGCTCTGGGTGTTATAGGTTATGGCTGCTCTAGGTAGGTTATGGCTGCTCTGGTGTTATAAGTTATGGCTGCTCTGGGTGTTATAAGGGCGCCAGTTATGAGGTTAGGCCCTGGTTATAGTTCGCTGTCTGGGTGTTATAGGTTGCTGTCTGGGTGTTATAGGTTATGGCTGCTCTGGGTGTTATAGGTTATGGCTGCTCTGTGTTATAGGTTATGGCTGCTCTGGGTGTTATAGGTTATGGCTGCTCTGTGTTATAAGTTATGGCTGCTCTGGTGTTATAAGTTGGCTGCTCTGGGTGTTATGTTATGGCTGCTCTGGGTGTTATAGGTTATGGCTGTTGGGTGTTATAGGTTATGGCTGCTCAGATAGTTATGGCTGCTCTGGGTGTGGTTATGGCTGCTCTGGGTGTTATAGGTTATGGTTGCTCTGGGTGTTATAAGTTATGGCTGCTCTGGGTGTTATGTTATGGCTGCTCTGGGTGTTATAGGTTATGGCTGCTCAGGGGATGTTATGGCTGCTCTGGGTGTTATGTTATGGTTGTCTGGGTGTTATAAGTTATGGTTGCTCGGTGTTATAGGTTATGGCTGCTCTGGGTGTTATAGGTTATGGTTGCTCTGGGTGTTATAAGTTATGGCTGCTCTGGGTGTTATAGGTTATGGTTGCTCTGGTGTTATAAGTTATGGTTGCTCTGGGTGTTGGTTATGGCTGCTCTGGGTGTTATGTTGTGGTTGCTCTGGGTGTTATGTTGGCTGCTCTGGGTGTTATAGGTTGCGGCTGCTCTGGGTGCATAGGTTAGGTTGCTCTGGGTGTTATAGGTTATGGTGCTCGGAGTTATGTTATGGTTGCTCTGGGTGTTATAAGTTATGGCTGCTCTGGGTGTTATAGGTTATGGCTGCTCTGGGTGTTATAAGTTATGGCTGTCTGGGTGTTAAGTTATGGTTGCTCTGGTGTTATAAGTTATGGCTGCTCTGGGTGTTATAGGTTATGGCTGCTCTGGTGTTATAAGTTATGGTTGCTCTGGGTGTTAATGTTATGGTTGCTCTGGGTGTTATAAGTTATGGCTGCTCTGGGTGTTATAGGTTATGTTGCTCTGGAGTTATTAAGTTATGGCTGCTCTGGGTGTTATAGGTTATGGTTGCTCTGGGTGTTATGTTATGGCTGCTCTGGGTGTTATAAGTTATGGCTGCTCTGGTTGTAGTTATATTGCCTTGGGTGTTATAAGTTATGGTTGCTCTGGGTGTTATAAGTTATGGCTGCTCTGTTATGTTATGGCTGCTCTGGGTGTTATAGGTTATGGCTGCTCTGGGTGTTATAGGTTATGGCTGCTCGGTGTTATGAGTTATGGTTGCTCTGGGTGTTATAGGTTATGGCTGCTCTAGTAAGTGTTGCGTTGCCTGGGTGTTATAAGTTATGTGTCTGGGTGCTAAGTTATGGCGTCTGGGTGTTATAGGTTATGGCTGCTCTGGGTGTTATAGGTTATGGTTGCTCTGTGTTATGTTATGGTTGTGGTGTTATAAGTTGCTCTGGGTGTTATAGGTTATGGTTGCTCTGGGTGTTATAGGTTATGGCTGTCTGGGTGTTATAAGTTATGGCTGCTCTGGGTGTTATAGGTTATGGCTGCTCTGGGTGTTATAGGTTATGGCTGCTCTGGGTGTTATAAGTTATGGCTGCTCTGGGTGTTATAAGTTATGGCTGCTCTGGGTGTTAAGGTTATGGCTGCTCTGTGTTATAAGTTATGGCTGTTTGTTATAAGTTATGGTTGCTCTGGGTGTTATAAGTTATGGCTGCTCTGTGTTATAGGTTATGGTTGCTCTGGGTAAATAACACTAAGGACGTCACGGTTACAGTGTGGGTGACGTGTACTGCCATTTGTCACTACAGGGCAGGGGCCCCAAGCTCCAATAAATAGTTAGGTTAGGTTAGGTTAGGTTAGGTTAGGTTAGGTTTATCTGGGGTAATTTGATGCTTGTTATATAAGGACAGGATTTTCTGATGTATTTAGGTGTAATAAACTGGATAACTTTAGATATTTATAAAAAATGTGGGATGTGAAGGCGAGTCTACCTAACTCTGACCCGAGACTCAGAGCCCGCAGCTGTCATAATTCGAGAGAGGGACACATTGACTCCTACAGATACACTATAGGACTCCGGTAAGGACATCTCCAGCAGGGTCTAAGGCAACAAGGCCCCTATGACTCCTATAAGACTCACCAGTTGGCCAGGGTGGAGGAGCCAGCCGCCCCTGTCTGCGCCGCCTCACGCTGCTGCTTCTTCTGTAGTATCACCTCCTGTAGGGGGACACACGTCACACATTAACTACCTGTACACGTCATTCATTAACTACCTGTACTTGTCATTCATTAACTACCTGTACGTCACTCATTAACTACCTGTACGTCACTCATCAACTACCTGTACATCATTAACTACCTGTACACGTCATTCATTAACTACCTGTACACGTCATTCATTAACTACCTGTAGTCACCATTAACTACCTGTACGTCATTAACTACCTGTACGTCACTCATCAACTACCTGTACATAATTAACTACCTGTACACGTCATTCATTAACTACCTGTACACGTCATTCATTAACTACCTGTACGTCACTCATTAACTACCTGACACGTCACTATCAACTACCTGTACGTCATTAACTACCTGTACACGTCACCATTAACTACCTACACGTCATTCATTAACTCCAATCACATCAACTACCTGTACGTCATTAACACCTGTACGTCATTCATTAACTACCTGTAACGTCATTCATTAACTACCTGTAACGTCATTCACACTACCTGTACGTCACTCATTAACTACCTGTACACGTCACTCATCAACTACCTGTACGTCATTAACTACCTGTACACGTCACTCATTAACTACCTGTACACGTCATTCATTAACTACCTGTACACGTCACCATCAACTACCTGTACGTCATTAACTACCTGTACACGTCATTCATTAACCACCTGTACACGTCATTCATTAACTACCTGTACACGTCATTCATTAACTACCTGTACGTCATCATTAACTACCTGTAACGTCACTCATCAATTACCTGTACGTCATTAACTACCTGTACACGTCACCATTAACTACCTGTACACGTCATTCATTAACTACCTTGTACACGTCATTCATTAACTACCTGTACACGTCACTCATCAACTACCTGTACGTCATTAACTACCTGTACACGTCACTCATTAACTACCTGTACACGTCATTCATTAACTACCCGTACACGTCATTCATTAACTACCTGTATACGTCACTCATTACCCCTGACCCACAACACTGACCTAAGGATCACCCTGACCACCCAACACTACCCTAAGGATCACCCTGACCCACAACACTTACCTAAGGACCACCCTGACCTAAACAGACCTGAGGAGGACCACCCTGACCCCACAACACTGACCTGAGGACCACCCTGACCCAAACAGACCTGAGGAGGACCACCCTGACCCCACAACACTGACCTGAGGACCACCCTGACCCAACCAGACCTGAGGACCACCCTGACCCACAACACTGACCTAAGGACCACCCGTGACCCACAACAGACCTGAGGGCCACCCTGGCCTAAGGACCACTGACCTGAAGTCTCTGTTTAACCTCGGAGGAGGCGACGGCGGAGTGCTCGTTCTTGTCCTTCTTCTTGAGGGCCTCCAGCCGCTCAATCTCCTTCCTCTGTTTCTCCACACGTTCCTCCTCCGCCCGCTGACTCTGCTGCTCCAGGTACTGCTGCTTGAGAGATAGATGGCAGAGTTGATGGCCGCTGTCTGGTCTATACACACACTGACACATACATACATACATACACACATATATACATATACATATACACATACATACACATATATACATACACACACACACATACACACACACACGTGAGGGAGTTACTACACTACATGTCTGCTGTTCAACACCTCAGCTCACATGATCTACGTGTGTAAACATTAATCTGTATGTTCACAAAATGTTCCTTCATCTTTCTCCAATGAAGGCTTTTGTTAAACCACCAATGTATGTAATAAGTCATTTATGTCCAATGTATATTTTCAGCCTTCGGGCTGCAAACTTTTTCAATAAACCGTTTATTATTATTATTATTATTATTATTATTATTATTATTAATTACATGAATTATATATATATATATATATATATATATATATATATATATATATATATATATATATATATATATATATATATATATTGCATACAAACATACATACACACACACACAAGGCTTCACATCCTGCTGTGTGGCTCCACTGAGTCACACAACAACAATTACTTCCACTAGTCACCGTCACAACCAACACGTTCTTAAAACACAACAAATATTATTTACAGGACACCGTGTTCTGGTACAATGTTGGGGCAGGTCAAGCATCAATAGGTACTGGACCAGGTGAGGCATCAATAGGTACTGGACCAGGTCAGGCATCAATAGGTACTGGACCAGGTCAGGCATCAATAGGTACTGGACCAGGTGAGGCATCAATAGGTACTGGACCAGGCTGTATCACAGGTACTGGACCAGGTGAGGCATCAATAGGTACTGGACCAGGTGAGAAATCAATAGGTACTGGACCAGGTGAGAAATCAATAGGTACTGGACCAGGTGAGGAATCAATAGGTACTGGACCAGGTCAGGCATCAATATGTACTGGACCAGGTGAGGCATCAATAGGTACTGGACCAGGTGAGGCATCAATAGGTACTGGACCAGGTGAGGCATCAATAGGTACTGGACCAGGTGAGAAATCAATAGGTACTGGACCAGGTGAGAAATCAATAGGTACTGGACCAGGTAATAAGTATCACATCTTTTGGTCAACATGTTACACACACTAAGAAATGTTGATGGTGAGAACACCTTTACCCCAAAACCCTTAACAAACACTGCAACACAAACGAGCAACACCTGTGGATGATCTTCTCCCCCCCCCCCACACACTTACAACTATCACTTCTCCACACCTCTAACGTGGTCAAGGTCGATCGTTGTAGCATCAACCAACCACACCAGTTATTTAATAGTATGGGAAGTGAGAGATGCAATCACCAACCGAGACACCGAGTGAGGAACACCTGGTGATTATTCTAACAAGGTGTCAGGTGTCATAACTTGTGACAGGTGGTATAAGATGATTACTGCACGGCCAACACACGACTACCCGCTGATTTACTTTACAAGATAAGTTATTAAAAAACATTACACCTACAATGATACTTCAATACATGGTCAAGGTGCCGGGTGTTGAGGTGAGCAATGAACACAGCGGGACTTCTATATTCTGTCTCTAGATGTAGTCCCTCAAAAAAATTATCTGTACGCCGGGTGATCGATGATTTTCACAATGAACACAGCGACTCCTGTTGTCTCGGTAGGGTTGCCAAAATCCTTCGTCTGTTGTGTCATATTTTTTCAACGCAACTTTGTATAGATAATTTTGTGAGTGACTGTACAAACGTCCGTATGATCATTTCCCCACATTAGTAAATATATATAGAACTGGTTAACAAAGTCTGAATATTATAAACTACTCTACCTAAGCTACCTGGCCTCACCTGCCACCTGTTATGGAATCTTTTTACCTATTAAACATATCACAGCGTTAAGTTAATTTATTTCTTTAGTGTTATTTGTATCCTCTATGTTACTTATGTTAAAGAACCAGTTATGTCCACCATCTCAAACAAGTATCTGTCCACTCTGTGTGAAACATTATGAGACCACAGATGATAGATATTGGCACATCCATTTACTTCGGTATATAGTTTAACATAAGTAATGTAATGTGTATTTATTTGTGTGTAATTAATATGATGTTCGGTTACCAAATGTATGCTACTGAGCCATGCATACCAACCCTCCCGGGACACAGCCACGCATACCAACCCTCCTGGGACACAGAGCTATGCATACCAACCCTCCCGGGACACAGAGCCACGCATACCAACCCTCCCGGGACACAGCCACGCATACCAACCCTCCCGGGACACAGACCCACACATACCAACCCTCCCGGGACATCAAGAGTTGCATGTAGTGTTTCAGAAGTCATTGGACCCATCTTGGCAGATACTTTATTGAGATATTGTACATTGTTATATCTCTAGTTACACGTGATGGTGGTGGTAGAGGGAGTGGTTAAAGATCTTAATTTTGAAATTCTTCGAGAGATGGAGGGAGGAGGGCGATAAGGATAGGGAGTGTATAAAATGGAAGTCAGGCTAAAACAAAGTGATATAAACAAAGGTACTCAAACTATCCAACCAAGAAGAAACCTGTACAATGGTTTTAAGTTAGACAAATTTAGATTAGCGTGAAATAGGTAAACATTGGTTTGTAAATAGAGTAGTGACGAGTGGAACAAGTTACCAAATATCACCATTAACCTGAATACGCTGGATAGCTTCAAACATAGGTTGGTGACAAGAACGATAGAAGGTGTAAACAGGACTGTCTAGCAGGGCCAATAGGCCGCTGCAGTTTCCATTCTATAGTTCTATGTGGTGGGGTCATGGTCAGGCCCACCACACACCTCACCTCTCACAACATTGTTTCCTTAAAATTGCTAGAATGTATGAACCATGGGACTGGTGAGTCTAAATGGATCCAAACTACAGCTACGCATATGAAGATGTTTGGACTAGACCGCCTGTACAAAGTTAAGACACAACAGCGCTTCCTGCCACCCTGGCGGACAGTTCCCTTCGATATCACAATACCGACAAATCCGCCTAAAAAATAATTATACAAAGCATTTATCTCAAACACACTGCCAAATTGAGAGCTCTTGAACATACACACTTGCAGACTGATGATATTATCACACGATCTTTAATCTATTAATTTCGATGGCTCTTTCTAACACCGCCCAGGGAGGGCTGCTGGAAGTGCTATTGTTGTGACTAGATCCTGACGGTAATATAATTCGAGAAAGGAGTTAGGAATTAACTGGGCATCCACTCTACAAACTGAATTAGTTGCCATACTCACAGCCATTAAATTCATTGAAACCACTGTTACTGACAGTCTCATCATCACTGACTCTCTATCCTCACTACTTGCCCTTGGTACCCTCGACTCAGGTTGTCACGATCTTGTCTCTGAAGCCAGACACAAATATGCGTGCCTTGTTGACCGGGGTGTCAGGGTCAAACTGTTGTGGATCCCCTCTCACATAGGCCTCATAAAACATGACAGAGTTGATGCCCTCACCAAACTCGCGTCTAACAAAGACACCGTTGAATACAATTTGGGTCTGTCAAAAAGAACCCTTAAAACTGTAATTAGGAAAGAACTTATTGATGAGTTTGACACAAGTAGACTAGTGCAAACAGGCACTAGTCGATCCATAGTTTACCATGATGAGATGTATCAAGTGAAACATGTATATGGAGCAAGTAACAAGATCACTAGATTACAAGCTGTTGTAACTGCTAGATTAAGGTTAGGATATAAGTACCAAGTAGATGTAAACAAACTAGTTGTAAAGTGTGTGTGGCCAGGACATATGTGGTCAGCCATTAATTTGAACACTACGTCCTCGACTGTGAAGATAGAACCTTTAGGACAGGTCCAAGCACACTGTGTGTGACAAAATGTGGCACAACACTTCATCTCTACGGCAAGATAGCCGATATATTAAGATTGTATCTGACTTTTTGCACTTAGAAACTATATCAGCTCTCATGCACAGAACCAAATACGCAATGTGCTTGAATAGTTCTCACGTAAATGTGAATAACAAAGTGTGAGGCCAGACATACTGCCTCACACGCCTGTACTCACGCAGTTGTGAATAAGTTATCCTTTATGTATAGAACTAAACAAATAATGTAATTGAAATACTGTGTAACATTCAGTGCCATAATATCCTGACAACGGGGGTTAATTATTATGACCCGTTGTAAACTCTACTCTGTAATCCTTTTGCGCTACCACTCACAGGATGAGTGTGGGGTGCACAATAAAGTAGCCGCTGAAAGCGGCAAAATAAAAATGAAAAAAAATCAATCCCTCACCACACACCTCACCTGTCTCACCACACACCTCACCTCCCTCACCACACCTCCCTCACCACACACCTCACCTCCGCCAGGCTATACAATACCCTCCCATATATCGGTACGAGTGTTGTTATCCTGTGATGTTGTTTTGTGGTGTGGGAGGTGTGGTGTGGTGAGGGAGCTGAGGTGTGTGGTGAGGGAGGTGAGGTGTGTGGTGAGGGAGGTGAGGTGTGTGGTGAGGGAGGTGTGGTGTGTGGTGAGGGAGCAGATCAGCAGTTGTGGGGTGAGAGGCTTGCAACCCCCCGCTTGTATTAACTTAGACACAAACACACATAAAACATAAATACCTAACACTGTGTGGAGGTTAATATGTTGCTGTACTAATGAAGAAAGTGTACAACAAGGAGTGAACCCGCACAGTGTCTGTCTGTAACTTGGTAGATGTAGAACAGTGATGGAACATTCGGTGGTGAAAGAGTAAAAAAAAAAAAGAATATGGAGACCTCAACATCGACAACAACCTGAGGAAAGTGAAAACAGCCCAGACTTAAAACAAATGATACAGACGAGGAAATGAAAGTGTCTGGGACCGCTTGAGTTCATAAAGTGACGCAGTGAACCAGAGAATAAGAGGAGAAACAATAAATAAGGCAACTGAGAATTAAAGAGAAATGTGGTCAAATAAGCAACGATCGGACTTAACAGGTAGCAGTCCGTGTGTGTGTGTGTGCGTGTGTATTCTTGTGGTCAAAAGGTTTAAAAAAGGAAGAAAATGATGGCAGGTTCATATTAAAAACACAAATTGTAGCTTAGTATTTAGAGGTCACTGTACAGTATCTTCACGGTATATGGTTGTCAGAATGAACACTGTGACTCCTGTTGTCTCGGTAGTGTTGTCAAAATCCTTCGTCGGTTGTGTCATATTGTCTCACACAAAATCGTTGAAGCTACTCTTTGGAGCGGCACCTTTTGGCTGAGACTTTCTGAGACATGGTCGGGAAGTAAATCTACTCACAAAAATAAAAACCACACTTAAGTTATCAGGCATCATCAGGCGCCGCCCTCCATCGTTTACATCGACAATAAACAAATATAGCGTCATTTGGCCCCGCCCTTTTTCGTACCTAAGTAAATGAGCAGCACAAACAACAGTAAGCAAGGTGGTACAGCGGCCAACACACCCAGTACAGTACACCTAGTGGTCAAACATCTCCACTCTTAATTAGTGTTAAGTGAAGGTGTTATCGCCACGTGCCGGCCACATGTTGATTGAAGAAACTGTTGACAACTCAGGATAGCTTACTAAGCGAGGTAAGAACATAAGAACATAAGAAAATAAGGAGTCTGCAATAGGCCGGTTGGCCTGTGCATGGCAGCTCCTGTCGAGAGCTACTACCACTCTCTATCATCCATGAATCTATCTAGCCTCCTTTTGAAACTTTCCAGAGTTCCCGCACTTACTACAAAGCTGCTAAGCTTGTTCCACTCGTTCACCACCCTATTTGTGAACCAGTTTCTTCCTATCTCCCTCCTAAACCTAAACTTATCCAACTTGAATCCGTTGCTCCGAGTCCTATCCTGCTCGGATATTATAAGAACTTTATCTATATCCCCTTTATTGATTCCTTTCACCCACTTAAATACTTCTATCATATCTGCCCGCACTCTTCGTCTTTCTAGGGAATGCAAGTTAAGTTTCTTTAACCTATCCTGATATGGAAGGTTTCTAAGTCCCGGAATCATTTTTGTCATTCTTCGCTGCACCGACTCTAGTGAATTGATATCCATTCT